TGCTAGTTTTGTGCCCTCCGACTGTGATAAATCACTCTCAGTCTTACTGTCAGTGAACCGTACCGCGGCGCCGACGTCCATTCAGGAAAAATACATCAAAAAGAGTGAGCTGTGTTTCTTAACTGGCGCTGGATCGAGAGTAGGTTGTGCAAAAATGTGAGAAGACATGAGGCAGGGAGAGAATCAGCAAAGATATGGAATTGGTATTGTGTCAAAAATAATCAAACAAAACTTCTACAACAAACAAAAATAGCTTTAAGTTTTTGTTTGCAATTCGGACGCAAGCCTCTCGCGTGGGAGGGACTTTTCAGGGGTGCAGCACCATTGGCTGGTGAGTTTTTGAGTGACAGCTCAGTGGCTGGTGTTGTGCCTGGGAACGCATGCCTGCCGAGAATTGTATGAAAGTAAAGTTGATATCTTTTTGTGTCATTTATGCTGAATAGACTTTGTAGAATAAACATTTTATCAACCTAAACCTGCAAGTTACAAGTTTCCTTTTGAGATGTCTTTATTTTTTTTTGCTTCAGTGAGTTTTTTTCTCTCTCAAATTCTTTTTTTTTGTTTGATGTTGAAGTTTTTGTTTTAATTTTTGACACAAATCTGATTCCATAGAGAGACCCAAGAGTAAAAACAGAAGATATGATAGTGGTGTGTGTGTGTGTGTGTGTAGAGTTACAGAGTGTAACCAAACCTGCAGCTGAGTGAAGTCATATCAGTTTGTGTTGTGCACACGAGTCCACGCCTTCAGCATGTCTGTTATGGTGGCGGCTGAAGTGTGACTTTACCGTTTTCTCATGGGAAAAATGATAGTGAGTGACGCACACACACACACTCACACACATGCTTACACACCTCTAATCCCTGTGCTGTCCCACACCGAGGCAGATGATGTCATTCACCTGTGGGGCTGCAGGGCGACAAAGGCCCTTTGTGCCTGAGTAAACACACACACACACAAACACACACACACCATTCTTCCTGTGCGAGTCTCACGTGAGCAGAGTGAATTGGATGCACATGTGGCCGGTCTCTGTGGGGGGGAAGTGGAGCATTTATCATCCGTCTGTGGGGAACAGTGAGAGCTGCAGGGCCGTCACAAAGTCACTCTCACTCTGTAAGCCGAGTTAACGAGACGAATCAGGTCGGGTCAGGACGGGGGCCGCGGATTCTCTCACACATTTGAAGAATTTCGAGGTGAGATATCTGTCTGTACGAACGCTGAGCCTGGAGTCTGTGAAAAGCAAAGAAAGCAGGTTTAGTTGTTATTCAAACGTACTTTTTCTAACCTCCAACATTCGGCTTTGTGCAACGTCCATGTGTGCTTAAAGCTACGGTATTAAAACAAGTTAAAAAAAAAAACTGAGTAGAAAAAAAAAACACCTTAAATTAAAGTCCCAAAACTGCAGTTCCTCCAGTGTCCACTTGAGGCTGACCCCAAAAGTGAGTCAACCCCCATAGGGCCCCATGTTAATACGGATAACTTCACTATTACAACCCAGTTTTTAATAAGATGGTGGTTTAGGGGGTCCTAGACTGAGCTAACAATAAAAAATACTTTATACAAGGACACATATTTCTTTAATTGATGACACATCGTTGTGTTGTTGTTGTTGTTGTTTTTTTCTTAAAATGCTGAACTGATCTCGTACTGTAGGGAAAAAAAAAGATATGTTTTGTTAACCTGAAAAAGCAGCTCCGTGGTTATGTAATGTTTTAATGAAAATTTTCACTTTGCAACATTAAAATAGACTCAAACTAATTTAAAAACACACTTCATTATGTAACAACCAGCTGTAAAATATTTAACATCCTAGACTAGCGTCAAACCCCCCACTCCCACCCTGCTGCACTCTGCTCCTGTTTTAACTGTTTTTACTATCTATTATGTGTAAATAAGAACATGTATCTTTTTATTCATTTATTTGTTTTTTTATTCCACTACCACTTTATTTTTTTTCTGCATATTAAATTAAACACCATCCTGCTGTGATATGGAAGCCACATAAATTTAAGGTTGATTTAACCCAGATTAACTCTGCAGTAAACCTAATGAACAAACCTAAAGAATTCCTCTCTTAATTATAGATTTATCTTCATATTTTTCCTTTTTTTCAGAGTTAAAGACGTCCACTGAATCTGGTGTCTCCACGTCCTGCAGCTCAGCGGACACACCTTTCCTCTGTCTTTATCATGTGTGTGTGTAAACATCCACAGCATGTTTATGTGCTTTAATAGAGGCATCTACAAAGCCTGACGCTTTAAAAGTAAAATATTAGTGAGTCTGAGTGTTGGTCATCATCCTCCTCCACTCAAAGCAGACGCAGTAATCCCACCCAAACTCTGCAGAAAGTCCCGTTAGTTAAAAATAGAAGTCCAGTGTTGCAATCTGTGTTGAAATCAGCGGGACGAGTTTACGTAACGTTTCTTGAAGATGTTGCCGAGGTTACGACTGTGAAATACGCTGAGGGGAAGGTAACATGCATCATCATATGAGCCACATGCATACATTATTGTTGCTTTATGTTGCTTTAACCACCTTAAACACGTCACATGTTCGAGAAAAGGTGAAGGAGGAAACAAGAGGTTAAAGGAAGTCAACAGGTGGTCGCTGTGAGGTCACTCTGCTCGCTGTCCCAGGTGTTTTATTCAACAGGTGATCTAATCTAGGAGCTTAAAGAGAAGATATTACGATCCTGCTCCTGAACACCTCACATGACCACGCTATAATAAAAAAATCACACCTGCCCTATCAGAGCCTGATATCACTTTAACACACAGCAGGTGCAGAGATATCACTAAGATTACCTGGTAATCACAAACAGAAGGAGTGTGTGTCTGCACGTACAGCCGACGCACAAGTGTGCACGTCTACATGAGGGATATAAATCTATAAGAAGCACATGTGACCGCGGACCTGCTCAGCTCGAACCCTGACGCCTGTCTGCTCAGACGCTGTTTTATTCACGGGACTGAGAATAAAATAACTTTTTAGGAGTTTCAAACTTTTGTCAGACTCAGTCAAACTTCTTTCTGTCTTTCAAATGATTAAACAAAAGACGAATACTGGCACCTTAAATAAAAGTATTTAGGTGTTCAAACAAGTTATACTTGAGTTTTATTTTGAAATATCTTTGGTTTGCAAACAGGAAACAACATCACAAATGTCTTTAAGATGAACCGTGCTTAATTTTTATCATTATTATTACTATTGTTATGAGATTATCTCATAATTTTAGTAAGATAGAATTTAATAAGTGCATGTCTACATGAGTGCATGTCTAGATTAAAGGTGCAGTGCGTAATAACGGGAATATTAAGCGGTATTTTGCAGTCAGATTTTAGATTAAAACACTCCCGCCTCCTTCGCCTCTGATTGGCTAGAAGTGCTTGGCTCTGATTGGTTATTCCTAATGGCTGTGAAACGTCATTGTCTGTCGGGTTAGAGTCAGGATTAGGATTAGGAGATTCAGAAGTGCGATAATGTTCTGTAATGTTCGGTTCGATGTACAGAGCCGACAGACCGTGTTTGGTTTGAGCATGTGATGACGTTTCCAGCTTTTCTAGCCAATCAGAGGCGAAGGAGGCGGGACCTTCCCCTACCATCCCACGAAAAAAATTATCACGGTCAGGAGAGTGGGAGGGGGCAAGTCGGAACTACGTGAGAGGCATGTGTCGAATACAACGAGGTGATTGGATATAGAGGCGGAGCAGAAGATTGACCAATAGGAGCTGTCCGGGACGGATGGCTCCCATTGGTCAATGTTTTTGCTGACCTGCACCTGATAGGGTGAACAGATTTTTTCGCACTATAGGACCATGATCGCCATAGAAACGAGGTTCATAATAATTACCCATCTCTCCAATCGTCACCCATGCGTTTAAAAAGGACAAACTCTCCTGAATCTGTTCTGCTCACTGCCTCTGAATGCTACAGACTGCACCTTTAAATCCCTCCTGAGTCTCCTTGATAATATTTGGATTGGAGCTCCAACCTCCAACATCAGTTTCCAGAGGAGTAAGCGCTCAGATCTGACTTAGAGAAACCCGAGTATCACGCTGACGTTGGAGAGCGTTCTTTTATCAGCTGATTTACGGCGCAGGCTGATTAAAACGTGCTGAATCGGTGCTTTTCTGAGGAGATGATGTCAGAGCCCTCAGGGTGTCCTCCTGCTGGTTTCTGGGTGCTGTACTCATGGGTGACCTCATGCTCCACTGCCCACAGCCTTCATCATCCTCCTCCTCCTCATGTGATGCAGCAGGGCCGAGTTTATATCAGCTGAAAACTATGAGCTCATGTAAACTGCAGCTCCATCACACTCGTCTCAGCTGCAGAGTAACGGGGGGGTAATCCAAACACTGATAGGAAGGGACCACCCTCTCATGGGAGCGTCAGCCACAGAGGGAGAAGAAGCGTGTGTGTGTGTGTGTGTGTTTGTGATTGTGTGTTTCTGTCTCTGTTGTTGCAGGTCAGGTCAGCAGCTCCTCACGGCCTGAGAACAGAGACGCCGTTTCCTTCAGAAACACATTCGACCCGTTTTCCTCCTCAGATGTCGAGGAAACTTAAAGCCAACTTGTAAAAATCATCAGGCGCTAAACTTAGAGCAAAGTGAGTTTCCATCAGAGGGTTTGAGGTGGAAAACAGGATTTCTGAATGAGGAACACGTTCCTCAGGAAAGATTTTATTAATGGATTCTCAAGATTTGGAAAATCAGTGGGAGCTCTTCGATGAGGGCGAACGAGGGCAGTCAATGTTTTTAAGGGGGATAGTTCTGGGTTTTTGGAGAAGGGTTGAAGAAGGTTCTTTATATTGAGAAGATTTACAGTCAGGATGGTTCCTGTTAAGGGACACTAAGCTGAAACTAACCCCCAATATCCACCGCATCCGGAACGGCTACTAAAGGCCGTATCTGCCGATCGTAGCTGATCGTAACCATTCAAGTTAACGTGTCAATTTTCACCGGTTGTTTTCCATTCCGCAAATTGCCGGACACCGGAGCATGCCGGATAAATTCAGCACAGATTAACCCGTGCTGGAAAGGAAGTCGGGCACAGACACAAAATAAAACATCCGGCTTCTTTTCAAAATAAAACACTCCGTGTTTCAGGAGGATCGTATTTCACACCATGCAAACGGGCGGAGACAAACAAGTGAAAGGTTTTTAGACGTCATTTCACCCCGATGACACCATGGATGAGGAGATGCTGATTCTAGAAATCTAGAAGTAGATTTCCTTCCCTGGAAGGATCCGCAGCTTTTCGTAGCCATTCCGGATTCGGTGGAAACTGGGGGTTCATTTTCACGCAATAAGTCATATTTGGCGTCATGGCTCTTATCTAGGCGGTTACCGCCTTTCTGAGCTGTCAGCTGATTCAAGTAAGTGTCGAGATCAGCTGATAACTGCGGGTTGAGCCTGACTTCATCGCCCGCCTGAACAGACAGATTAGCAGCTACGTTTCTTTGCCGGTTTTGCCTCGAATAGAAATCCTCCTGCTCTAACTTCAGTTGTTTATGTCCACGGTTCATTGTCGTCATGCAACATAAACATCTTCAGTTTGTTGCGTCACTTCTGATTAATTTTCCTCAGAAATTCCAGGCTGCATCTTCACAGCAGCTCATCTCAGTTTGTGGTCATTTTTACTGGGAAAATAGCAGGATAAAGTCATGTGGTCCACCCAGAACATTTTAGGAAGTTTTGAGGAGGTCCATCCATGTGTGAGGACAACCTTAAAGGAATGAAATGTTATCATGAGAAATGGTGAAGATCTGACAGGAATCTGGATGTTCCTCCATGTGTTTCTCCTCCAGGCACTCGGGATTCCCCCTCTTCTCTACGAGGGCTGGAGCTGACACTCTTGTTTATCTGCACTGTGTTTTATGAAGTGGACAACACACACTTGAGATGCTGAAGGTTAAAGCAGATCCTCACAGTCCCAGCGTGTTTTTTTTACCTTAAGAGGAAGAGGAGGAGGAGGAGGAGGAGGAGGGAAAGGTTTCGGTGTTGGAGGAGAAACTGACCTGAGTGCTCTTATCTCTGTGGGATAAAGGTGGACAGGTTTCACCGCAGCAGAGCTAACAGAGAGCTGGGCCTGCAGAAAATACCTCACATGCACCTCCAATACATCTACAACTGCTAACACAATCGAAACATCTCCCTTTGTAGAGTTTCAACCTTAAAAAACATCAAAGTCTGTGACTGAATTTGACAGAAAAGTTACCGATTAGTTTTCTACAGTGTGCCTCGGCCACGTCAGAGAAGAGCAAACATGATAAAAGTTATTGAACGGGTCAGTATTGACTGACTGTGTGGACAACAAAGAGCTGAGATGTTTGTCTTTTTACTGATTCATGTGCTCCTTTGACACCGTTTCATAAGTTTTTATCTTTGACCCACTTTTTACTGAACTCAAGGTGGGAAACGCACCTGGATGGACTGTTTACACGAAACTGGGAGTTTTAGAGACACACTTAAATCTTATCGCAGTTTAAGGAGTTATGTAACCGAATTAAAAAGTAAAGAGAGATGTGACCCAATACAACATCTTTCATGGTTCCACTTTGACGACTCGACTGATATTTCATGAATGTTATATAAATGTTGTCGACCACTTCCTTCTCTAGTTAAACCAACTTTAGTAACGACCGCAGGATAGCAATACAGAGAGCCACGCGCTCGACCAAAACGCCACTCTATAGCCACAAATAATGCTCAGAACAGCACCTAACTTCATCAACAGGACATATAGGGTCACAGACATAGAACTAGACACCAAACATCTTTTTTAACTTTGACTCATTTCTTTAACAAAGAGACTAAACACAACTCACCTACTCTCTTCCAGCAGCCGCTTGTTTGTAGAGAGACCTCAGGCCAGTCCATTACAGACTACAGCGGGGTGCCGCAGCTCAAGGAAGAACATTTATGATCATTTCTTCATGGAAATACAATCAGACCGAGACGCTAAGACAGAAGAACGACCGCGTCTGTAAAATGATTAATATGATGATTGTTACTTCAAGAAAATGACAAAGAAATGATCATAAATGTTCTTCCTTGAGCTGCGGCACCCCGCTGTAGTTCGTAATGGACTGGCATGAGGTCTCACTACAAACAAGCGGCTGCTGGAAGAGAGTAAGTGAGTTGTGCAAGCGGTCGGCAACATTCATCTTTCGAGGGGGGGTTGTCTAACTCGGTGTTACAGTGTGTTTGATCCTAAATTAATTTTACGCCGGAATATCCCTTTAACTCGACCCTGGACGTTCGCTCTGGTAAAAACTCCACAGCAGAGATTAAACGGCTCAAGCTCCGATTGTTCACCCAGTAAGAAGAAAAACGAGATTTTTTTCCACTTGAACACAACAAACTAACTTGTGTTTATCTTCTGTACAGCAGTGTCGCTGCACCGGTTGCACAGCACCACCCCGGCAGTTCTGACTCAGTGTTTCAGACTTCAGGTCGAACCGGATCTCGGTCTGTTTTCTTTGGTGTCGACTTTTCAGCAGCTTGTTTGTGTTTGATCAGGTTCACTCGGTCTGACTCCTAATTATACAGTCGGGTGTGAACGTCAGTCACACTGACTCAGAGAGAAGAGTGGGTCACAGCAGGTGTGGGGCTTTTTCTGACAGGGGAACACCTGCAGTGACATCACTCTGCGGGGGCGTGGCCAAACAGAGGTGCACACGCACACAGTCAGGAAGAACTCTGAGTCAGTCTGCTGAGGTAAAGGTCCGTAAATACACAAAAATAAGAGTGACTGAGGTGAAGTTATAAAACACTGACACACTCACAGTCACTCTGATTATCTCTGCAGCTGCTTTTACTTTTAGTTTCACCGTTTTTACAGCAGGTTACTGTAAACACCTGCTCAGAGTCCATCTCTGTCACATCAGGAAATGTTTGTGTTTATGCCGAAGGTCAGAAAAGTAGAACAGCTGTTACTCCTGTGTTGTGGAGTTGACTTTGTCTCTGACGGACAGGACGAGGTTTTTAATTCACTTAGATCTCCGAATTTCATGTTAAATGTTAAAGCATCATTATATGACAATAAAATAGAAATTAAATAGGTTTTATTCATTGTTGAGTTCTGGGAGTCCCTGAGTTCCCTCATCCTGTAGGTTTCTCTGGATCGCTGCTGCAGACGTTGGGCTGCTGTGGACCTGATTCAAGCGACTCCAATTATTTACATCAGCCTAATAATCAGAGCTAGCCCAAGGCATAAGCGAACTTAACACCTACTTAGGGCCCCGCGACCAGTAGGGGCCCCCAAGAGCAATCAAAATGAAATGTTTTGATATTTTTTATTGAGTGATGCTTTCTGAGCTGAAAATGACGTCACACCCGGGCCTAAAAAATAGCAAATAGGAGGCGGAAACAAGATGGCTAAATCAACGAAACTTACATTGATGCTTGCCTTGTATTCGGACATAAACCCGTCATCTTTGTGGTTCTGTACTGCTGGTTTCTACGATATGAAAGTTATGTCTTCTCATCTGTTGGGGTTTGTTTCCTACCCTGCTTTCCAGAAAAGTCTCCCTGCTATTCCACTTCTGGTTTACAACCCGGCGTGCGAACCCCGGAGCATGTGCAGCTCGCTCAGGCCAGTTCCGGTTCGATCGAGTCGAAAACATGGAAGAGAAAATGAACCATTAACCGCGTTATCAAAGTTTGCTGGATAACAATGAGAAGTTAAATTTAGGAAGTGGACATGCTTCTGTCCATGCTTCTGTCTTTGCTGGTAAACTGCATGTTTAGATTTCTTAATCGATAAAGCAAAGACCTCTTTTTGTAGCCGTCATAGTCTCCCCCTGCTGGACATTTGAAGAATGCAGTTGTAAGACACTTGTATGTGACCTTCTATTCAAACATTGAGGTTAAACTCACTTTTAAAACAAAGTTTATGACTTTAAATTAACATTTTAGAGATCACAACGAGGGATTTGGCCGCTTGTTTTATCTAGATGTCAAACTTATTAACTTCCCTTTTGTTTTTTTAAGTTCTACTTTATGATATCATCTGTATTTCTTTGTTTGGCCTCGACAACAAAACTGAAAATCAAAGCTTTCTTATTACAGTGAACAATGAGCTCAATAAAACTTCACTTCACACACTTTTATTCAACCAAAGCCTCTAATTTACACCCCCATTGGTTGGACTAAGCAGAATCTCAGAGGGGCCTCCTTCCACCCACGTGTCCACCAACGTTTTTATGAGCATGTTTGCATGAATGCAGCAGGAAACATGTTTTTTGGCTGAAAGCGTGTAAAGAACTGATTTCAGCGGGGGGTTGTACATACAGTAGCGTGCCACCGCTGGGATAAGCCCCCGTCTAAGCGTCCAGTTTGTTTTTAGACTCGGGGTTCACAGCAGGCTGCTATTGATAGAAGCTGAGCGCTCTGGAAATGAAAAGTGCATCTGAAGCCCTCTTATGAATCTGCATTCCTCACTAATCCAGAGGAGATCTGCGCTGCAAGGCCCCCCTGATCCTCAGAAAAACAGACAGGGAGGGCCGAGGAGAGGGAAGGACCTGAGTTAAAGAGTCATATATTACCTGTGTTTACACTGAGAGAACAGTGTCGACGCCAGGTGAGGGACACATCCAGAAATGATAAACAAGCTTGTTTTTTACTCGTTCAGTGGAGAACATTGAATTTTCTCAGTTCTTAGAAAACATTTGATCCTCTAGTTACAGTTTAACTCGGACATCACTGGAAGTACCAGTGCCGAGGTTTCCAGGACTTTAACGATGTTCACATGAGGGCGAGAGTTTGTATCCATCAACTGTCAGTATTTCAGAGGAGGAGTCTCAAATTTAAAGCAGCAGGGTTCCCTTATCTGTCGACAACACGAGCATCCATATTTCAAAGTAAAGGGCCAATATTCTGTGATAATGATCATTCTCTTATTAAAAAAAGCTCATGCTTTTACCGGCTTACAAAGTCAGAGAATCACCAAACTCAGTGAGAATCATCCTCTGAGGTTTAGAATTGCTAGAGTGAAATTTCAGCACGATCCCCTGAGTAATTTTTGATTTATAAGACATCGATCGTCATAATCGTTTTCTGGGCTGCAGCGCTAAAACTAACCGAGGAGCTGTTTCTGTCAATTTTGAAAATGTTTAACTAACATGAAGCTTCAGAAAATATCAGCAAGGAAAGCAGAAGTGCTTTATAAACAAATGAAAAATAAAGATTAACATCTGAAGGGGGTAAAAATGAAGTTTGGGCTTCTGAACGACACGGGGGAGCAGTGTCTGCCTCACAACCAATCAGGATGAGGGAGGCGGAGAACGGCTTTGTTTACAGTCAGAAAGAGCAGAGCGCTGAAAAAATTTAAAATGTTGACTACACAGACATAACAAAACACAGAGATATCGTTATATTCTCAAATGTCATCAATAACTAATAAATATTGACTGATATTAAAAGTTTTTTTGTAAATACACCACAAAAAAAGATGCTTCTCTAACGGATTCCTGCCGACACCACCTTTAAGGATCACTGTAAACAGAAATCAATGTTTCACTTTTCAGACTTTGCTCAGAGCTGAATTTTTGCATGTACTGTTTACACATAATTACAGAGATTTAACCAAAGACTTACAACTTTACAAAGTCCACTCTTTTGTCTAAATATGTTTTATTTTTACTTTTAATAAAACAAGATGGTAAAAAAGTTACAAATTTTGTTGGCATAATAATCACTCTTATTGATAATGTGTTTGGCCTTTTTATGCTAATTGAGTATTAAATTCATAATTGTTCTACAAAATTAGACACGTGAGAAACAACGAGTTAGTGACAGATTTTTGTTAAAGCCCTATAATTAAATAGATATACAGCTTTTTAGCAGATTTTCCATTGATTTGGTCAGTTTGATGTTTCCTTGTGAATTTATGATCAATCACAACTTGATTAAAAAAACTGTTTTAAAGCAAAAATGACAATATCTTGTTTTTGTGTCTTTTAAGTTGTCTTTATAGTTTTGAGAATTTAAAGTTCTCTTAAATCTTCATGAGAACAAAATAAAAGTATCATCTGCAAAAAATAGTGTAGAAAAGAATAATTCTGGACCGAGTACAGATCCTTGGGGTATGCCAGGAGTAACTTTCTTACGCTTTGACATCGTCGTTGACTTGATGCATGAACCTGAAAAAAGCTAAAGGATTAAAGTGAACATGAGCCAATCAGGTTGGAGCAAACTGATCGTTCTTTTCACCGTTTTCGTCACGAGCTAATCATCATTTCGTTTTATCCACCTGACCAGCAGACATGTGCGTCTCAGTGTGAATTACCCGCAGAGATAATCATCCGTCTAGACCAATAAACAGACAGCAGCCAGGACTCCAAACTCACTCTACAAATTGCTCAGAGTTTTTGTTGGGGGGTCGAGAGTTCACTGAACTGTGATTCAGAGCGTGTTCAAAAGAGCCGCCCTAATGGCTCTGACACGGGATCCCAGCTTTTATCTGTTTCTGCTCATTCTTTCCATCTCAGCCCGGCCAAACAATGATACCACCGCCGCTGCGGCCTGTGATGTTGACACAGCCCAGCCCGCCTTTGATTCTCTGTCAAAGTGGGTCAAAAGACAACACGAGCCGGGGATGGCGAGGACTTGAGAGAGTGCTCGTGGAGGGTCTGATGGGGAGGAAAAACTGAGGGTTTCTTTTTTTTATTGCTGAAATATGATCCGCCTTCCTTTCTCTGCAGCTCATCCAGGAGTGGGCCCCCCTCGTCACGCTGCACGAACAGCCACGTCGTCGATCCAGTCCAACATAAAGCCACCCAGGCTGCAGCCATGAAGCTTTTAAAACCCAAGAGTTCAGCTCGATCCATCTGCAAACAGATGATACTGCTGTAAACAAAGCCGGCAGAGAGAGATGAGCTCTTTCAAACCCTTCGCAGCCTGTAATACAAGAAGCTCACGTGAATACTCTGTAAACCGTAAATGAGGCTCGCTGTCAAACACAGAGGTACATTTTAACCGCCTTCCTGCTCTCCAGTGACCCGACCTACATGACGACACGCTCCTGCATCTGCACGGAGAAAAACAGACGGTTTAGCGACCACTCTGCAGAGAAACAGACCTTTAAACATGACAAACCTGCACCGTGAGGACTTCATGTCCGCTCATTTTCATGCTGCGATATTTTGCAACAATCAAAACACACCGTTTCAGATTAACTCCGGGGTTAAAGGTCGTTTTTGTGCAGGTTTGATTTAGTGAGCTTGGAGACGTTGTCTCTACTGGAGGTCCTTCTATGTTTACATGCACAGCTTAATCCAGACCTGGGCATTTTACAGCCTGAGGGTCAAATCCAGCCCTTCGTGAGGTCCGTCAATCAAATCATCCACATGCTGTACAAGTGTGTTGCTTTTATTTTGAAAACCTAGCTGTTCTTTTATTTCTGTTTGGACACACGTGCGTACATCCTAGATCTGAACAGAGACAAGTTTAAACATCGGCAAAATATACGTAGACGCCTTAGAGTGGCCAAGTTCACTTATTATAAAAGACTTAAAGTTTGTTTCTCTCAGAAGTCGCTTGTAAAACTCGTCGTCGTGTCGTGAGTGCGCTTCTTTTGGGCTTGTTTTTAACTCATTGTTGCTTATTTGGTTTGTCTTTCTCAGACTAAGCTAACAATTTGTTTTTTTTCTCTGAATCCGACTTCTCTCCTTCTCCTCGTTTACATGCAGCTGAGACAATTAAATTATTGACGTGAACGTGTCCTCCTCCCCAACACTAGGGGGCGATATGGGTCTTTTCAGTGGCGCTGTTTCCGACCCCGTACAACCGTCAACAACAACAACAGGTCGGTGTCAGACGTCAGAAGTGTCTACAACTGCTGCTGAAGATGGAGCATCGCACAGCGTTGGTTTTGTCCGTAATGATGGACACGCTACTTTTTGTAAAGATGAGACCAACGCTACTCCTCTACTCTGGTGTTTTTGTTCTGGGGTTACGGGGGCGTGGCGCACTCGTACACGTATTGTCCGATCATGCTCCGACTACGCTGGTTACATGGTAGAGAAAATCGAATTCCAGTCACATTATCTGAGTGTCTTAATCAGAGTTAATCTCAAACTCTGATTATAGTCAGATGAAGGTGTTTACATGCACTTCAGTTGTCCGGTCTTAATCCGAATAAGGCGATAATTCAGTTTTCTTGAGCGTCATGGAAACGTTCTGTCCTCTGATTGGTCCCAGGTGATGGTTGACACTCAGGCCTCGTCGATTGTTTAGAGAGAGACGAACTCTTTAGAGAGATGAGCGTTTTACACCCTGGAAGTTTTTCAGAGAGTCGATTTTCTACAGAGAGATGAGTGAGGTCTTATTTAGAAGTTTAGAAGCATTAAAGGTTTGGGGACATTTCTGAACTTTATCGGCGTGAAGCCGGGGTCCCGCCGGTGCGGAGAACGCTGACACAGGAGCAGAGAAACAAATTTGAAAGTAGTTCAGCGCAGAGCTTTAGGAAAAGCTCTCTCAGCGTTTTTCACTAAGCCGCTCTAAAAACCCTCCTGGCTCCTGCACCTACAGCGCTGTTGTGTAACCTTTACACCCACCAACACACACACACACACACACACACACAGTTGAACCATGTGATCAGGAAGCTTTTGAAGCTTTTTAAACAAGGGTCGGCCTATTTCTGAAAGTCATCCACCACGGGACTCAATTAGCACTTCATCTAAAAGCAGGAGCACGGGGTCAGCGTTCTCCCTCTCTCTCTCTCTCCCTCTCTCTCTCTCTCTCTCTCTCCCTCTCTCTCTCACTCTCTCTCTCTCCGTGTTTCCTGAGGAAAAGCTGAAGTGAGTCGACTCTGCCCAGCGGTGGTCCACAGCTTTTCTTTGACCCACTTCTCTTCAGCAGACCCCTCTGATTCCTTCTCCTTCCTCTTCTTCTTCTCCCTTCTCTTCCTCCTCATGTTCGCCTGTCTGCGTCTCCTCGTCTTCACTCACTCCTCCACTCTTAATTTCCTGCACACTGTCCTGAAAATAGCCCACATTTGGCTGACTGTCTGTCTCCACTGCCAAGAGCCCCATATGTTTAAGCTCGTCATATATGTTTCAGAGGCGATGACTGCGCTGGCCGAGTCTCCTCTCTCTCCATACGACTCTTTTTGCCGGTGGACCACGTCCAAAACCGGTGCACTCGAGGTAAATTAAAGCTCACAAATCAGACGCTTAACCTCAACATTCTCAGTTCAGTGCTATACAATACTCCCTTCTTTCTCCAGCTTCACAGTAACGTCTGACAGAAAAAGGCCAAATGCTTTCCAGAAGCTGAAAGACGTTAAAACATTCACCGTATGTCTGACAGCCGGGACATTAATAATCAAATCTAAACGATTTAAAGACCAAAACAAATGAAGCGAAGACGGATTTAGAGTCAAAACTTAAACTGTCTCGATAATTTCTTATTTCTGTGGCCTTCTGCTCGCTCTCTCTGTCATCATGATAATAATTATGAAGCTTAAACTTCGTGTTATTACGCTTTCAATCAGCTGATCCTGTGGTACATGCACAGATCATATTAAAGGTACAGTGTGTGGTTTTTAGCAGCATTTTGCAGACTTGACTCTGACCACTAGATAACGCTGAATATTCACATATTTAGACTTCGATAATGGAGGTTAATCATTTAGAAGTCTTGCAGTTGCACATTTAACCCTTAAGGATCCGAATCCCTGAAACAGTGAGGCATGACTGATCTCAAACATCGACTACATAATAAAAGGTTTAGTCCTGAACCCTTTCAGGTGGACCTACAAGAGCCTGTCAATCCACTCAGTCCTGCATTTGATTGGCTAGTCTCATACCTGATCTCCACTTTAAAATTCTTAATTTGAAGGTTTATCTCTTGCAGTTTTGACTGTGCGTCACTCATGTAATGGCGATGCATGTGTTTACAGCAAGTTGCATTAGTTTTAGACTGTTGGATTTCATGTTTCTTCCTAATAAAGGTCACGCGGGCCTCTTGTTCAGCCACTGTGGCATTGAAAAAAAAAAAAAATCTCTCTTGGTTGCAGATTAATAAAAAAAATTCTGGCCTGTTTGCAAAAACAGAGTCGAGACATGAACCATTAAAACTTTTGCACGGTTCAAAAACTTTGACTCGAGTGAATCCTCTTGTTTTGTTGTATCTTTGGTTTCACTCGCTATCAGAGACAGAAATCTCCCGATATCAGTCCAATACCAGCAAAAAAACAAATATCGGATTTTATTGGCCTGCATCTAAAATCTCCGATATCAGCACTCCGATACAAGCGGTCCGTTCCAGACTCTGCTCCTGCGTTTCTATCTAGCAGCGTCCTGATCCAGCATGTAAAGCCCACAAAATCACAAAAACAGTGTGTGCTAAAGTACGAACAAAGAAGAGAGGAGTAGGAGTGACGTCGGCCTTGTGGCAGAATTTTTTGTTGAAGTCCGAAAAAGACGTTGCAGCTGAGTGAAATACTGGAGGCTACAATATCGGTATCGTATCGGACACCCCTGACCAAATCAGTCAAAGGAGCTTGTGTGTTAAGTGTGTCCTCAGTGCAGAAGTAGAGCAGCTTTCTTCACACACTCAAACCGGTTTGAGCCGGTTCACTATCTTCCTCAAGAGCAGGATCCTGAGATAACCTCTATCAACAGATCCACTTTAATGCGTCCCAGCTGATAAAGTGGGAGCAGCGGTGGGTTCGTTGCGGGTTAAGTTGGTGTTGGTATCATCGATTCATCCTGCTGCTCCTGGCATGTTTACGCGCTGGTTGTTCTCCTCGCGGAGCCGTGTGTTACCTTCCTGTCTGCGCTGAGTTTTTCCAGAGCCTGGCGCTCTGATTTGTTTTGCTCTCCCTGCCTCTCTCCTTTGTTGCAGCCTGACGTGTGTTTGGCACCTCTAATCTGCCTTAACTCAGCACCATAATGTGTGTTTTTGGGACGCTCTCTCACGTGCCCTCCTTGCAGCTCCATTTTTTTTCCCCCTCTCGGCTGCAGGAAGTGTGTGTGACCTCGCTGTGAGAAGATCAGTTGCCTTCTCTACAGGCTGTAGGTGACCTCTGACCCCTTCGTTTTGACCTGCCAACTGCACACATGGACTCTCTCACCTCTCTGTGCTGCCTTTGTTCACTCATCAGGGGTCGTGATCTGTCATTTGCGGGGGGTTTGCGGGTATTTTAGGCCCCTGCCGCCTCCGTTCGGGAGTCGTTCCAGATTTAGCAGCTCCAGTGATTCACAGAGATATAATGTCGGGCAATTACCTCTGATTTGGCCTTAACACGAATCAGTAACACCTGCCAAACAAGACTGGGGGATAATAACAGGATACAGTAGCAGAAGGGCTCCTGGTAGAGCTCCAGAGTAAATATCATAATTATGTGTCTCTTTTAATCGGGTCAATTTAAAACACGTGTTTTTATCTCAGAGTTTGCTCATAATTATCGGTTTTTACGTTGTCAAAGTTTTTCAAAGCTTTGTTTTGTTTTGTTTTGCAGGTTGCAGTTTAGTTTTTAAAGGTAAACAAAGAAAACTCGAGCTTTCTCACACATCTCTCTGTTTTATTTCTTTGTCACTCACTCATTATCCGGAAGTGTTTGCTTCAGAAATTCAGAGTAACGTTCCCGAGTGTCAAATGTGAAAGAATGAGTGGATTCAGGCGGCTGTTTTAAAAAGATATACGGCTCTGTAGTGGAAATCCACGTATGCGCTTTGTCGTCGCAGGTTAAAACTATAAATTAACTATTTTCAAGGGTCTGAAAAAATGTGAATTTCTTTTTTAAAGACATGGAGGCAACGTCGTCTGTTAAAGAGATATTCCGGCGTAAAGTTAATTTAGGGTCAAACACACCGTAACACAGAGTTAGACAACCTCTTGAGAGATGAATGTTTCCGACCACTTGCTTCTCTAGTTATACCAACTTTAGTAACGACCACAGGACAACAATACACAGCGGTCTGAGGAGCCGTAAACAAACCTCAACCAAAACGCCAAAATTAATGCTCAGAACAGCACCTAACTTCATCAACAGGACATATAGGGTCACAGACATAGTACTAGAGACTAAACACAACTCACCTACTCTCCTCCAGCAGACGCTTGTTTGTGGCGAGACCTCGGGCGAGTCCATTATTGACTACAGCGGGGTGCCGCAGCTCAAGCAAGAACATTTATGATCATGTCTTCATGGAAATACAATCAGACCGAGACGCTAAGACAGAAGAACTACCGCGTCTGCAGAGCAAGATGATTAATATGGTGATAATTTCTTCAAGGAAATGATAAAGAAATGATCATAAATGTTCTTCCTTGAGCTGTGTCACCCCACTTTTTTAGTGGAGGTGTCTGTGTCTCAGGTGGAGGAAGCCTGAGACACAGAAATGAAGAACCCACCTGTCAGTCAGATCAACCACACCCCTGGTTATCACCACTTATGCTAACATTGAACGTAGACTGCATGTGTTCAGACTCAGATCAGCTTTCACTGACCGACAGAGACCCCTTATTAAAGATCCATTTTCCATGTCTCTTTTCAGCTGCACAAACTCTTGGCTAACCAGGTCGGGGATGGGTCTGTTTTGATTTTTCAGTATCGGGTCATATCGGTTGTGTAATGACCTGGCAGGCCGAGAGCGCAGCTTTATCTGATAAGCTTCATTTCTCCATACCACCCCTGATATCTCCCTTCTCTTGCTTCACTCCTTTGACTCCCATTGGAGGCTGTAAACCGAGCAGGGAGCTCAACAAAATCCTCCCTTTGTGAGCAGCTGAGCAGGTGAGCCAGAGGAACTATTCGTCTGTCGCTGCTCTGATCCTGACCTGCCAAAATACCTGCAGGGGAACAACGGCCTCCTTTACAGCAGAGTTACAGCACAGAGAGCTGATCCAACGCTGCGTTTCAGTTGTACTCAGAAGTCGGGATTTCTGAGATTTCCGTCACAAATGCATCTGGAACTCCCCCTAAAGTCGGACGATCCTCACCAACCCTGACATGACGACAACATCATAATCCAAGATGGCAGCGCAGTGCGTCAACAAGAGTAACAGTGAAACTCTCCTAATGTTTTATTTATCAGCACTTCTGTTTTGTTTTGTGAAATTAAATAAGTGGTTTATGTTGTTCTGCCCAACGTCTAACTGTGAACACGCTGCAATGGTGTCTGTAACCCGGAATTTCCACTGCATCTGAAACGGGTCCGATTCAGAACGGCAGCGAGTTTCGCCGTACGTCAATTCTTACTGGATCCATTTGTGAGGCGAATTCCGTGGCGGATTACAGACAGCAGGAATCATGAGAACTCACAAGAACCCACAAATTCACGTGCAATAAAAAGTTGTCTCTTAGCCACAGAGGCGAACCATATAAGCAGTAGATTGTGTCCAGAGGAGGAAATCTACTTCCAGACTTCTAGAATCAGCATCTCCTCATCCATGGTGTCATCGGGGTGAAATGACGTCTAAAAACCTTTCACTTGTTCGTCTCCGCCCGTTTGCATGGTGTGAAATACGATCCTCCTGAAACACGGAGTGTTTTATTTTGAAAAGAAGCCGGATGTTTTATTTTGTGTCTGTGCCCGACTTCCTTTCCAGCACGAGTTAATCTGTGCTGAATTTATCTGCCATGCTCCGGCGTCCGGAAAAAATAGAACCCTTGTGATCAGCTGAGGAGACCGGCGATCCGCAGAGGAACGGAAAGAAGTCGGTGTAAATTGACACGTTAACTTGAATGGTTACGATCAGCTACGATCGGAGGATACGACCTTTTAGGAGACGTTCCGGATGCGGTGGAAATTGGGGGTAAGAGTAAAATACTGTGTTATGCGTCGTTTACAACTGGTATAACTAACAATAACTAACGACAGCTTACACTGGCCAATAGTAGGCGTCCATCTTGGTCTTCCAACTTGTTTACTGGAATGCCGTCAATTGTGGTTTAACGTCATTCCCAAGCTCTGACATCCAACTTCCGAGGTAACTGGAACGCAGCTTCGGCTTAGACGGAGCTGTGATCTTATAAACTAGAACGCTTCTATCCTTTTTTACCCATGATGCAGTTTGATTACAGAGCTGTGTTATTAAAACAGAGTTTCACCTCTGCCTGATTTGTGTGTTTTAAAGGAGCTGAAGCGCTCTCACGTCGTTCCAGCTCTCTCACGACCTTCTTTGGTTTACGAACTGCAGCCATAATGTGGTTTAAATTGTTTGACATACACTCGGCTCTTGTTGAAAATCCTCAACAGCAGGCAGAAAATCCTGAAGATGACCCAGATAGACAAGAAAGATACAAGATTTCCTCCCTGCCAATATCGTCACATATAACATTATGGTTTTGCAGCGATGATTTCCACATTTTGGCCAGTTTACTGAGCGTGTATTTAAGTTTTATTAGACTTGCTCTTTCCATCGTTGAATTAGAGGGAGATTAATAATCAGTAGACAAAACATTGGCAGACAGTTGCCCGGGGAGTGCACAATGATTTCCAGAGTACTCCAGAGTCCCCTGGCTGGAAATACTCGAATGTGACCCATTTAGCAGAGTTTTCAGCAGATTTAAAAGTTGTTTTTCACCAACATCATATTCCTCTGGGGCAGTATCTGAAAATAACCCCCTGACAGCGGACTAACTGGGCCTCTGAGAAACCTGTGACCTCAATGATTCCAGAAAGATGTTTGCAAACTGGCCACACAGACTGAATGTGTAACCGTATTTTGCAAGCAGCAAATACGGCGAGTTTTTGACAAAGTCAGCAAACATAAAGCCCTGGATATGTACGCTGAATCTGCAGACGGAGTGATATCAGACCTCTCCTGCTGCAGAATCAACTCTGCTTTTGGCTCCAAAACCCTGAGAAACGGTTTTTAATTCTGGATTGCAAAGGTGAAACGAGGGACAACCTGATTATAGGGCTGTTTTTCAATTTTGACGACTTATTTAGTGACAACTTCACCAAACTTCACTCTAAAAATAAAAAGGTTTCCTATTATCAAAACGAAACCATATGCCAAGCCAGTAAGTCAGAAGACAGAAGAAGAGACCAGAGCATACGTGACACTCAGGCGCCATAAAAGAGTTCCTCTGTGTGTCACATGATCGTTTCCAGAGATGCAGATAGACATCCACACGGAGATGAAATGGTCGTCGTTTACACAAACGCCGTTTCCGTGTGGATGAAATGCCAATACGACAAAAAACTTTTGCGTTTCCTCCTGAATTTGTTTCCGTGGTGACGGGTTGATACCGCCTTCAGACAGACTTTACAGCGGGGAGTGGTTTACTCTTCATCTGAAACTGTGAAGTCGTACCAATTCAACACGACTGACTCGCTCTTGTCCGATTTAACCACGAAATTATCGCCTTCTTTTACAAACGCCATGTTTGTTTAGACTGGTGTGTGTGGGAAATGAGGAGCGCTCCCACAGAAAGGAGGAGTCTATGGTGGCCTGGAGGCGCGAGACATGATAGAGAGGAAAACTGATTCAACGATTTTAGTTTTTTTCCCAACATTGTCATAATCAAATAATCTGATTACGATTTAAAATCGACTAATCGTGCAGCACTACCTGATCATAAAAATCAACACCCAAAAAAGAACAAATGTCAGATATTTCTAATATTGTTCTCAGTGATTTATTTGAAGGGCACAAAGCTGCAGATTGGTGATTCATAGCTGAGCAGTAAACCAGCAGAGACAAGAAGATAAAGAGCATGAAGACAGTGTTTCAACATCTGAGGACATTAGTGAAAGAGTCATCAACCAAACTGAAGAAAACAAACACCTCAACTCAAGAAGTGCATGAATGAGCTGCATGGAAATAAAAGGTTACAAAGAGTTTATTTTGCAGAAATGATCGTGGACAGAAAAGGAGGATTTTAACGGTCAATGTGTCGCTGCTGCATCTGCAGAAAGTGAAGCTCCAACATCTGCACCACAGAGGAAATGCAGGTACAAAACAAAAACAGTTTTCAAACGGGACAGAGAGTCCTGGTTTTCACTACGTGGGTCTCTGCGTCAGCCGGGATGTTTGAGGTGAAAAAACATTTGCTTTTTTGAATCGCAGTTACCCACAAATCCCAGACGGTACACGTGTGTCATTACAGAAACATGCCAGCCTGGAGCAGCCCTGTTGGGTTTGGACTTTTATCCCTACATGACATCGCCCCATTTCCCCTGATCAGCCTGCGTTTCTTCAACATACACTTCCAAAACCAGAAATGTCAGAAACAATGCGTGTTAAACCGCCAGAGGGTCCGCTTTGCAGCCCTGAAATACCCCAGATTACTTTCTTTGAAGACTTCCCATCATCCTCCGACTATTTGAAGCAACATTTCACCTTGTCAGTCTGTTCTTCTTCTTCTTCTTCTTCTTCTTCGTCTCTTTTCATGTCAAACACACGTGTCTCTGCAGGATGAATGTCTAGGAATCCTCCCAAACCCCAATCCTTTGGCTCGAAATAACTCCTTCGCTCTAATGGAGCACAATTAAGTGTACCAGAGACTCCCCCCTCCCCTCACCCTCAACCCGCCGTCCTCCCTCAGGTCCTCACTTAGTGCGGCTTGGCGCTCTGACAGACATGCAGCGCTGAACAATGACTGGCGTCCGATTCTCTCTGGCAGCCTGTGGAGCTGTAATCATGGGACGGAGTAATCCTGACGGCGGATTTTTGTGAGCGAACGCTTGAAACGACTGTATCTGCTCGTGCGCTCACATGCGTGCGGGTGTTTCACTCGGTCCCTAAAGGTTTCTTTAAGTGTTGTGAGAGGCGAACACTGGCTGGGATTTGTTCTCCGCGCGTGTTTTACAGTAGCAGACTGAGACCTCCGGCTGACGGCGAGCGGGAGCGATCCCTGGTGTCTGAATCGAGGGCGGAGAGCCAACTCTCAGGAAACAAGATGCTGAACTGACTCGGTGCTTCACAGAAGGTTGTTGGAGTCACCTCAACATCATCTGCAGACCCTCTCCAAGATCCAAGAGTGTCTGCAGACTCAGCAGAGCTGGATCATGTCGCTCTGCAAGTTAGTTAAAGGTTTGGTTGCAGTTTCAACAAACAGACTTTCCCTCTTTTCTGATCTCAGATCGGGTCGCAGAGGCAGAAGTCTCAACGCCAGACCAGTGTTCGGTCCAGTCTGACTCGGCTCTCCATCAGGGAGACGTATTACAAATCAAAACAGTCAGTAAAACACGTTTGCATGACGCTGACCCTAACCACCGTCACATTCACAGCTCCCTGTTTGTTCGTACGATGCAAAAGTTTCATCTTTTTTACACCGTTTCTTCCTCCTTCTAGGTTTTTGTTTACTTTTTTTTGTTTACTTCCTGGCGTGCAAACAATAGAGCATGTGCAGAACTCTAACCCCCAATTTCCAACGCATCCGGAACGGCTACTAAAAGGCCGTATCCGCCAATCGTCGCTGATCGTAACCATTCAAGTTAACGTGTCAATTTACACCGACTTCTTTCCGTTCCTCTGCGGATCGCCGGACTCCACAGCTGATCACAAGAGTTCTATTTTTCCGGACGCCGGAGCATGGCGGATAAATTCAGCACAGATTAACCCGTGCTGGAAAGGAAGTCGGGCACAGACACAAAATAAAACATCCGGCTTCTTTTCAAAATAAAACACTCCGTGTTTCAGGAGGATCATATTTCACACCATGCAAACGTTGATGGGAACGAACAAGTGAAAGGTTTTTAGACGTCATTTCACCCCGATGACACCATGGATGAGGAGATGCTGATTCTAGAAGTCTAGAAGTAGATTTCCTCCTCTGGACGGACACAATCTACTGCTTATATGTCTATGTGTCTGTCTTTAGAGAGACAACTCGTTATTGCGTGATTGCACGTGAATCTGCGGGTTCTTGTGACCGATTCCCACTAGCCTTAATCGGCCACAACATTCGCCTCAAAAACTGATGTGGTAGGAATTGGCGGACGGTGAAAATCGCGTTCTGGATCGGAGCTGCTCTGGATGTGCTGAAATTTGGGGGTTAGATTGAGCCGTATTCATGAGGAAGAAAACCCAAAACTGATCCCTTACCCAGCACCCCGATATCTTAGTCCGACTACGAGACGTTCCTTTTTCAGCCGTTTACCTTTAGTTTCATAACTTACAATTTACCAGAAGTAGAGTCAACAACATTTCAAAATAAAAGCATATTTTAACTATGTAAGGATGAAGCGATCCAAAAATAAGACAGTAAAATTTCAAAATAAAAGCCTTATCCTCTCTAAGGGAGTTTCTACCATGAAGCCGGTGATGCAGATAAAACAAAACATTTAGTTTTTATTATAAATAGATGATGACGTGTTTTTAGGGGCATCTATTAGTGAAGTATATGAAGTCATTAAGGGGAATACTTTGGGGCGCCATAACCATGAGGTCCATATATGACATCATGACAGCCCTGGTGTGGATCCAGCTACAAAATAAAGCTCACTCAGGGTTTTATGACTTTTTAGGGAGCTACCTGTTCAGATCTGGGGTACAAAAACAACATCGAAATGTGCCGCTCTGCAGGAAACACGAGCACCATGAGGTCACCTGCTCCACTTTACCTCCGTCCGTGGTTCATTATATTTCACAGAAAGGACTCTGGACGTGTCTGACTTTGTCTAATGAACTAAATATTTGACTTTTCGTTGAATTACGTCCTCGCTGCTGATCCAAGCTCCTCTGTGTTTTCCTTCCTCCCCCCACACGCCCTGGATAAACACCGTCTGCACTAATAGGTCTGACACAGCCCAGTTTAATTGAGCTTTCATTCCGCTTAGTAGGGGGACCCACGCGCACACACGCACACACACACACACATACAGAGAGTTGGAGGGGTTGTTCATTTGACCTCATTTCTAATGCATGCGGCAGACAGGTTTAAAGGCGCTGGCAGCACCTCACGGTACAATGACTTACAGCAGCCATGAAAAGATTCGGTTTCCTGCTCCTCTGAGAGCGGCTAATAGACCCGCAGATCTGGCACATCAAACACTCACTCACACACTCACACACACAGACACACACACGTCGGCTTTTGGTCTTGTACAGCCGTTGCGTGCCACACCGCAACCACCGCCGCTTTCCCCCAATCATCTCTTTTTCCAGTCCTAGCTTCCAGTTCTCCTTCCCAGAATGCCCCTGTCGACCCACAGATGTTCCTGCACCCCGAGACGTCACGTGCCCTCCGAGTCAGGTCAGTCCACTCCAAATAAAACAGAGGAGGAGGATGGACTCGCTATTTTCTGCAAGTGTCCGGTTATAGAAACAACGCCGAGCAGCTGTGTGATAAAGTGAAAATTATGAACCCTGATTTACGATTGTGTTGATAAATTCAGACAAATGTGTTTTAAACAAAGATATTTCAGCGCACAGACCCAACATGACTCAGTTCTGGGTGTTTGTTATCCAGCACAGAGTGAAGCTGCAGACTAGACCAGCTCCTCCAGCGTATACCAGCTCTACTTTGGCTCTATCTCGTCTGAGTGGTCGGGTTTTCATTTATAATGTCAGACAGAAAATAGTGAAGCTGTTTTTTTATTTCAGATTCATTTAAACTCAAATACTTTGATGCACGGGCTGCAGGACAGTTCGGTGGTTTGTGTTGTTTCTTCACAACAAAGAGGTCAGGGTTCAAATCTGCAGCCTGTCTGTGCAGAAGGTCCATGTTCTCCACCTGAATACATCCTCCTGACATCCAACCAGGTAAATCTTCAGGTAAAGCAGTGACTCTGTACTGACCATGAGAGGGACTAGGAAACAAGTGTGCTTGCAAGGTAGTAAGGAGAAAGGAAGGAAGGAAAAAAGAAAGACAGATATGGTGGTTGTAAGAGAAGAGGGCAGAATGGATGGAGGGATGGATGAATGGATGGATGGATGGATGGATGAAAAGATAGAAAGTTGGATGGATGATAGATGGATGGATGGATGGATGGATGGATGGATGGATGGATGGATGGATTGATAGACAGTTGGATGGATGGATTGATAGACAGTTTGATGGATGGATGAAAAGATAGAAAGTTGGATGGATGGATATATGGATGGATGGACAGTTTGATGGATGGATGGATGGATGGATGGATGAATAAATTGATAGACAGTTGGATGGATGGATTGATAGACAGTTTGATGGATGGATGGATGGATGGATAAATGAATTGATAGACAGTTGGATGGATGGATGGATGGATGGATGAAAAGATAGAAAGTTGGATGGATGGATATATGGATGGATGGACAGTTTGATGGATGGATGGATGGATGGATGGATGAATAAATTGATAGACAGTTGGATGGATGGATTGATGGATGGATGGATGGATGGATGGATAAATGAATTGATAGACAGTTGGATGGATGGATGGATGGATGGATGGATGGATGGATGGATGGATGGATGGATGATGGATATATGGATGGATGGCAAGTTTGATGGATGGATGGATGGATGGATGGACAGTTTGATGGATGGATGGATGGATGGATGGATGGATGGATGGATGGATGGATAAATTGATAGAAAGTTGGATGAAGGGATGGATGGATGGATGGATGGATGGATTGATAGACAGTTTGATGGATGGATGGATGGATGGATGGATGGATGGATTGATAGACAGTTTGATGGATGGATGGATGGATGGATGGATGGATGACAACAAGCACAGTGGATTAAATTCAGTCTTCCAGTCCATCATAATTACTCTCCATGTTGACTGTGATGATGTCATGGCGTTTGTTTTATGGCGCTGTTGAACTCACCTCCAACTGGATCTCACAGACTTTGACTGACTCTGAGTTCAGGACTGGAAAAACATCTTAAATAAGTCCAGATCCTCCTCTCAGACCACCTTACACCAAAGGACGGAGGTCAAAAGAGCGATCACGACTTCAGCAAAAGATTCAAGATTTCACTCAGACTTTTGGGATTTGTATGATGTTTAAAATCACATGAAAAGTCGAGTAATGTGAGTCCAGAATTAGTCAAAAACAGCTCAAGTTTAGGTGGAAAACAGGATTGAGGAATGAGGTGACATGGGATGATATAACATCTCTCAACAGTTCGAAACAGATAGAAAGACTTTGGCTGCAGTTTGTGCTTCTTGTGTAAGAACCTTTAAATTTAATGAACCAGTCTTGACGAAAGACTCGAATTCTCCTATCTGCTGATGGACGGGCGTGTTTGTGTGTATTTTTGCACGACAGCAGCAGCAGTCGTAGTGGTGTGGAGGTTTTGTTGTTGTGAAAAGCCTCCTTTGTCTGCAGCCTCAGACCTCGTCCAGCCTCGTGTTTCTAATGACTTCTCCTGGAAGTCGACTGACGTAACGAGCCAAATTAAATGTCTCGCCGAAGCAGATGTTGGACAGAGGCTGGCAGAGGACGTGCATGTGTGTGTGTGTGTGTGTGTGTGTGTGTGAGTCTGGAGGTAGAAAGTTTGAGAGAAAATTAGTTTTGTGACGTGCATCTAAAGTCCCTGTTCCTGAACTTCTTAGAGGGGCTGATGGGACAGTTTTTCCACTGGCTGCTGGTCTGAGTTTGTTTTTGGTGAACGGTCAGTTTTTTTATTTTCCTACACTAAGACGTCAGCGACTAACGGTAAAAAGGTTCACTATAAATACACCAAACATCAGCCGTATCACGCCGTATGAGACGCACTTTTTAAAACGTCCAGAAGGTGAGCCGACATTGTCTATTGTGTTACACTGTTTTACCCAGAAGGTGGCGCTTCAGTAAGAAAGAGGCTGCGTCTCAACTCTCATCTAAACAGTCTGCACAGTCTGCGTCTCTCTGAAACTCAACAGTTTGGAGTTTATCATATTATGCAACATTTCCTCGAAGCTGAAAACTCTGCAGTTCTGGGAAAAATCCTCTAATGTTTCTAAATTTGTTTTTTCTGCAGCGAGGGAAATGCAATAAGAACAACAACTGCAGAACGAAAGGAAGAAAAATGAGGCTCATGTTCTGTTTTAAAGCGAACCGTCCTCTCGGGTGAAACTGTGACGGTAAATCATCGGAGAGGGTCGAGAGCAGACGCCATGAATCACCTGATATGACTGCAGAGAAGTCCTCCTGTAACTAATGTGGTTTGGAGAGGAGAGGAGAGGGGCTTCTGTGTGTGTGTGTCTGTGTGTCTGTGTGTGTGAAGTGAACACACCTTGTGCAGACATTAGGTGCTAAACCTCGGATCAAAGCTGCAGCAGATCCGTCTGTGTTTTGTCATCGTTTCCGTCCAGACGTGAAAAGTGTGTGAAGCGGCAGCAGGTGAGGCCCGCCAGACCGGGGAGTCGTCCAGGAGCGATGTGATGCTGGGAAATCCAGGAGCCGAGACGAGAGGAGGGCAGCTGTTTTCCATCTTTAACGCGTGGATGAGGAGGAGCGAGGAGGTGGGGGGATTAAACTGTGGAAACACCCGATCAGACAGACAGAGAGAGAGAGAGAGAGAGAGGGGTGTGAGGAAACCGAGCAGAAAAGACAGAAGTTCAAAATCAACAAATACAAAAAAACACGAGGCAAGAAGGAATTTAAGACATCGACCAGGGACGCCGTACAAACACAACATCTCACTGTGGAGGGGGAAATCATGTCCTGACCCACTCAGATTAACCCTAGAAGACCATCGCCTGATCAAACATGTTTTTAGGTGATCTTCATGATGTTGCGTTTGTCTGAGTATCATGAGTCTCTGCGTAGCTTCAGCATCACCTTTGACATCTTTGAAGACAAATTTGTTTCCCTGATTTTCCAAAACCTGCTTTTTCCTACAGACACGTGTTCACAGGGTGATTTTATTGAGAGAGGGTGAAGTAGGTTTGGGTGGATTTGATCGCTGCATGTAGGAAATAAGGTCAGTCAGAGTGGTCCTGGAATTTGCATGATATCTTTATTTAGCGCAGTGGACATGAACAATGATGATGTGATTTTTAAGAGAATTCATTTGGTGATACAAAATATTTGACATGCGAAGTTGACATGTAGTTACTGTCAGACTGGTTTGTGCTCAAGTCCTCTTTTTTCTGTACAGCTCCGTTTTTAAAAGTTATTAGGGGGTTCATGTTTTCTATGATTGGCACCTGATACAGCCAATGGGCGAACTCAGAGAACTTTTCGGCTTCAAATCCGAATACAGGCGGGAGGCGGAACCAAGTTGTCCATAGTATAAACAGTCTATGGTCCCCATATGGCACTTTTTTTCCTCCCTTTGGACATTACACGGTTAAAAATAAAAGAAAACTACTTTAATTTGTCATTTTTTGTCCTACTTTGATATATTTTAATGACAAATACTTTTTTTGGGTATATTATTTCGGGTAAAATCATCCATTGATGGTGATGGTGTTACTAATTTTAGCGACAGTGTTCAAGGGTTAAATCTGATGATGATGATGAGACATCCTATTATCAGGAAAACCAAACAGAAACGCTGAGTTTGAAGTTTGACCGATTTGTCGCAACAGGGACCGGACTACTTCCTGCAACATTTCTAAGAAACTCTCTAGATCAGGATGTTCAGACCTGATATCACCGAGCTCTCTGGCCGATCCGATCAGACTTGAACAGATTTCAGCACAGCTGCTCAGACCTGACTGAATCATGCGTCTCCAGAGACGATTGCGATTGGATCTCATGTTCCCGCTCCGTGTGTAAATAAACTCAGAACCTTATTCGTCTTTGAAAAATCATTACACGATCGAAAACGTCTGAACGACCCAAACTTAGAGAAAAACAAAAAGTCCAGGTTAACTCATCGTGTCGCTCCGTCCGTTTTTTTTCTGGTTTGGAGATCAAAATAGTCTGGGATTTGGTTCTCATGTTGTTCCATGAGACAAAAAGGGAAAGACGCCTCGGAAAGAAGAAATAAAGAAACTCCAAAAATAGCCGCCGGTGTCAAATTTTGGCCAGACTAACAGATCTGAAAACCAGAGTTACATTCAGTTCTGCCAAAACGAAGCAAAACAGTTTTACAAATGGAAACAGGCCGACTTTTTTTTCTCCCATTTGACCTATTAGCAGACGTTTGGTACAACTTGATCCTCCAGCAGTGAAGAAACGCTCTTCTCGTGAGAAAACAGACAGTAAAAAGTCTGACAGTCATTTCGAAAAGCTGAAATTAGACTCAGTCAGATTTACGGTGACTGCGCTGAACCTTCAGAGAAAATGTGAGCTGTCGTTAATCAGCTTCAGCTCACACTCTGCTTGTAATTACTGCCTGATTTATGGACTTCAGCTCATTACAGAGTCTCTGCCGGGGTTTCCCTTATACAGGCGTAACTCCAAAACACAGTTCTCATCATCTTCAAACCTCAGAAAATCCAGATTTGGAGTCTACACCACCACGCAGAAACAGTTTCTTTGAGATCACACCCTCGTATAATTAAGCAGCATGTTTGTACACCTCTAATGATTCACATATTTAGACCAAAAACCCTGATAGATCATTACTTCACCAACACGACTCTCATTAAAGGAACTTTTTATTTACAGCACAGACTATTTAAACCCTGAGAAAGTCCATGTGTGTTTATAATTTCAGATTTCTACATGTGATGGCGTTCTCTACGCTCTGCTGCATCCTTTAAAAAGTTTTTACTCAGTTCAGTCGTTCAGCAGGATTAACGAAGAAGATAATTGACTGATAAAATAAACACCGTCAGTCTGCAAACAGGTCACAATCAGCCCCGCAGCAGTCTGTCAGTCTGGGAAATCTCTCTGCAGTGACTTTTCTTGAGTCTGTATCCAAAAACGGGGTAAAAAGTTCAGGTTCAAGTATCTCTGCAGGACACAACACCTGCAGCCAGTTAGTTTACACTGAGACCATGGATGTAATATGTGGGGGGGACACGGGGGACATGTCCTGACCTGACATTTTCAAAAGCCTGTTTTGGTCCCCCCTGGTCCACAAGGTCCTTGATCTTTAAGTATGGGTTCAGCTCACGTATGGTGACCATATTCTGAACCCTGGAGTCATCGAGTTGCAAGAAGTTAATTTTGAGTTTTTTACACACTTCTAACTCAGTAAGTCGACACGACACAAAGTCAAAACTTCGATACAAAACCTCGGATATTTGAGGGATTTTACAAACTCCCCTGGACAAAGCCGGAAGAGGACGGTGGACATGTCCGGGTAAAAGAGGACCCGTGGTCACCTTAGCTCAGGCTCAAAGTTTGGCTCAAGTGTGGAGGTGAAAGCAGAAAGGTGCTGTCTTAAGGGCCTGTTTCCACTGATGGTGTTTTCTTTCTGTTAAAGCTCTCATGACCAAACCAAAAAAAGAAACAGTTTCTCCCCTCGTAAACCTCTGCAGCTGTTAACAATCAGACACTGAAGAAAAATGTGCAGCGAGCACAAAAAAATGCGTTTAGTGGACACGGGCCCTAACTCTGATATATCGGATTTCTAAACTTACAGGAGAGCAAAATAGAAAAATGTTAAAACTGTTCAAAACTCACATATAATGCATAAAAGCTGCTCATACATTTAAAATTAACACTGCGCTTTTATTTCTGCTATAAAGCACTCATGCTAACCTGCTCAAAGTCTTCTCTCTATGCTCTCACTTTTGTGTGTCAAGATCTTTTATCATGTTTGCATGAAGGTTGATTTCGTGTTCGAGGTTCTCACAGAAAACTTCAGATTTAAACACATTAAATTAAAGATTTTTGAGCAGAAATCAGACGAAACGAAGAAAACAACCGAACGCATCACTGATGTTTTCTGCTCCAAACTCAGAGACACTCGTTTTCACTCAGACGTGCAGTAAATATTGAGTATTGTAGGATTACTGTATGTTTACACTCACAGACTCATATTTGGATGGTTGTGTACACATTCTGACATTTTTGGGATTTTTAACTTAAGTGTTTCGGTTACACTTGGTCTGTTAAAGTCATCCGAGGATCATGTTTACATGGGTGTTTCTTCTTCAGAGTCTTAGCTGATGTCAAAATAAAGATGTCCCTGTAAACACAGACGGTGATTAGTAATACACACACTGTCACAAAGCTACACACACACACACACACACGCACACACACACTCAAGTCTCAGTCAGACTGTCGGAGAGTCTGCAGAGATTATGTAACCAGAGTAACAAAAGATGGATGCGGTTGGCAGAAAAACACAAAGTCCATCATTCCTGCTCGGCTCGTAATCCAATCCCATCTCCTTAAAAACCATTACCAGCACAAAAACAGAGCGGGACCTCTCACTGCAGGCATGACACGTCTGATCTGAGCCGGGTTTGTTATATAAGGTCAACCGCATGTGGAAAAAATACAGTCCTCAGAGGAGAGGAGCAGGTTTAACTGTGTCACTTACATGTATGCCACTTCATTAAACTGAAACCCCCTCTAACTCGTATATATCATAAATCTGCGGGATCCAGTGCGTCACTTTGGTTTACCTCAACCTAACTCCATAAGTGCTGGCCTACATATCTGAAATCTTGACATATCTGTGAATCGGGTCTACAGTTGGCAGTCTGGGGTCCGAACAGCTCTGCACAATAATGGATCTGAGCGGTAAGAGGGGCACCGCTTAAGTCTTGATTTTCACCCTGAGCTGGTTTTTTAGAAGCTGAGCGATGCAGATTTATAAACACCCCTGATTATCAGACGACCCCTTTTATAAAGATGATTGGACTTCACTTTTGTCCCCTTGAAGCAGACGCTCTTAAAACCACAGTGGTATTTTTTATCTGTTAGTATTTTAATGTCTTTTTAAGATTCAGTTTTTGGTCTTTATTCAGAGGACAGTGAACAGACGACATAAAGGAAAGGGCTGCAGGTTGAAATTAAACCACTGAGCTAATGACGCCTCAAACCCCAAATTTCCATCGCATCTGGCACAGCTCCGCAATTTTTCATCGTCCACCAATTTCTACTGAATCCATTTGTGAGGCGAATTTCATGGTGGATTACAGACGGCAGGAATCGCGAGAACTCACAAGAACCCGCGGATTCACATGCAATATTGCAATAACGAGTCGTCTCTCTAAAGACAGACACATAGACATATAAGCAGTAGATTGTGTCCTTCCAGAGGAGGAAATCTACTTCTAGACTTCTAGAATCAGCATCTCCTCATCCATGGTGTCATCGGGGTGAAATGACGTCTAAAAACCTTTCACTTGTTCGTCTCCGCCCGTTTGCATGGTGTGAAATACGATCCTCCTGAAACACGGAGTGTTTTATTTTGAAAAGAAGCCGGATGTTTTATTTTGTGTCTGTGCCCGACTTCCTTTCCAACACGGGTTAATCTGTGCTGAATTTATCCGCCATGCTCCGGTGTCCGGAAAAAATAGAACTCTAGTGATCAGCTGAGGAGGAACGGAAAGAAGTCGATAAAATTTGATGCAATAACTTCAGTGGAACTGATCAGCTGCGATCGGCAGAAGCAACGTGAAAAAGCAACGCGGAAATCCGAAATATTCAGCTTACGCCTTTTCCTATACCCACCTGGTGCAACTGGAATAAAACTTGCATATCGTCACCCTATTAAAATAATGGCCTTTGTCGTTTTTTGACAAAAATGCTCTTTAGTACCAGTACGAAAGCTTTATTAGCCAATCAGAGGCAGACAGGTATGATGATTTGGATCGCCACGACTCCAGAAACGATTGAAAAACTACAGAATGTTACAAAATGGCGTATCGAAATGCGCAGCAGCATCGTCGGCTTGGAAGGTTCAAATGTGTACATGCTGTCCCAGTTTAAATGGGTTAAATACAGCCCATGTCTGTGTCACCTGATGTGTGATGATCTTCTCTCTTATTAAAGTCAAATTGATGTTAAAAAAAATAAACTGTTTTTTTTTCCCGTGGATTTTTAAAGGACTTCAGAACAACAGCAGTGACCCAAAAAAGAGTCAGATTTCCTCTTTAACATCACTTCACATCCTCCGTCTATTTCTGTTCTCAGCGGATGTCAGCTGTGCTGCGTTTGCAACTTTCTGTCAGGCCGTCAAACCTCCTGCTCTGCAAGAGTTTGACCTCTGACCTCTGGCTGCAGGTCCGAACAGCACGAGTTCAGCGCACCTGCCCGCCACACACCTTCATTTACGGGACGCACAGACCCCCACACCAAAATATCTCTGCCGACGGTCTCTTAGCGTGCGAATGAATTCCCCCTGAAAGTGATCTGCTTGAAAGACCCTGAGGAATTTTAATAGTGTTGTAAAATATTCAAGGAGGGTTTTTCCTTCAGAAATCGGACCCCGGCTAATAAACCTGCAGCCATGTTTAACGCCGCCAGCTGGAGAAACCTCCTCGGAGCTCCTCCCGTGTGTTTATGCAGCAGCTTTCATCTGCATCACAATACAGATGTGGAGAGAAATATTTACAGCCGCTCTCAGAGTGTTTGTGCTGAAACTTCCTCAAAACAGATTAGGCGAATCCGGGAAAACAGACCTGCTCTACAAATGAAGCAGAACAGTGTGACAGTTTGTGAAACTTTGGAAATCATTAGGGGTCATTTCTGCGTTTGACTTAGGATTAGTAGCTCTGCAACAGCCGAACACTTTCACGTCTTTCCTCGTGTTAGGTTTAAAACCTGCTTGCATTTACCTGAAATAAAAAGGAGAAAGACAATGAATAAGTTTGAGTAATGGACAGAGATATGTTTTGGATATCTCAGTACCACACTGAGGGTTCTTTTTCTGTCTTTTATTGCTCTTTTATTTAGTCCCTGGTTACATAATGTTTCTAAAGGGGTGGTAGATGGTGCAGCAAAGTAAACATTCTCATAAAGCATAATAATGAACATTTGTGAATATGTGAAGGTCAAGGCGGCATCTAATGAGCTCCTTCTGATAACAGCGGCACCTCCTCAAAAACTCCCCACGATTCACAGCGGAGGATCCATCACTCACACACCCCCACCTGCTGATAGGAAAGACCCAGTCACAGAAAACTGAAAGAACATTGTTGTGCTGTGTAGTAAATCTATTGGAGAGAGAAGTTAGGAAACACTCTTATATAATGTATAAAAAGAGGTCAAAACAGTTTATACTTGTAGTCAACTCTTACATAAGAATATGAGGAATAATGATAACTTCTATATACATTTATGCACATTATTCTAACACCTCGCTACAGTTTGCAAAGACACCAAAGTTTAACTACGTCTTTTTAATGCATAAACATAAACTAAAAGATGCTGTTTTTGTTGTTCTGCACCTTAAATTGCTTCATGAGTTTAAAATTGGGGGTTCGGGCTTCAATAAAACGTAAAAACTGCTCGATCACATGTCTTGCACAGGAGTTTCTCATGGTTTTGTTTGAGTAATCAAAATTATCACAGCGTATTGACTCCGATTGGATATTTTGTGCATGCACTCCTGCATATTGGTTTAATGTGTAACAGCGTCCCTCACTCGTGGACAAGACCCCGAGATAGTTGAACTCCTCGCATGAGTAGCGGGGTCAGCAGTGATGCGAACGCTTAACCGATCTGTCGTGGTGAAGAAAGAGCTGAGCCGTAAGGAGAGACTCTGGATTTACCGGTCGATCTACGTGCCGATCCTCACCTATGGTCATGAACTTTGGGTAATGACCGAAAGAACAAGATCGCAGATACAAGTGGCTGAAATGGGTTTCCTCCTCAGGGTGTCCGGGCTCAGCCTTAGAGATAGGGTAAGGAGCTCGGACACTCGGGAGGAGCTCAGAGAAGAACCGCTGCTCCTCCACGTCGAGAGGAGTCAGATGAGGTGGCTCGGGCATCTGGTTAGGATCCCGTTAGCCTCCCTCGTAAGAAAGCTAATTATGATATTATCTTTAACTCCTATGTTACCTGCTTCTTCTTCTACACCGGTAATGTTAGGCTGCAGGCTCGCGTGAAGAGGAGTGTGCAGAACGGCGCTGTCTCCGCCCACGACTCAGAGACGAACTGTTAATGAGCGACTGGAGCTCTGCAGAAGAAAACGACACAGGTCATGTGATTTTTGGCAAAAACTTCACAATCACAATTTAAAGGCCTCAGAAAACACTTTAAGTGGTTAAAAAAAACAACAGCTGGCTCGGCCCCTGAGTCCAGTCGCTCTGTGAAGGATCTTTAATTACTGATTCTGGATTATTGTTTGCAGCTACTACAGTTAGCAGGAAAGCAAAACCGGTCGGATAGAGACCATGGAAATGCAATCTACTAACCCGTCAGGAGTGATTGAACAAACAGACATCTGCATTCAACTGGAAGTCGCCCACTCACGCTCAGAGGCTTCGATTACCCTCCAAGTCTGCAAAACAAAAACAAACGTCTAAACTTTGACGTGGTGCAGATCCTCTACATGCAAATTTAAGAGCGTGATTAATATAATAAAACTGCTAAACATGATCGTGTTAAATCTCCATCCTGAGCACGCAGGTATAAGTGTGTCAAAACCCTCCTCATGCACGAGGACGGCTTCCCGGGCGGATCTCCATCTTTTTATTTGTGCAAACTTCAAATGCACTCGCAGAAAAGCAGCTGCTGTTTCTCCTCGCGTGGACTCACACACTCTTCTGCTGCACTCCTCTTTCAAACAATAACACCAGAGTTGTTCACACTCTCCGTTTGCCAAACACACACACACACACACACACAGATCTTATTACTGGTGTGCTCTCAGACTCCTGCTGCACACGTTTAGCACGTCGCCCCTGATGGAAAACTGCGCTCTTTCACATCGTTATTCCATACTTTGGCTGCCTGGACCCCAATATCTTTCACCGCTGTGACAATTGCCTTAACAGACGACCGCCGCATGGCCACGATGCAAGGAATCCAGACATTACCCAATATCCTGCGAGGGTCCGGAGGGATACACGCCGCTCATTAACAGACCTGCCAGTCCTGTGTGTGATCGGCCGACAGGTCTGCGGTTTAAATACATGGGGGAGATTTATCAGACTGGACATGAATGACATAAAGAGACATGTGAAAGTTTGCCCTGAAGAGAGCGGAGGGGAAAATCCACACGTACTCTTACACAGTTATTATGTCTGTGGCTGTCAGTGCATGTCTGGAACTAATTTGTGATTAGATGTTATAATAAAGTTTCAGTGCTCCAAAAACGAACCCTCGGCCAAAAACAAGAGGACCGCTCAGGTTTAAAACCGCTCATTATGTTCACTGCGCTCCGATTTTCCAGCACACTCAAACGTATTTCTGTCGAACTGTTACAAAGAAGAAAAAAAGTCTGAAAAAGACGAAAAGAAAAAAAAAAGTTCTTTCTCTGGGGACTTAACTAAATCAGCCTTTAAAGGACTAATCCGTCTTTTTCAGCCTGACTAAGGACAGTGTCTTTGTTTGCAAAAATAGACTTTCAAACTCTCTGGGCCTGATCCACTAAAGGTCAGATCTCTGTGGGCCTAATCTAATCTAATCTAATCTAATCTAATCTAATCTAGCCTCTAAAATCTACAAGGAAGTGATTAGGAAAAAAAAAGCTGTTAAGATAGTAAACGATCCTTCCTGTACAGAGAGTAGTTATACTTCATTCAGGCAGACGTTATCAAGTCCCTAAGGCGAATCGTAACCTCTTCAAAAACTCGTCTCGTTCGATCTGCCTGTTATGTTCGGCACACACCGCTGTTGTCCTCCCTCTTCTGCTGCCAAGATGTTTTGTGTGTCTTTGTTGTGTGTCTGTTGCTGCTGTTTAACCTGTTTTTTGTACACAATAAGACTAAAGGTAATTTCACACCTGGACCGTTTTTTTCATGCGATTATTTCAGACGTCAATATTTTTTTTGAACCCGTATCCTGTCAATACAAGCGTTCACATCAGCGCAATTTCCCGTCCTGCGATATTGCGGCATTTATTTTTTCAGATCACGGTCATCATTTTTCTTAAGTTTCTCATACTGTGTGTCCACTTCTGACCAATCAGATTTCATGTTGTTGTGACGTCAGATTCACCGGTATATCCAACATGGCTGACCGGCTGATTGTTTACGTGTCGGAGAACAGAGTGATTTTTGATAAAAGACACAAACATTACAAAGATAACGACCTGAAGGACGACTTGTGGAGAGTCATAGCGTCAGATTTCTCACATGACGAATTGTGAATCATAACCTGCAGTGTGAATGAAGCCTAATAGCACAAGAAATTTTTTAGTTTGTGCGTGCAATTTAGCGCTCGCTATTTGGGATCTTAGTAGATCAGGCCCTTTATCTGCAGGATTACTGCAAACACATTTGTACACACACACACACCCACCCATACACACACACACAGTACAGTATACAGGTGTGTGTTTGCATGCATGTGTGTGTTTAGGAATGTAAGCCAGAGAGCAGATACCCCCCACTCTCCGCCCTGATGTCTGAGCCAGCTGGCCGACCCTCTTCACTCCCTCCACCTCACACCGCTAACCCTCTGCCCTTTCACCTTTACCCCCTCACACACACACACACACACACACACACAGACCCCAGAGGACTCGTACTGGAACTGGGTTATCTCTGGGTGGTGGTGGTGTTGGTGGTGTGGACGGTTTCCAGGAATCACAATCGTCCCGTCCCTGCCCTCTTATCCTTCACTGATTTTCCAGTTTTCACAGCCCGGCTCTGGAAAGTGTGAGTAAGCGTTTCCTGTGGAAAACTATATTTTCAACGCTGTAATTTGGCGTCTGCAGCCGCGCTCCTGCGAACAGAAACAGTAAGTGGAGATGTGTGAAGAGAAGGAAAAACGCTGCGTCAACTTCAGGGTGACAGATCTGAGTTTAACTCCCCACTAAAAGGAGCTGATCGTGTGTATCCGGGGGGGGTGTAGGTCAGGGTCCCTACAGCTCAGGGTCAAAGGTCAGTGTTGTGAGGATGGTGCACGAGGTCTGCACAATAAAAGAGATATTTATGGAGCCGTTAGCCTGAGTCAGGGATTAACTCGCAGCTTAGAGGCATCATTAGGACCCACACTGCAAAAACAGCCCAACTAGAGAGAAGCAAAATATTCTTAAATTCAATCAAATAATCCTGTATCAGGCAGAAAATCTAACAATGCAGATTTCTTGGTCCTGACAAACTCAAATTAAACTTAAAACTAGACAGAAAATCTTAAATTAATCAAATTTTTTCTACAGCGAGAAATTAAAGTTACTTAAAATTAGAATTTTAGTCTCTTGAATAAAAGAACTTCAAGAAAATACACGTTAGTTAGAAGTAATATCATATGAAGAAATGTTAGCTAGAATTAAAAATGAAAGTGAGAACTTTAAGAAGTCCTGGGAGTGTTTACTGGTGCAAAACTGTGATGATACGTAATCAAAATGAATCCTACAGCAAATGTTTAATATTAATATGAATATGACTCTTTTATCTTAAGGTAAAAATACATCACAGGCCTTTTGTGTTTTATTATTATTTATTTTTTTTTTTTTTTGGGGGGGGGGGGGTGTTTTTGTTTTTTTTTCCTTCTGTTGATTTGTATATTTTGTAAAACTACATTGGCTATACTGTCTGTATGCTGTTCTTCAGAAGGAAAAATAAAAACTTGAATAACAAAAAAAGAAAATGCACCTTAATCTAGGATAATTAATGAGCATGACGGTACTTCAAATAAGACATCATTTCTTAAAACAGCAAATATAAGTGACGTTGTCTTAAATCAAGAAACCAAAACATTCTCATTAAATATCTATTTTTTATTCCACAAGCAAGCCCCATCTTTGTTGTTCTTTGTTGGTCTTTGTTGTTGTTTGTTGTTTTGCGGTTTTCATCTGGTCATTGTATTATGTTGTCTGTTGTACAGATTAACCTCCTGACATCTTTAAATGTCAGATAATGTTTGAGGCTGTCAGGTTCAGACGACCTGAAGTGGAAATCTTAGTTTATAAAAAAAATCAACTGTTCTTATTTCATGGCGTTCTTAAATCTTAAAGTCGTACATTTGTCTAAAGGTCCTTTCTTGCGCGATATTTAGTGCATGAGGGTCTGCAGAGTCAGACAGAAGATAAAACAGTTTCATTCTTAAATCCTCTCGCTGCAGAAAAACAACCACCTAAAAACTAGGTTGCGTTCGAGGACGCTGAAAACACAAACTCATAAATCAAACGAGGACTCTCAGGGATTTTCTCGCTCAGCTGCTGTTCAAAGCAAACACACAGATCATGATTCAGCTCTGACTGACTGATTTATTGCGCCGTCGTCCTTCCCTGCTCCTCTGTTGACGGTCACATCCCCTCTGTCACTTCCCTACCAGCTCGGTTCACGTGCACGCCTCATCTCGTGTCTGTGCTGCATCATTTTTGAGGACCCGCGCCGCCAACCCACCAGACCAGTGCTGGGAATGTGCGGCAGCCGTGTTTGCATATGCATACCTGACTGACAGTATATCTCCGGCCTTGTGGAGTTTGTGCAGAAAATGTAACATTTAGAAGTTGGTTCTCTCTCTGCTAAAACTGCAGACCTTAAACACAGTCACTCCAAAGACCGTGGGACTTGAATCAAAGTGGAAAATCCTGCAGGAACGCCTCAACCTTCTGCACAGCCCCTCCGCTGAGACGAAGTGGAGCTGTGAGAGTTTCACACCCCGGTACTTCCAGGAATGTCCATCACCCAGTTTCACCTTATCACTGACACATGAACACACCAGACGGCAAATGAAGCAGACAGCGCCTCCTGACAACCCAAAATAAAGAGGCACGTGAGGGCAGCAGGTGTAAACCGTCCTCCTGTTGCTCCTCTCAGGCGCCAGGAGGATCCGCTCAGATAATCTCAGCTCTCTGTAAACGCTTCTTACAGAGCGAGGAGCAGGACTGATTGAAAGCTTTGTTTTGTTTTATCACCTTCACCACTTCATCTGTCCTAACAAACACAAACACACACAGCTACAGTAAATAACTCTGATGGTTAATGAGCGCTAATTGTGACTTTCCCGTCAGCGTTGTTTCCAGTAAACACAGATTCACACGTGCTCCGAGGCTCTCACAGATTCTCTCCAGGACATGTTTACTATCTGCAGAGACGTTTCCACTGCATGTTCTGTCACATCCCTCACCTCGGCTCACCTCCTCCTCCTCCTCCTCCTCGCTGCATTCAACCAAAGAGTCCAAAACACTAATTAAGAGAATAATCCGTCACTAACAGACGGTGGGGTGGAGGTATCCACCTGAACGTGAGTGACAACGTCAGAATGAAAGGCTGTTATTTCAGGTGAATCTCAACGACGTCATGCGCTTTAATTTAGACTCTTCTTCGTGTGACTTAACAGGACAAGACAGCGTGTCTGCTGACTTCATCTCACGCTCCACAGCCGAGCTTTCTTTAAATCACTCTCACGCTGCAGGAAGGAGAACTGGAGATTCACCAGAGTGATCATGCAAACACACTTTCAACAACCCGATTGTGATTGGTTGAAATGGGATTGGTGCTGCGTTCATGTGCGCCTCAGATCGTCCCAGAGTCAGATTTCCCCTCTGAGGATCATTAAGGATTATTTTATCTTAAAGTCATGGTTGACGATTGGAGAGATTGTTAATTATTATGAGCCTTGTTTCTATGGCGATCATGGTCCTATAGTTCGATCTCCACAAAGTGAAGAGAAAAAAGAACTGAAAAAATCTGTTCACCCTGCAAAAACATTGACCAATGGGAGCCATCCGTCCCGGACAGCTCCTATTGGTCAATCTCATGCTCCGCCTCTCCATCCAATCACCTCGCTGTATTCGACACACCCCTCTCCCGTAGTTCCGACTTGTCCCCTCCCACTCTCCTGGCCCTCCTCGGAGCTCTAAGCGGCTAAAAGTAGCGTAGCAGCTTCTGCTCGCCCCACCGCCAAACGTGGGAAAAAAACGCCAACAGAAGAAAGGGCGGAGTCGAAAAGGAAATGTGACCAAGCGAGGAATCTAACTGGAATAACCATCGGGTCATCCTTAAGGGGTGGAGAAAGATCCTATTTGAAGCTAGCGTAGGATCTTCTGCCAGAGGGGGTGTGTCGTGGGGAGGCCGATACAGGTTCAGGGGGGAGTTATCGTGGAGCACAGAGGGGAGAGGTTAGTGTGAGAAGCAGAGTCCTGTACTTTGGTCCAAGACTGTCCTACTTTACACCAACAAACCCTGCAGTCCCCAAACTAGGTCCCTCCAGAGCGAGCTCCAGCAGCCCCCGGCGTGTTGACTGCAGCACTTACACATTTACATACGAGAGTTTTTCTTTGGAGTTCAGAGTCTAATGAAAATAAACTTTAGAAACGAAGGAGCACGGTTCAATCCGTCCTACATCACCAAAAGGTCAAATAAATAGACAAATAAATGATGTGGTTTTTGTCTTTCCTCGTCTGCAAGTGAACCTGGAAACGTCACGGTCAGCGGGTGATGAAGTTCGACTCTGACAGGTGTGATTAGGTTGATGAATGCGGCCACACTGGGGGTCAAATGGCCACAGGCTCACAGAAAGGAGGGAAAAAATGACAGAAACTCCAACAGTTTGAAAAATTCTGATAAAAAAATGAAAAAAATCCACTTTTTTTCACCCCGAGTCTTTTGTTTTTCTGCTGACATGGAACAAATTCAGAGATCTGGGTTGATGTTGTTGGAGCTGAAGATCGAAATAACAGCATCATGAGTCAAGTTTCCATGTTTTACCGCGGAGGGAAACAAATCAGAGGACCGCTGATGAAAAATACAGAACGCAGGTTTATTTTTGCAGCATATTTATCTAGTGAGAAAGTACGTGATTGGAGCCAGCATGTTAGATAACTGATCCTGTATTAGCTAAAATTAACTCCAGTTAATACAGAAGAATGAGGTCACAACTGTGAGTATCTGATCTGAAGCAGCGAAATGAGACCATGTTTGAATTTCATCAACATAAACGTCATCAAAACTTTCAGGCGTAAGAAATATGAAGGTCGAAGGAAAGTTCACGAGCATGTCGAGTGTTACCGAAGAGTTCGCAGCCTGAACTCTCCTCGTCTCTGTCGGTATGAGGAGCAGTGTGACAACATACCGGGTCTCACCGAGGTGATAAAGGTCTAACTCATGCCTCAGAGTCTGAAAGCTTCACCTGCAGCACATTCTGTCCTCTGAGGCTGTTTTTCAGGATGACCTTCCATCACGCCGCTCAGACAGAGAGAACAAAACTGACTCAAGCCTGTTTTAACATCATGAGTTATATAGCCTGTTATGAAACCGCTCAGTGTGGAATTTTTATCAGATCTATTCGATCAATCAAATTTCCATCGTTATTAGTCAGGCAGTGGCTTAAAATATCTGGATTCAGTGAGTTGATCTGATGTAAAAACGTGGCCGGTGAATATCGCAGTTACAAGTAAGAAGCGAGGTCGCACAGTCAGCTCAGGGTTACGGTAGAAAAGTGGAATTTTAAACAAAAGTCAGTAAATTATAATGTTATATAAAAGGTCTGGGGCGATTCGTCAGTGTAGCGGTGCAAAAATCATGTATTGATGCGTCACATGATGATGTAGAAAATGGCTACTTCAGGTATCAGTGGAGGCATGGACGGTAAACGAGCTCCACCTAATGAGGTCGATTTAAAACCTACTTTAACGGGATCGATGAGCAGCTCCTCTAAATCAGTGCATGTGTTCTTCCTGGCTTCCTTGTTCCTTGTTCACATTTTCAAGATGGCGCTGCTTCATTCAAGGAGACATGCAGTGACCGGTCAATCAAATAACCCACCGCTGGTGCAGCGAATGCCACAGTGGACGCTGCATCATACGTCCTGCATCCCGTATCTAATTTATTCACTTAAAGCAGTTAGCTCAGAGTTGAAGCATCAGTTTTGTGCTTTTATTTGTCCGATAACTCAGTAATTAATCAGCCGTGTGATCGCCAAAGATAGCTCGCTAATGCTAACACTCAGCGCACGTGAGCTCCGCTGCACATATGTATACTGATACACGAGTCTGAGATAGAGCAACGCAAGGAAAAAACTTTAAAGTGTGGCGGCTTTTATTTAATCGTGGCGGTGTGCCATGATCGACTGCATATCGGGGAAACAAGAACATAACAGGCTGGTCACCTGAAAATGGTAAACTGCGGTTCACAGTGTGTCGCCCAGCACTAAGTGAAGGCTTTTAGCTGAGTGTTACTTACAGCTGACTTCAGATAAGCTAAAAAGTGCGTTATGAATTTTAAAAAAACGTTGATAAAAATTAACTGTCTTTGTTTTAATTTCAAGAGAATCATGAATAAATCACTGAATTAAATACCACTACTATCGCTAGATTAATCAATAAAAAAATAATCATTAGGTGCAGCCCTATTAAAATTTTATCATTAAACTGAGAAGCTGATTAAGACACGTAAACAACCAAAAAGTTCGCTAGAAGTTACGAACAAATACCTGAAACAGAAGCTTGGCGAACTTTAGCGGCGCAATGTTTTTAACAGAAAGTTAGCTTAATGTTGTCAAATTTCGCTCTGTCTTCTGCCTTAAAATATAACACAAAGATATAATACATATTACAATAAAATGCTTAAAAGTCTCACAAACAAGCTACATTCTTAAGTTAGCTAGCTACATTTTAGCGTTAGCTTGAAATTAGCCTTGCTGAAATTCTTGCCGTTAGCTAGCTGGTGGTCTGGTAAGCTGAATGGAATTAGCTAAAATAAAGAGGGTATCAATCTGACAACAACAGCTGGAGGACTTCAGAGTTAGTTCCTAAAAAGGAGACGTGAGAGCGAATCAGGCGCGAGCTAATGTAGCATGATGCTGTTATCTCTTTAGCGCTCCTTTGATCTACTCGTCGTTAAAGATCGAGATAAAACGGCTATAAAAAGAAACAACATAAAGACATTATTATCCTCTGAGTTTTGACAGGTGGCCGTTCGTCTTTTTTATGTCATAGGTTGTGTAACTGTTTCTCAGGTTAGTTACACAACTGACCTGGCTCGCCGTCAGCTAGCACATTAATATTCGTCCGTGATGGACGCCAAAGATAGCTGCACAGAGGAACATGAGGACCGCGCAGGCATGCCGTCTGTTCAGATGCTTCTCCGGGGTTTTCTCAGGGTGTGTGCTGAAGGTTCAAGAGGTGTTGGTTTTACCTTCAGGGATCAGTCTTCAGAGATTTTATCAGAGAAACAGAGTGACAGCCAGCTGATGTTTTGACGTGATGATGATGAGGATGATTCTGCTCTTCCCTGAAGACATGTTTGTGTTTTCAGAAAGACGTCGAAGCAGCATTTTCAGTCCTGCTGAGCAAACCGAGACTGTGCGGTTATTCCAGGATAACTTTATTACTCTGTAGAGGTAACCTCCAGTCTTTAGAAACAAAGCTGATACTGAAACGCTGTAAACTCTAGTTCCTCAAGTGTCCACTCGGGGTAGTCAAATACACATCCATTTAGAAAAGCCCATTTCTACAACAAAAAGAAACATGTTTACATACACATACTGTACAGATGGTGAATTTTTTAGGACTCTGGTTTTAATGATGTTCAGGTTCTGCATGAAGAGGGGCGTGTCTGACCTGACTCTCAGGTGGGCTCGCTGTAATTACCAGGAAAGTGGCTGACCCCCAATTTCAACCGCATCGGGAACCGCTACAAAAATGCTGTATCCGCCGATCGTAGCTGTTCGTAACCATTTAAGTTGATGTGTCAATTTCTTTCCATTCCTCAGCTGATCAAGAGTTCTATTTTTTCTGGACGCCGGAGCATGGCGGATAAATTCAGCACAGATTAACCCGTGCTGGAAAGGAAGTCGGGCACGGACACAAAATAAAACATCCGGCTTCTTCTCAAAATAAAACACTCCATGTTTCAGGAGGATCTTATTTCACACCATACAAACGAGACGAACAAGTGAAAGGTTTTTAGATGCCATTTCAATGACACCATGGATGAGGAGATGCTGATTCTAGAAGTCTAGAAGTAGATTTCCTCCTCTGGAAGGACACAATCTACTGCTTATATAGTTAGCCGATGTGGCCAGAGGCAACTTGATATCGTGTGATTGCACATGAATCCGCGATTCCTGCTGTCCGTGATCCGCCACGAAATTTGCCTCACGAACAGAAGCGGTAGGAATGATCAGTTAGGATGGGGATGAGGTGGAAATCCCGGGTTAGGGACCTTTTTACCTCCTGCAGGGTCATCTGAGGTTGAGTTACTGTCATTATTGGGCCTCAAAACTTTCTTCAGGAGTATCACCTGGACTACATCCATGTTTTATACCGTCTCTGATTGTACATGTTCCGGTCCAGGACGCTAAAAGTCCACCAAAGCTCCGCCTCTTTGTTTGCCTTAAGAATGATCAAAAGTGAAGTCAGAACTTTTGGCAAGGAACCCACCATCTCCCAGGTGCAAAAGACCGGTTCAGAAACAATTGAGTGGTTTCACAGAGACCAGGTCCATGTCCCAGGGTTGGCACCAGTCACTCTCATCAACCAGTCTGCAAAAACGAACCAGGCTGCTGTGGACTGTAGCCGTACACCTGCCCTACCTGAGACGGCGCAAGAATCGAGTTTCATCTTCATGAGTTCACGTCACTTTGGCGGGTCTTCGGCTTTTGGCCTGTTTGTTTTGGTGCCCCAGTTTCACCCTGATCCAGTCTGAAATCCCCCGAAGTTTCTGTCGCCATAAATCAAATGAAGACTCTAGGACAAGCTGTGGCTTCGACACGGCCGTGCACTCTGCATTCGGCCTGAAAAAGATCCAGACACTGAACTTCTTAATCAGAGTCTGATCTTCCAGACGACATTTCTCCCTGAGCTTCTTAACCACGACAAAGTTCACTGGAGAAGAATGAAAACCACGTCTGTTCTGCTTTAAAATCACATCGTTTTGGTGAATCATCTCTCAGTGAGTTTTAATGAGGCCTGGACCAAACTGTTTACATCGAAACTCAGTTCAGCCGCTTCTTAAAAACAACCTCTGATGATTGTTCTGATCCCCGAGGACTTTCGTCATTTAAATAACCAGAGAAATAACAAGAAAATAAGACCCGTTATTCCACAGAGCTGCAGTAGGACGTCCAGTTCCAGTGGACGTCTAGCTTGTCTCGAACTTTGCTGGAAACTGAGCGAGTCGTCCAGCGGGTTATTGCTGAGCAGGCGTGCGTCACGGCAGACACAAAGACGGAGAGTGAAAGCGTCTGGAGAGGAAACTCTGCTGACTTCATTTCCACTGGAGCGGCTGTGTTTGAGCTCCGGGACGGGACGAGGGACTCCCTTCAGAAAGTACATCCAGATGGCGCGGTCACAGCGCCGCTTTTTTGAAGTGTGTTCGTGCGTGAGTCTGAGTGTAACCCCGGGCGTTGTCCTCCAGACGCACGTGGATATTATTTTCTCAGGTTGAAGCGAAGTGTTTTACAGTAAGCGTGGGAGCGGACGGCGAGGGTGGAGGCCGGAGAGAAACAATTAACTGTAGCCGCTTCAAGAAACGTGATCAAGAAATCGTTAAAGTCTTGACCCTCTTGACCTGATTTTCTCACATCTCGGCCGTGTTTTCGTTTCCTGGCCTCTTTGTTTTGCTGCTGCTGCTGTGACGTCCTCTCTCAGTGGTGAAGTAAGGCTCGCTCTCTCAGACTGACGATTCCTGAAAAGACTACAAGAGGTACAAAATTAGTCTCATGGGACTCCTGATCTCTAAATACTTCATGTGAGTCACTCTTGTAAAGTTTACCAAAGAAAACCCACTCTCCAACACTAAATATAAGCTTGATATGGGAACCCTGCAGGAGAGGAAGCTGATAAAACCGCAGATTTCTAATGAAAAGTGTATTTTTTGAAATCTCAGATACCAGACGAGGAGTTTGATTCATTCTTGAGGCTTTTCTTGAATCCACTGACAGAACGACGACAGCTGCTGCTGCGTCAGATACTTCCGTTCATGGAGATTAGTCTCTCTTTAAAGTGTTACTCCGTTTACTCTCAGTCTGTCTGCTGCAAAGAAGCGGAATAATCAAATCCCGCAGGTCACGCACAGGCCGCGCAGGAGGAGCCGCCTGAAGATCAGGAGAGCTTCAGGTTATCTCTGCAGGTTTTAAAGGCGTCTGCGGGATGCACAGGAGTTCGCCGCTCTCACCTAGGAGTGTGACCGGCTCGATCAAGCGTTTGACAGGGGTGTTAGTGACGGTAGCGTTGTCACGTGCATGTTTACATTCTACGGTCATTTGATACACAGACTTGATGCGCCGCAGTCGGTTCTCTGTTTCAGTGAGGGGGTCAGGACTGAGGATTTTTGTAGGCAAGTTCAACTGGGAGGAAAGAAGCTGGAGGGATTTGCAGATGAGAGGGACCTGCTCAGGTGAAGATGGATGAAGCTTTGTGACCTTTACTCTGCATGTTTTGGTTTTACTTTTGAGGAGCTGTGAACTCCTCCATCTTAGATGACTTTCAGTTTGAACAGAGGAGACAGTTTAGTGCCGTTTGAGGTCTTCACTTTGGATTGCAAATGTCTTTCCATGTGTTTGTATTGACTTTGTGTATCTCTCAGAGTCAGTCTCACATCTGCAGCTCATTTCCAGTCTCTGATTTTTTTGTTGTTGTTGAAGGAGTGAGCGTAGCATCGGACCATCACGGCATCCAGCTCTGTGTTTATCTCGGACTCTTAAACAAAATCCTCCCGGTTCCTGCCCGCTCAACGCCTCAAATCCACAATCTTCTTTCCAATTGCTGCTCTGCTCTCGGCTCTTCCACTGCCAAAAAAAGTGATCCTCCGTCTGTTTACTGTGTGATGAGGAAGATCCATTTCTCAAGAGGCTGACGGAGCAGTGCTTCCTGACAGATGTGAGTAAATCAACAGACTCAGATTGATTAGAAACAAGCAGGAGAGAGAGAGAGAGAGAGAGAGAGAGAGAGAGAGAGAGAGAGAGAGAGAGAGAGAGACAGAGAGAGAGAGAGAGAGAGAGAGAGAGAGAACAGAGAGGGAGAGAGAGAGAGGAAGGGAGAGAGAGAGAGAGAGAGAGGAGGGAGAGAGAGAGAGAGAGAGAACAGAGAGGGAGAGAGAGAGAGGGAGAGAGAGGAAGGGAGAGAGAGAGAGAGAGCAGAACCACAGCAGCTTGTTTTCTGTTTGCCCTCTGGGCCTGAAAACATGCTGACGAGGAACCACTCTCTGAAACTACAACTATGATCATTTCTTTACCAACAGCACCGCTCTGTGGTCAGAAAGTGCAACTGCGTCTACTATTGGATGGATTTTACTCAACTGAATCCAAACCCATTTATGTATTTATTTATTTATTTATTTGGAGCCAGATTTCTGTTTTGCAGATTTTTTTAACTTCATTATGTTTTTCTAACTTTTTTCTTTCTTCTTTTTTTTTGTACTAATATTTTTTTCCACTCTTTCTGTTTTTCTGACAAATTTTTATTCTGGTTTTCGTAGTATTTTTTTTCTATTCTTTCCGGTTTTGTTATATTTTACGTGTCTTTCTGTTTTTCCAACTATATTTTGTCATCCTGTTTTTTGTACTATTATCTTTTACGTCTTTCTGTTTTGCAGATTTTTTTTCGTCATTATGTTTTTCTGACTTTTTCTTTCTTCTGTTTTTTATACTCATATTTTTTTCCCCTTTTTCTGTTTTTCAGACAAATTTTTATTCTGATTTTTTGTACTATTTTTTCGTCTTACAGTTTTTTGTTTTATTTCATTTCATCTGTCTGTTTTTTGTGTCTTGTGTTTTTTTTCGTCATTATGTTTTTTTTCTTCTGTTTTTTTGCACTAATATTTTTTCCTCCTTTTTTTTCTGCAATTTTTTATTGTTTTTTTTGGTACAATTTTTTTCTTTCCTAACGAAACAAGATACTTCAAAATCCTGCGAGAATCTCTCATACATCAGATAACATTAACCACAGCTCCTGCTCCAAACCAGCAGATTCTCCTTTGAGATAACTTGGACTACAGGGCCAATGAGAGTAAAACATGTTATCAGTTAAACAGAGGGTCTGCAAATCTTGAGGTGTCTGCGCAAAGTAGACAAACTCATGACGAGTCCATCTATCTGACTCAAAGAAAGGAGGATCTCTCAGTGTCTCAAACCCAGAAGAAAATAAAACTTGATTAAACTAAAAAAGGTGGTCATGTTTGCTTCCAATAAATGAAGCGGAGAGGGATGAAAGCGTCTATTTTTAAATGATCATGATTTTTTTCTTCACAACAGTTTTGTCAAGCAGAGGTAAGGTTCGTCCATCGTGACATGAAGACGACATGAAGGTCAGTCAATCCAGGAAAAGTTCAAGACCCTCAAATGTCTCCTCAAGTTGTGAATCCTGGTCGTACTTGGACCTGGTCCCACGCTGCTTCAGGATTTGTCTCTGGTCTTATAAAGACCTTGAAACACAGACCTCCTTCTTCTTTATGATCCTAACTGACTCTGAAACCTTCGGTCTCGTTCATGAACTCTGCACAGTTTAGTAACAGACTCTCAGTGACAGCCGAAGCAACGAGAGGCCAGATTCATGCAAAAACATGAGGACCAGAAACACGTCAAGAGAACGATTTATTTAAATAATCCACAAATTCATCACATTCACAGTCAGAGCAACACGTCTGTACACTTACTACCAGAAATATTCACATTTTCCAGAGGTGATTCATCGGCTTCAAACACGCAAATCATCAAACATCTGAGAGGAGCAAACCTGAATCTGATCCTGGAGGTAAGACAAAAATAAACTGTTTGAGTTTTTTTAATCAGAAGAACCAGGAGAAGAGTTTCAGAATAAGTCAGCTCTTTATTCAGGAGCATTTTCCCAGCATGCCTCCACTCCTCGCTCTCATTTTCCTGCAGACTCATTACACTTTGAAACGTGCACGTGTTATTTTAAGAAGCATCGGGGTTTAGAAGACAGATCTGAGCCTCACGAGTGTTTACGGCCTCAGACTGAGATATTGTTGAGACATCAACTCAGGATGGAAGATGGATTTTTCTGAACCAAACCTCAACAGTTTGGCGTTTTTACGGCGTGCCACAGACGAGCCAAGGGTTGAGTCCAGCATCGTGCAGCTCGGGCACGTTTAGAGAGCCAGCTGAGAGATTTAGACGAAGCGAGCACGAGTTTAAAACGGCGTGCAAACACTAAACAGCAGGTGCAGACCTCAGTGAGAGCTGACGGATGACCTCTCGCTTGTTTGCTGGCCGACAGATGAAAACGGTTTGGAAAGCATAAATTTAAAGCCCAAAATCCTGCTGGGTGAAGTCAGTAAACGGCACGTGGACGGTGTTTATATCCTCGACCGAAGAGGAGGGGATGGAGAAACCGAGTCTCTGCGCACTCGACTTTTAGTTTACACAGAGTTTGTTTGTAATTCAGAGAAAGAGCAGAAGTTAAAGAGCAAAAACCTCTCTCTGGTTTGCACCTGGTCGTGTTGAGTGTCTTTCTCTTCTGTTGTTTTCAATCTGCTCATAATGATTAAGATGCACATCTGCAAAGAAACGCAGTTTGGTGCTTTTGCTGCAGAAAACAAGCATGAGCTGCAAATGAAGCGAAAAGACGTCCTGACTAAACCGAGGACAGAGTTCTGACTATCAGAGAGAAAAGACGGAGGAAAAACTACAAACTAAGAGATTTATTTCTCAGTTCGAGCGCTGACTATCACAGCGACACCCTCCAGTTTGTCGAACACCGGTTTTACACCTTGAGTTTGGCGTTTCCACCGCTGTGACGAGAGGATGGAGCCGGAGGAGACTGAGTGACATCTTAAACCTGAGTGTGGAGCAGCCTGAAGACCCCGATCAGGTCTACATCCATGATCTAATCCTGTCCTGAAGTCTGACACACTTTCTTGGACGGCCTAAGACAACGTTGAAGCCCTGGGTCCAAAACGATGATCGTGAAGATTGCGTCGGCCTGATTTAACCCCCGTAGATCTACGTTACGCAACTTCCGAAACAGCTCAAGTCGACCCAGAAAAGGGTCAATAAAGCAAAACCTCGAGCACTCCCAGGAATTCATAAACACTTCCGCTAAAAATACCGAGGCCCCACCGAGCGGACAAAGGCGCGGAGTTATAAATAAACCTCCAGGATCTCCGCGGTTATAAACTTCTGCATCAAACTGAAGGCCTGAAGTGCGAGCGAGGAATCTGAGAGGGAGGACAGCGGCGTCTGGAGTTTGTCGCCCTGAGAGCGGCCGTGACAACAAAACCGCCTGGAATCTCTAGATGTTCTTTAGGAAACACGATAATCTGACTTTACACTGAGCTGCTGAGGAACATTTACAGTCGGGCGGCGTGTTCAACTGTCGGTTCTTCACCAGCAAACAGTAAAGTGACCAAAAAAGAGGCGGTTAGTCTCCTGTGTCACTGAGACACTCTGACACTGAGCTGAACTCTAATATTAGCAGCTCGCTCTTCTGCTGCCATTTATACTTCTATTTATGTGATCGACGATTATTAAACACCATTTAAGACCTTCACAGTTTACACACACGGTTACATAACGGCGCCTCCTCCGACTCTAAAATAACCCTCTCATTTCCTGCTCATCAGGTGACGTGAAATAAAGCAGAAGTTCAGGTTTTCATGTCGGTATCATTTCCTGTCAAACTTGTAATGGTAAATCTTTCCGTCCCAAAAGTGACAGATAAACCCGAGCTCATAATATCTGATCAATATTTGATTATTATCCAGTAATAATGAGAATTGATCTGAAACCTGTGCTTTAAAAAGATGAAACTCATCCTTTAAACGTAAAAGTTTATCACATGTATCTGAAACACGACAATCATCCTCGATCCTGGATGTGCAGAATAAAATGATCTTGTAGAAACAGATTATTAACTTTTACACACTTGTTAAAGTTTATAGATATTTCTCTGACACACACAATATAATTATCTTATGTACAAACTTGTGCATGAGGAAATTAAAGGTGGGGTAGGCAGGAATCCGTCAAAGAAGCATCTTTTTTTGTGGTGTATTTACAAAAAAGCTTTTAATATCAGTCAATAGTTATTAGTTATTGATGACATTTGGTAATATATCGATATCTCTGTGTTCTCTTATGTCTGTGTCGTCGACATTTTAAAGTCTTTTTCTGACTGTAAACAAAGCCGTTCTCCACCTCCTCTAACCTGATTGGTTGTGAGGCAGACGCTGCTCCCCCATGTCGTTCAGGAGCCCAAACAAAGTTAGCGTGCTACAATATCGGACAGTAGAAACCAACCAGAAAGTTCGGAAAATTGTCTGAATCCTCCTTTGGCCACGACTGCCGACACAAGCAAGAAAACAAAGTAAATACCGGAGACTCTGGAGGAATAACGGGCGCTTAAAACGGAGGTAGACCGGACAAGAGCTAAAAAGCCGGGTCAACATAAACGATGGGGGACGCTTGGGGATCTTGGTGACCCTGTAACCTTTCTGCTGGACAGGTAAACCGCTTTAACAAAGTAAGACAAGTGTCAAACAGCTGGATTGCACTTGATAACTCGACTGTTTCGTGCACGAATGTCTTATTTAAATTGTTTTTTTTGTGCAGACAAGATTATTAATTTATTCCAACATGATAACAACCTGTGCACTCGCCATGTTTTCATGTGCTCAAAAGTTAATGTCTGCGTATAATTAAAAAAAAGACATCTGTGAAATTTTTACAACCGAGAGCAAAGAGAGATATAGAAGTTTTAGCATCTTTGCATCCTGAAAGTTCAGTAAATTTTACATGCACACTTTAAAACTAAACTTATTTAGAGAGAACAGATTGTTACTAAGTGAGCTCCTCTGACCTTCATCAGTCATGATCCTGTTAGTCTAATGCAGTTCTCCCAAAATCCTAATCTGTCACAAATCTTTAAATATTCCTCCAAACGCGTCTCATCATGACACGTTTCATTCAAGACTAACAGTTTTAAGAGTTTATATTTTTGTTTAAATACAGGATTGATATAATTTAAGCAAAAGAAAATACAAAGAGCCCGTCCACAGACAACCTGCAGTTCCTTCAAAGCCCACAAGGGGGCCAGCTCTGATTGGAAGTCCCAGTTCACGTGTCCTCTGAACTTTTGTTAGTTTATGGATATTTTTTGGGACAAATACATGAAAGAGAAACATATAAACTAATGTTTTCACTATTTTTGAGTGTCTGTTGTTGGAGAAGGATTCATTATTATTATTTTAGAGAAACTCGAACATGTTCATGACTGAAGTGGAGGGAAAGAACAGCATCTAAAGGGTCGGCTCTGAGTGAGCTTTCACCACAGTGACTAATCTTTGTCGTAGTTTGTTGTTACTGTTGCTATTTCCAACATCTGCACACTTGAAAAACCCTCAAACTGGATTTCAACAAGTGGACGAGCCGTGTGACTTCATCATCATCATCATCATCATCATCATCATCATCATCATCATCATCATCATCATCATCATCGTCGTCGTCTGCTGCAGAAGAGCTCCTCCTTTAAAAACAGTGATCGTGACTTTATAAAGTGCTGCTTCTTCTCTCGATGCAGACACGTTAGAATTATTCTTCAAGTTGATCTTATTTAACAAACGCTGCAGCACCTTCACCTGTAAATAATAAAGTTACATAATACACCTTTAATCTGTTTAAATTCGATCTTTTCTTCGGAGTCTTTCGGGTTTTGACAGCACCAGAGAAGAAGCGTTTCCAGAGGAGGCGGGTGTGAACCCTGTGCTCGTCACTACCTGTGTGTTTACATGATTAAAAACAACGGCACCTTGTCTGTGCTTCCAGTCTGTCTTTATAAATCCACGGGTCACTGATAGCTGAGGTAGCTGATGAGGAGTTTGGGGATGTCCAGATGATGAATGACCGCCATGGCTCTGGTGCCCAAGTTGTTCCTCACGGCCAGCCTGCTGAGCTGCTGCAGACTCATCGGAGTGGCTGAAAGAAAAAGACAGAGAAACGACCCTCATCACAAGAAAACTGAAACAAAACTTCAGGAAAGCTGATCAGTTATTATAATATCTCCAAAATCAGAGGCTGAAAAGCTGGTTCATGACTTTATCTCCTCCAGGTTGGACGACCGCGAGAGTCTGCAGAGACAACATGATCATATAACCCTCATCCTCCAATCACTCCTCTGGCTTCTCGTTTCCATCAGGATTGAGTGGACGGTTTCCTTCCTCACACACCAGCTCATCCATGGACAAGCCCCCACCTACCTCAGAGAACTTCTACACCCACAAAAAAACAACACGCTCCCTCCGCTCCACTCACCCACACCTCTTCTTCAACCCCAGAACCAAATTAAGAACTAGTCTTGTGTTGTTCATGAACGATTCGTTTAAAAGAACCGAACTGCTGAGTGAACGACGTGAACGCCGGTCGGGGGTGGAACTGCCGCCTTTGACTCTTTGGCGAACGACACACAGCCGGCGAGTAAGCGACCGGGTGGGCGGAGTCTAGTGATTCACCCACAGCGAATGAACGACATGTATCAGTACATGAACGAAACAGTCAGTGAACGACATGGTGAACGAAACGAACGACTTCCAAATGACTTTATTCAGGCAGAGGACGGAGGGGGTGTGTCATTCACTTCCTGCCCAGCAGCGGTTCGTTCACTGAGGCTAAGATAAAACAGGTCATTACAGCGCCTTTACATTAAAACACGTCTATAAATATTCCTGTAAGGAGGATTTAATTTCAGCCGATTTAAAGAAATACGATATTTGATATCTTTAAACGTAGCAGATCCCCGCTACAGCTGAGGGGAGTGATTCTTCCTTCAGGACTTGGCGCATGAACGACATGAGTCGCCCAGTGAACGACGCTGTGACCTCAGCAGCAGACTTCGCCACTGTGTCACTCACTGGTGTAATGCACCGGCAGGACGGGGCTCCGAAGAACTGACTGATTCAGTGAACGAATCTTTTTAATGAACGGATTCTAAAGATTCAGTCAAAAGAACCGATCTTCCCATCATTATTCACTAACAGTTTTAAAAAAGAACTCAAAACTTTCTTTTTTAACAGAACTTTTGGTTCCTCCTCGTAGATTCTTTAAAAAATAAAAATAAAAACCTGCTTCTCTTTCTTTTACTTCTTTAATGAGATGTTTCTCTTGTTTTTATTTTCCTCTATTGTGATTTTTTTTTTGCTTTTAAGGTGTAGCCCTTTGAGATCACTTGATGAAAAGGGCACTACATCTAAAATGTAATATTATTATTATTATTATTATTATTATTATTATTATTATTATGACTCTAACTTGTAAATTATGTATGAGGCAATCTGGGGACAAACATCTCTAGTGAGTCCCTGAGATGAACCACCTTCAGAGGAAACTCATTTTGTATTCAGAGTTATAACCGTCTTAGATAAGCTCCTCTCACGGCTAAATAAAGTTCTGTCCACTTGCTAAAGAGGTGTGAATCATCAGCTTCTCGTTTGTATCTGACCTAGTCCTCTCAAGAGTCTGAAGGTAAACAACAGGTGTCATCTGTCCAAGAATTCCTGGAGGTGGAAAGTGATCTTAGCTCACCACCTGCTGTTAGGAAGCTGACACTGCGCTCCAGTTCAGAACTCGATCCGGGACTTAAATATCCTCGCAGGCGTCTTTTCTCCGGGTCACTTACTCTCGTAAAACCGCAGGCAGGCTGCCGAGGGAGAGCCCGGCGTGGTGTAATCCACGGGTTTCCTGTCGTACTGATCTCGGTGGTGGATGTTGGCTCCAAACTCCACCAGGATCTCGATCATCTCCGGTCGCATGCTTTTAGCGGCGTGGTGCAGCGGCGTCTCGTGGAGCCTGGTGGCGTTCACCTTCGCACCTGAGACAAGAATATTAAAGGGTTAAATATTCAGTCTGATTGCTCACAAACATGAAATTAAGACTAAACTGTGTGTTAGTTTGTCTTTTAATGTGTGTAGCGACTGCTTTCTGTCAACAAAAAGGCTGCTGGGGTTTAGGTTTGCTTGCGTCTGTGACTCGTTCAATTATCAATCCGGTTTGAGTGTTAAAAGGTAATTTATTATTCCAAAGAAGAAAAGAAAACACACTGATCCAGCTCCAAAACTTTTGCCTTCACTTCAAAAAAGTGATTTGCTGAAATGAGGTTAAAACTTGATGAATGAAACGGTGAAAAATGATGAAAAACGGTCAACAGAAAATGATCAGAGCTTACCAAACAAACCCTTTGTCTGACTACACAAGTGAGATTTCAATAACCCGTCAAACATCCCAAAACCACACCCCTCAGTGACGATCCCTGGACGTGATGTACCGATTAGAACTCAAACTTAACAAATATATTTTGGCTAAAAATCTTGTTAAAATCTTCAAAATCAGCTAAAATAAATGGATTACATTTGAAAAGATTGATTAAGTTGATCACTGAAAAAGCTGAAGTTTAAGTTTTAACGGTAAAACGAGAGGAAACTGTGGATTTGTCCCTGTTGGATATTTGTAGTGGGACGGAAATATAAAGCACTGATGCACATATTTTTCTTGGGTTTTCTTCTTAAATTATTGGGTCTTCGGTGACACAGATGAAAACTTTTATTGATCTCAATGATTTTCATAATTGCTTTGAATCAAATGCCTCCTATCACTGGATATTGTGTGTTTTTGATCAGTGGTTCTCAAGTGGTCTCACTCTGGGACCCACATTTTCCCATGGTCCTGAGGTCACGACCCACTTTTATAAAATTCAAACCAAAAAAAATTTTTTTTTTATTAAAAAAACCTTTAAAGACTCAAATCTTACACCCACCCATTTTGTTGAGTAAAGTGCATTTCAGAGCACATAAACTGTGGACGACAACGACTAAAGTTGCATATACAGAAAATATCAAATATCAAATTGTACAAAATGAAGACAATTTTTTTTAAGAAACCGAGGAGGACCACGACATAAGGCTTGCCTTTCAAAATTAAAGACAATGTCAAACATCAGATGCGCATTAAATATTTACTTTTTTGACCAGCTGTTTGTGACCCAACCAGAACATGTCCGCGACCCACTTTTGGGTCAGGACCCACCAGTTGAGAACCATTGAGAGCCACAAAGTTCAAACTAAATTCTCTTTGAGGGAAGTGAACGTAACTTTATAACTGCTCTATAAAATCTTTAATCAACGAACTATTCAGGAGCTTCGGTCTTGAGTCATCAAGAAGTGCCGCATTGATAATAATGCTACTAACGCTATTAATGCTACTTGCTATATCGACCGTGTCTAAGCTTGAATGTTACCTTTTACGTCGATAGAAGAGGGTCCGACAGGATTTGATACGCTCGTTGATGACTCAAAACAAGTCTGAAATAACGTCGAGTGTTGTTGTGCTCACACAGTGCGAGTAGAATCATGAGTGGTGTGTTGATATTAATGATCATGTGGAATTGCCCCGCTGCTGAATGATTGGAGGGGAAACACTGCTGATACACATGAGTCCGAGGTAGAACTATGTGAGATAAAAACTAATTTTTTTTAGGTGTGGCGGCTTTTATTTAGCCGTGGTGGTGCGCCATGATCAACTGCATGTCGGGGAAACCCTGATATTGATATTGAGGGAAATTAATTTTCGATACATATCGTTATCGTTTTATCGCCCAGCCCTACTTCTACTCATTCTGAACCAACAAACTCTGCTCTTTCATAAAGAAAAATGTTAACCCTGGTATTTTTTTTAACTTTACTTTTCCAAAAATTCACCAAAATAGAAAGTTTTAAAGAGCAGTTCATCACTGACTGTTGTGAAAAGTGAAGACAGCTCCTTCACTCATCGTGTTGAAATTTTAAAATGGACAGTGATCTTATGGGAGGAGGAAACTGAGCTGCAGTGTTGAACATTCACACAGTGAGCACAGTTTGTAATTAATAGGCTGCAACATAACAAACTGAGGGTATTGCTACATATGTATTTGTTGCATGGTAGCACATGTTCCAGAGAGTCTCATTTCAGCCTGACCTGAAGTTACACCACCAGCATGAGCATCAAAACAACCCTCACAATCACTGTCAGGAGACCCAAAGAGCAGATTTTTGCTCCGTTTCCCTCCCTGCTCTGCTCACCTGCATTTAGCAGCACTTTGACACAGTCTGTGTGTTGCTGAGAACACGCGACATGCAGCGGTGTCCCGTAGTAAAGGTCATACGCCTCCAAACAAGCGCCCATGGAGATGAGGAGCTTCACACAGTCGGAGTTTCCTGAAAGTAAAAGAGGTTAAAGGATGAAATCCAGGCGTATTGAGTCGTTAGCTGTGTTGACAGAGAGTAAGAAGAGCTCACCTCCCATGCAGGCTTCATGGAGCGGGGAGGCCGTACGGGAGGTGAGCGCTGGGTTGGCTTTGGCGCCATAATCCAGTAAGAGCCTCACGCACTCCAAACTCCCGGCCGAGGAGGCGTCACACAGCGGGGTGCTCCCATCTACGTTTCGTGCATCCACCTGAAATGCATCACAGATTATTCGTACTTCTATTTCTGTCAGTGAATCGTCTTTTTTCCAAATCCTCCTTCTGTTCATCATCACCTGGGCGCCGGCGTCCAGCAGCAGACGGACACACTGGGCCTGACCACGGAGACAGGCCTCGTGCAGCGGTGTGATGGAGTCCACGGCGACCATGTTGACCGACGCCCCGCTCTTTATGAGGTGCTGCAGCTGGGACGCCTGACCGAGACACGCCGCTTTATGGACTTCAGTTCTCTCTGACCAGCAGCCTGAAGGAGGACGGGTCACAACAAACCAAACGTACATTTTACTTCCTTCATTTTTAATCCTCATAGATTTTACCCACCAGTTTCTTATTTATTTAACTCTCTATCTCTAAATTTATGTGCTTTAATATTTTATTATCGTATTTTTTGCTATGATGCAGCATCTGTCTTCAAGAGAACAGACAGATCCCAATGAGCGAAGACAAATATCTGTGTGATTTCTGAGAGATATTTAAGCAAATGCAAGCCTGAGACAGATTTATCCTCTTTAAAAAGTAGTAAATAAAGTCATTTTATACGATTTTACTCTGACCGAGTTGTTCTCATTGTCATTGTAACTGATAAAAGTCTGTGTGTGATGGATGAATATCACATTGACACACACATGCAGTTGACACTCGTCGTTAGTTTAGGGGAGAGTGGGGTAAGATGAGCCATTTTTCATATTTCGGATCACTACATTAAAGTAATCCTAGTTTTGTCTCGAACTGAAAAAGTCAAACATTTCAACAATCTGAACGTAAACTCTGATCCTCTCATCAGACTCCTTTACTTTCTCAGTTACCCCTGAACTACTATGATGAGTTTATTAGTCCTCTGAGCTAAAATGGTGGACTTTTATGTTAGATTTTTGACCTCATGTTGTAGCTCATAGATACCACAATTAATGTATAAAACAAATTTAAAATGATCTTTTTTGGTCTGAACACAATTCTAATAAAACTTATAAAAGACTAAATTCACTTTACAGTGAAATATGTTGTTTTTTTAATGTAAATAAATATCTAACCTCTTCACCCATGTGCTTCTAACCTTCAACCTCCTAAATATTTGCTCACATGATCAAATTCTTTAACTATTTCTAAAAAACAGAGGGAGGCTCAACTTACCCCGGTCTCCCCTACATCGCCCCTGTTCGGCCCTCTTACTGAAACTGTAAATCCTGTTAATTTTGGAGTTTTTCGGGGTTCTTTAAATGTCAAAAACACCGAACACACGTATACAATCGTGAAAAGGTTGAAAAGGTAAACCACTTAAAGAGGAAATGTTCATTTTCGGTGAATTTCGTCTCCATCAGCTGTTCTTTCGATGCTAGCTGCGGTGTTCAAACGCGTTAGCATGTTAGCTCACATTCACTCCATATTCACCTTTCTGACGTTAAAACGGCTCAAGATCCTAAAAAGCGTCAGTCTCGCGGACATGTTGGCGTTATTTTTAAACTCACCGATGTCTCCGAAGAAATACGGCTGAGAGTTTTCGATCTCCATCCTGTTAGAGGTTTTTATCCCCGCGTTGAATCACTAACGTTTCTCTCCACGGCAGAATCAGACTTGAATGTTTGTAAACAGCGGCGTCCTCCTCACTGTTTACATGCGGCGCGACTCACGTCACGTGACCTGACCGGCACTCGTGTTGCATACTGGGAGTTGTAGTTTTTACTCAAGAATACGTTGGCATTGCTTCTGGAACATTAATTCTACGCCAGGGTGAATTGTACAGGGGCCGAGAACCGCCACTGCTGCAAATAATAAAAAAATAATGCAAAAAGAAAGGAGAAAAAAAATGCACAGATGAAGAAAAAGCCGCAACGGAAGTCACTAATGCATTAAAAAAAAAAGGTGCAAAAAAAAAAAAAGAAATGGTCCAGATAACAAAAAAGCCACAACAGAAGTTACCGAGAAAAAAAAAAGAGAAAAGGAGGTGCAGATTTTAAAAAAAGCCACAACAGAAGTTAACAAGAAAAAAAAAGAAACTGCTGATGAAAAAAAAAGCCCCAACAGAAGTTACCGAAGCAAAAAAAGAAATGGTACAGATTAAAAAAAAAATCCACAACGGAAGTTATGATGCAAAAAAAAAAAAAGGAAAAGGTGCAGATAACAAAAAAGCCACAACAGAAGTTATGATGCAAAACAAAACAAAAAAAAAAGGTGCAGATTTTAAAAAAGCCACGACAGAAGTGAACAAGAAATAAAAAGAAACAGTGCTGATAAAAAAAAAAAAAGCCCCAACGGAAGTGACCAATGCAAAAAAAGAAAAAAGAAAGGGTGAAGATAAAAAAAAAAAAAACAGGCGCAACGGAAGTTACCAAGAAAAAAAAAGAAACAGTGATGGTAAAAAAAAAAGTTACCAATGCTGGATAAGCCTCAGTTTTCATCGTGTGTATTATGTCCAGAGTCCTAAATCTGAAACTTTTAGGTAAGAAACCATGCTTTTTTACATTATCAGTGCATTTATTGACAAAAAATCCTCTTTTTCAGAAACCAAAGGTCAGTAAATAAACAGCATGTGAATGAAAACCTTTTAAATAGATCGTCAAACAGCGATATCTCTCATATGGACATGTGGTGTACATGGAAAATGACTTTAATAAAATAAAACAGATGAATAAAATAAATAAATATGCCTGCCTCTCATGACATTTGTTTAAGACGTACAGTGTGTAATCTTAATTTAAACAATAAGCATCAACTTTGCACACAATCCTCCCTTCTTGTGACTTTTTGTTCAAATAAAGAATCTCTAACACAGTTTTCGATCTTCATTCACGTGTCACTATAAGGACGAGGGTCGAACACAGTATTGCAGGTAGTTTCGGATACGCTGAGAAATGTCCAGCTGACCTATGACCTCTGAGGCTCTGGTACTGAGATACTTCCTCACTGTGATTCTGCAGAGCTGCTGCAGACTCAGAGGATTACCTGCAGACAAAGAACTAAAGTTAATTTGATTCAGAAGCAAAGAGGACAGAGAGAAACGTCAATGCGTGAACTCACTTTCGTAACATGTGAGGCAGCTGTAAGCAGGAGACGCCGGGGCGGCGTAGTCCACAGGTTTTTTCCCGAGGTTATCGCTGGCGTAAATGTTGGCTCCAAACTCCACCAGCAGCTCGATCATGTCCACCATGTTGACTCGGGCGGCGTGGTGCAGAGCCGTCTCATGGAACTTCACCGAATTCACTTTGGCACCTGGAGAGAGTTCAGATGTGATTAAACCTGTTTGACTTAAAGTTTGTGTCCCCTCCGACTCTAACCTCTTATCTAAATTCATCCTGATGTTGTTGCATTTGGAGCTTTAAGACTAAAAGCACTTCAGTGATTTTTGTAAATCAAATATTTCAAATACGGTGGTGCAGCAGTAGTAAATGTTAATGTAAATGTAAATGTTCTTTATTAATACAGCCCTTTACAACAACCCGATGATACAAAAATAAAAATGAATGAATAAAAACAACAAAAGCAATAAAAAAAGAATAAAATAAAATAATTAGAAATAAAACCAAATAAATAAAGACAATAAAAACAATAAAAATAAAAAAATAAAATAATAAGAAAACAAAAATGAAAAAATTAAGACTATAAAAAAGCAACAAAAAGATAAAATAAAATAATAAGAAAAAAAATGAATAAATAAAGACAATAAAAAGCAATTAAAACAATAAAAACAATAAAAGCAAAAAAAGAATAAAATAAAATAATTAGAAAATAAAAACTAATAAATAAAGACAATAAAATAAAAGCAATAAAAACAATAAAATTAAATAAATAGAATATAAAAATGAAAAAATTAAGACAATAAAAAGCAATAAAAACAATAAAAGCAATAAAAGAAGAATAAAATTCAATGCAATAAATTAAGTTGTCATTAGCTACTGGGTATTAAAAGCCAGCTTAAATAAGTACATTTTCAATTGGGATTTAAATAGGACCAGGTTGGAAATAAGTCTCATTTCGGTGGGGAGTTTATTTCAGAGCCTCATACCAGCGACTGAAAGACATGGTCACCCCAGCGTTTGTGTTTTGACCGGGACACCTCCAGCAGAAGTTGGTTTGACGACCTCAGAGCTCTAACCGGCTCCTGAATGGTTTAAAGCTCAGTCAAACAGATGGAGGCGAGGCCGTTTAAAAGTTCAAAGTCAATCCTATGAGAGACGGGAAGCCGAATTCACCACTCCCAGTTTCCTGACAGTTTGCCTGAGCTTTCAATGATCTGAGACATTTCTTAGTTTCAACACTCTGACAGTCAAACAGCTCCTACACTTTAAACATCTCTAATACTCTCTCTCTCTCTGTCCTTTAAAGGTGGATATTTTCTTTGAGTCTCTTCCTGACCTGCAGTCTTGTTGCTGACCTGAAATCAGCAGCTCCTTCACACAGTCCACGTGTTCTTTCGCACAGGCGATGTGCAGCGGGGGACCAAAGTGGACGTCATACGCCTCCAGCTGAGCTCCGCTGGCTATCATTAGCTTCACCACTTCAACATTACCTAAGAGGAAATGTCAGAAACACACAAAATAAGCAACGAGGAGAACTGAGAGTGTTTGTTAAACGCGGGTTTAAGAGGCCCTGGAGCTATTTTTGGAAACTATTTTTAAAACAAAAAAGCTACAAATCAGACATTATCATCCTGTTTACATGTTAAAGTTTATTTTAAATCCTTTTAGGCTTTAGAGAAGAAAACTTGAATAACAGTTGCCTAAAGCCAGTTCACCTCCTCCACGATATGAGGGATAAGAAAGTTGGACGCTGTTGTCACAGAGCTGTGAAGAGACATCACTCTTCAGGGTTATTAATAAGAAGTTCAGAATAAAGTGATGGAGTAAATTATGGTGTTTCACTGGTGATCAGGGTTTTTTACCTTGTATGCAGGCTTCATGGAGAGGTGAGGCTGTGAGAGCTGTGAGTGAAGGATTCACTTTGGCTCCGTACTCTAAAAGCAGCCGCGCACATTCGAGACTTCCAGAAGCACAGGCGTTACACAGAGGAGTGCTGCCGTGGATGGTCCGCACATCCACCTGGGAGACACACAGACTATTTAAAGGGATATTCCGTCGTATAATTAATTTAGGGTCAAAAACACCGTAACACAGAGTTAGACATCCCCTCAAGAGATGAATGTTGCCGACCGCTTGCTTCTCTTGTTATACCACCTGAGCCACGCGCTCTCTGTATTCTGGAGTCTATATGACTAATAAGGACGTAGAGTTTGTAAACTGCAGTGAAGAAATGATAAAGGCTGAAACATAATCCCTCAAGGTGAACAGTAGAAATGAACATACTTCCATTTCTGCGTTTCGATTTCTAATTGTGTCTCCAACCATCTTGAAAACTTTTTCTACCTGTTAATAACCACAAACCCACAATCCCCATAGAGACCTGCACTACCCAAATGTTCTGACCCCTCTCTGAATCTACAGTTCTGGGTCACTTTTGAGCAGTCTGCTTCACAAACATACTTAGTATTTATTTTGCGTCATTGCCACACTCTTAACTCTGATAAGGTGTCCTGGTTTATTTCAGCCTTTGTGCAGGTTTTCTACTTGACTTATCTGACCTGAGCTCCGGCCTCCAGCAGCAGACGCACACAGTTCGGATGAGCCTTAATGCAGGCTTCGTGAAGCGGCGTGATGTTGTCCACCGTCACCATGTTGACTGATGATCCCGTCTCTATCAGCTGTTTCAACTGCAGAGCTCTGCCGTGAGACGCTGCTTCATGCAGGACTGTGCGGTCTGCCCAGAAACCTTAAGGACAGAAAATAAAACAGGGAAAACAGAAATGTTTACTATGTTAAACTATGAAACTGTCAAAGTAATGAACTGAAGACCTGAACAAATGTTTTACAAGCCAAGAAAATGTTAAAAAGGAAAAGGCAATTAGAAATTATGACAAAAGTAACCGATGATTCTTGTAGAAAAGTCAGCCTGAAAAGCTGTCTCTGATTTATATTTTTTATTGTACTTGTTTTCTTTACGTCATGGTATGATAAGAAATGTTGTAATGTCACGTGATTTTGTCAAATTGAGAAAATGAATGAAAGAAAGAAAGAAAGAAAGAAAGAAAGAAAGAAAGAAAGAAAGAAAAGACTTGTAGTTGTTCTGCCATGCATTTACTAAACTATAAGACATTAAAACAGACAGACCTCTAATAAACTTGCACAAACATGTAGGTCACTTATCACTGTCACAAGGTAGTTAGCAACATTTCAACATAAGGACACTGATATATTTGCTAACAGCTCATTAATGGTGTCATTTAAGGAGTTTTGTAACATATTTTTGTTGGTGCTCACCGATATCGCAAAGAAACGACCGGCGGGCAGCTGTCACCTCCATGTTTTTACACTTTACACCGGCGAGGCTGCGCTCACTGGACGTTAGAGGACGTATTGAACGGAGACGAAGCAGTGCATTGTGGGGGTCGTAGTTTTACCAAACGATATTTACCCGTTAGATAAAATAAAATAAAATAAGACTAATAAGTGCCAACATGCAGTCTGAATAATAATAATAATAATAATAATAATAATAATAATAATAATAATCATCATCATCATCATCATCATCATCATCATCATCATCATCATCATCATATTTGCAATAACAAAATAATAATAATAATAATAATGATAATAATAGTAATTATAGTAATAATACATTATAACAATGATAATAATAATAAAAAATAAAATATAATTATAATAATAATATATTTTAATTATTATTTTGTGATTTTATTATCATTATTTTATATTTACTATCCAGTTTCCTGCTTTCTGCCCAAGGTGAAAGGTTTACTGACTGTTAAGCCCAACAAATAAGAACTGTATGGGTTTTAAAATGTATATTTCCGTGGACCACTCTGCATGAGGACATGAGTTTCTCGGCACAACACCGCTAACAACAACAACAACGATTGCAAAATGAGCAACGAACAAGAGAAAACCACCGAAAATTAAGATTTGTTGCCAAAAAGAAAAGGAAAGTCAGTTATCTGGAATTATTTAAAGTACAGTGATATGTTAAGGTGACAGTCAGCTACCCTTGAAATTAACTGAGTTCATTCACCTCAGACATCGCAGGCTCTGCGGTGTGACTGTCGCACACACGTATATCGTGCAGGCCTGCAAGAGAGAAAAAAACTAGTGATGGCGAGATGAAGCCTCATGAAGCATTGAAGCTTTCCATCCAATTACTCGCCTCCTGGGCCGAAGCTTCATGATCGTGCTTCATTTACTCTATTGCGCCATCAAGTGGACAATAAATGTAAAACAGGCAGAGTGATAAACCAACTATAGTTTATTTTATAGATTAAATTTGGTCTCAGATCTTTTATCACACTTTTTAACATCTTGAAATAGAAAAACTATGTGATTTATTCAATACTAGACACAAGTAATTAAATCCATGTACATTTTTGAGTATAGATGTCAATACTTCTACACAGGAATGAATAAATTTAACTGCATGAGCTTAAAAATATGTGTAAAAATAGCGAGAATTGTGCCCTGCTTCATGTAACTGTTCATTAAAATTACTGCGAAAGCTTAAAAATAAGATTTTGTAACTTTAAGATTCGGTACATTTAGCTGGAGTGAAACCAAATGATTAATTTTCAACTAAAGCCACCGGAAAACGTCGTGTATGTGCAGGTGTAAATAGTAGTGGGGCAGAATTTATTTGACCACAAAAGAAAAAATAAAACTATCCGACACAGTTTTGGTTTTTGACAAAGTTGATTTTTACTTGGCAGTACAGAAATCATTTGAGCCCAAGATGTTTTTTTGTTTTTTTTTAATTGTTTAAAACAACGAATATCACGGAGCTCTCATCAATTCAACACTGCTGCAGTACACATTTGGTCCTTCTTAAGCAATTACAGTCAATCACACTTTCCATTAACCTGTTGTTAATGCACAGCCCATCCATCAATTTGCATAATACAGGAACTAATATATCTCCTCTGCTGCGTTAGAGTAACTCAAAGCTGTTGAAAACAGGTTCAGGAGGTTTTTATGCAGGGCTACAAGTGCCGCCTGTGGCTTAGCTTCTGCAGTGTGTGTGTAGAAATCAGCCAAAAAAAGGGTTAAAAGACAAAACCCCGCGCCCTCACACCCTTTGACTGATGGGATCTCACAGAAACGGCGTAAAGGTACAGCGAGGGTGCAGATGCTTGGCCCAAATATGGCCTTGTCACGACATTTAGACAAACATGATTTTAGCCACACACAAAGTCGAGCCACTTCTTCCCACCCTGACATGAAAAAAACCTTCAATAGAAAGACAGGAAAATCGACAAACCCCTGAAAAATACACTCAATAACTGTAAATACTACTGATCATGAAATATCGTTTGATTTGGCATCTTTGGAGCATGCATCATTTAGCATGATAGAGCAGAAGAATGAAGGGGATTACTGTTAATTCGGCATGGCCAGTTTTTAGTGCAATGATCATCTGAATTTGACTTGTAAAGCAGAGCTCCCTCCCTGAACCCTATCCAACAATACTATATCATATCTCTATATATATCATGAACTTCCTCAATGGGCCGACCGTATACTCCAGCCGGCCCACCGGTGTGTACATTTTTATGTAGGTTTTCTATTTTTTTGTAAGATTTCAGTTGCTGGCATGGCTGATAACCAGGAGCGTCGCCTCTACTCCGCGGCGTCGCCGAAGATGTCGTTCTTGTTGCGCTCCATCTCAGAAAAGTCAAAGTCCAAGCCCGTCATCCTCTTGTAGATGTCCTTGATGTCGTCGCAGGTGGTCTCAAAGTGAGTCGTGGCATCGTAAGAGCGGGAGATGAAAATCTTGAGAAGAAAATACGAGTCAAAAACTTCGGCTCATGTTTGCACCTCTGATTTGTTCTCTTTGAGACAAAAACTGACAGTATGGTCTCTTTATTTTAACTCACCTGGCTCTCAGTGCCCATGTCAGTGGGTTCATATATATCACTGATGCTGACAAACTTCTGGTCAATGGGCGCCAGCATATCCAGGGCTGGCTTGAGCTCTTTTTCGGGGTCGCCTGTCTCCACTGTGGTGCTGGCGATGGCGATGTATTTACCCTGTGCCGCCACGTTGTGAGCAAAGGAGATCATACAAACGTAGATGTCTGCAAACAGAAAAAAATATAGAAAAATATGAATTAAAAAATGAGATGAGTGTCTGAATTCGGCTGTAAAGATGAACAGGTGTGTACGTGACTTCAGGAACATTAGCAGCCATCTTAAAGGGGACGTTTGAGGAACTGAAGTTTAGAGCGCTTCAGCTTGAGCCTCATTTCTCAGAATGCTCTGAGTGTGATCAAAATAATCTATGCATATTTAGTAGGGCCCGACCAATTTATTGGTGAGCCGATTAAATCGGCTAATTTTAGCCTGTTTGAGACTGATTGGTAATCGGCCAAAACTCGATGTTTTCAGAAATAAAATGTGGAGAGTAAGATTCGGTTTCACTTCGAAAATGTTCCACCATTGTTGTTAAAACCACTTTTCTGGTCCGAGTTTGATCAGTCGGTCTTCCTGTCGGCGTGGAGAGCAGTAGACTACAGTATATCTACAGTATATATATTTTACAACTCCCCCCAAATAATCAGTATCGGCCCCAAAAATCCATATCAGTCAGGCCCTAATATTTAGGCTGATTGTCCGTACACCCGCGTATTTCTAACCCCCAATTTTCACCGAATCCAGAATGGCTCTCATGCTGAACGGCTGCGATTTTTGTGGCAGTAACGAACAGCAGGTATCGCGAGAACTCACAAGAACCCACAGATTCACGCGCAATCTCGCGATAACAAGTTGTCTTTAGCCACAGAGACTAACCATATCAGCAGTAGATTGTGTCCTTCCAGAGGAGGAAATCTACTTCTAGACTTCTAGAATCAGCATCTCCTCATCCATGGTGTCATCGGGGTGAAATGACGTCTAAAAACCTTTCACTTGTTCATCTCCGCCCGTTTGCATGGTGTGAAAAGGAGTCAGATGTTTTATTTTGTATCTGTGCCCGACTTCCTTTCCAGCACGGGTTAATCTGTGCTGAATTTATCCGCCATGCTCTGGCGTCTGGAAAAAAAAAAGAACTCTTGCGATCGGCTGCGGAGTCTGGCAATCCACAGCGGAACTGAAAGATGCCAAAGAAGCCGGTGGAAATTGACACGTTGACTTGAATGGTTACGATCAGCTATGATTGGCGCATACGGCCTTTTCGTAGCCGTTCTGGATGCGGTGGAAATTAGGGGTTAAATCTGAGTCCTACTAAGTCAGGATCTCACTCCGGTGTACAAGGCTTGTATTCTGTTCAGCTCACTGTTGACATCAACTACCTTTACTAACAGCCTCAAAAGTCTGGACCGTTTCCTCTTTACTCGCTCACCGTGCTTCCTGTTGACCTGGTTCTGGGGGAAGATGATCTGACAAGAATTGACATTGCTGGTTCCGTTGATGGGGTGACTCAAAATGCAGATGGCTCTGATCACCTGACCCACTTTACTGGTGGAACCCAAGGCATAGCTGGGGTCGCAGATCAGCTGCTTGCACCTGGCGATCTGTGGAGGGAAAATACTAGTTTAGTCGCTGGGAAAGTTTCATAGTTTCCACCTCAAACAAGCTTCTTAATCCAACGGGGTCTCGTTATTTGGAGTACTTTAACTAAAAAGGCGAGTTCATCTTTTGGCCAAACACGTGTCGATGCAGATGTTCATCCAAGCGCTCTTATTGGCTCACCTCCCCCTCAGACTTGACTCCAACCACCTTCCCGTTCTCCATCACAATCTCCTCTATGGGCTTGTTCAACATATACGTCCCACCGTAGATCGCGCTCAGTCTGGAATGGAAACACACAAAGAGGCCTGTGATGTGCCATTTGTGAGACGCCACATTGTTTGGCAAATAGTTGCACAAAAAACGCCTGAGGTATTACCTGCATTTTAGTGTAAATAGTGGTAAATTACTGTGTTATTTGCTAAAATCGTGTATATGTTTTGAAGTTTACAATTTATATTTACAGTCTAAGTTATGAAAACAGTTTGTTAAACATATTTGTGGTTTTTACAGAGAAAAATGTGACTTTTTTCCCACTCGGATTTTGTGTTTTGTGTGTGAATTCAGGTCCTCTGTGCTGATACAGTAGGTCAAAATGATAAAATAACTGTAAATTCACACGGGGGAGGTTGTGGCCATGCCTAAGCAAGGCGAGGCAAACTGTTTTTAAGGGGAAATATAAAGGTAAAATCAAAAGTAGTTAATTATACCCCAGACTCCAGAGGGTGAATAAAATCAAAATCAAATTGAAGAAGAAATCCTCTTTCTCCTGATTTCTCAGTCATGGTCACATCCGAGCTTCTCTCCTCTCTTCAGGGTCAGTAACAGAGTCTCACGACACTGACGCAGACATATAAGAAAGGAGACAGGTTCAGATTTTTACAGATGTGGGTTTTGAGCCGAGACCCTTACCTGGCAAACCCTTGCGGCAGCTCCCCCAGACCGTAGAGCGGGTAGAGGTAGGGGCTTTTGCCATATCTGGCCAGAGACTCGCTGTAGAGCTTTATCCTGTTTATCGTTTCGATGCACGGTTTACTCAGGTAACTGAGGGCAGAGAGATGAAGACGATTAAAAAACCTCTATCAAATACAAATATCTGCAGTTAAAGTTTGAATGGAATCATATTTATGGGAAAAAAACGGACTCGTCTGTGCGGTAGAGTGCGAGGGAGTGGCCAGTGAAGTCGATGACGTCCTGCTGCAGGCTGAACTTTTTGTAAACGTCTGACATGGGGGATTTGGGGTCCATGCCATCCCAGGTTTTGGGGTTGTTTACGTCATAGTTGGCGGCCCAGACGAGTAAATTTTTGAAGCGGCGTTTCTCAAAAATCCCCATCAGACCTTCAAAAGATAAAAGACTAAGAGTGAACCTGGGTCAGCAGCAACATGAGGGTTCATACAGACAGCAGAACTTTGAGTCTTTCACAGTCTTCTTCAGTTATTCCACTCACTTGATGACAGCGCTTCAGTCTCAGTGGATGGGACTTTGTGGATTTTGCCTGCTTTGTACACATAGCTGCCCTCCACCACTTTGAAATCAAGGTAGCGGGTCACCTGTGTGATCAACAGCATGCTGACCAGCTGACCTGAAAGAAAGAAAAAAAAAAGGGGTGTCACTAAAATGGGTTTAAACATGTGTCAATATTACAGAGCCTTTAAAACCGAGAAGGTCGTTCCCAGCAGGACAAAAAGAGCCTGAACTCCCATCATGCAGCAAAGAGGGTCCAAACTCCCTCAGAGTGCAGACAACTTCAGCGAGATTCAAGGTTTCAACCGTGGATCTTTGAGGTCTATATAATGTGTCTGATTTCATCTTTTACTGGACTTGGATTGTGAAGAACTTCCCCGTGGCAGCATGAAGAGAGCGGGTGTAAATGACCCATATTATGTGTCTACATATATAACAGAGACTGATGCCCTTATTTCACCGGAAGTTAGTAATCAACGAACAGTAAATCGATATGTAAAGTCAGGGTCATGATCGCCAATAATGATCTCTTTAAGTTGTTTAGAGTACCTGTTTGATAGATGCACAAGGTTCGTATATGCCTCTTTTCTCACACAAATTAATATGAAGTGCCTTTATAACGTTTTTATGAAGTTCGGTTGAGTTTTGCGTTGCCGAGCATTGGCAAAGATGCTACAGTTACAATGATGGTTACGGTTAACACAGTCATTATTCATTTAGTTCCTATAATGTCGCTTGATGCAAATTTTAAATCCACATGTATTTTATTCATCATAAAGTTCTATTGCTGCATTGAAATGATGCCTAAAAATGTATTAGATGATATTTGGTTTACAAACAGGTGAATTCATGTTAGTTTAAGTTGATCCAAACTAGTTTAAGCACTCTGATTTTAGATTGTCATTTTGCTAAAAACAAGAAAGTTGATTTCATTATTCTTGACGGTTTATAAATAATAATATTTAAACGGGTAAAATTATTTTTAGTTTTAATGTTGTTCTTAGTGTTTTCTCTAGCTCTTACGGTGTGTTCACACTGTTCATGGAACCATTTAAAAAAATAAACTTTGTGAAACATCAGTCGGAGAGTCAGACCACAAATCAACCGGGGATGCTACAACGAGATTAACTTAAACTTCCATGAGTTTTTTTTTTTCTGTTAAACTCGTTCTGTTTGTCAGATTTCTAACACGCAGACTGAAAGTCGGTTTCTCCCCCGTGGAAAATGTCACCATCTCCTCATCTAGACACGGTGTGACAGCGTCTCTCTCAAGTATTTCATTGTTCTGGTCACTGCAACAGCCGTAATTGCGACACAGCTGAGAAGGGACCGCGACAGCTCATGTTCATCCGAGGAATCAGCATTAAAACCGCTCCTGACGCTCCACTTTATGGAAAAGGAGGTGAAATGAAGAGAGCTCTGTAAACACTCATCTTCTATTTATCTGTCTGTGTTCAATAAACCCTTAGCGTGAGCTGCAAAGACAAACATACCACAGCATGTAGTGTATGGGTAAGAGATCTAAATGTACCATTGGCCATCAGGAACTTGGGGACAAGGTCCACGTTCCAATCGCGACCTTTTCCCATCGACTCCGGAGGTGTGCCAGGGATACCGAAGCGCTTGTAGAGCTAAAGGGAGACAGAGAAGCAGAAAGAGACACAACAAACGACTCGTTAGTCTATTCTTCTGTTTCTAGATTTAAGACTAAAACTCAAGACTAAAACCAACAGGATCAGAGATCAACCCACATCCTCCAGAGGTGTGATGGAGGCGCTTTCACCTCCGTAGTAGGAGTTGCGGTCCATGTGCAGAACCTTCTTCCCCTTCACCGACATGATGCCTGATAAGATGCATTCCTGATGGAGCAAAGGAGAGAAAAATCAGACCAACATCAACATGAGGAGACTTAGAAAACACAAAGAAATCTGTTGTATAATCTTGCAGGGTGAACAATAATCCAGCGTTTCATACTTGCTTACAAATTAAATAATTGCAGGGGCAACGTAAAGGCGCAGATTAATCCAGCTAGTTTGGAATAATGGTGCAAAGCTGGATTATGGCGGGATGGAGAATGTCTGTCAAGGTTTAAAAACCTATTTTCTCCTGAATTTGTCGCTCTGGTAGATCCTCTGATTGTCACACCTGATCTTCCTCCATTTTTAAATCACAGAGCACCACAGCATCGTCACTGTTTTTTCACTATCTGGTTATTTAAAGGTCATACTGACTATATATCCCACTTTTGCTTCAGTCATTACAGCCACTTTAATTTTAACCTTGGTATCAATCCAAGAAATAACACTAAAGAGACAAGACTATAATCAAAATGTCGTCCGTTTGTATGATCAGACATGAAAGATTACTATTAATTCTCACAGGACTCCCAGTCTCGGAGGAGTCAGTCATTCAGATGGAAAGTGTGCAGGTTAGAGAGCGTCAGAGAGGCTTTAATACGATTACAGCGGCAAGTTTGTAGAGGGGAGAAAACACATAGTGAGTCATGTGACCCTGTGTGGACTCTCAAACTAGTTTTACTACAGAATGACAGCGCACACTGCCGAGCTTTATGGTTTAACTCGTTCCTCACGTGACAGTCGACAACAGCTTTCACTGTTAGTGTCGCCTACGCTGCCTCTATACACAGCCTGCGTGCTCAAATACATCTCAAATAAATGAACATGACTCTTCATACTCCAGTAAATATCACAGATGAGATAAAGGACAAAACATTTCTGACAGGCTACAGAAGTCTGCTTACATTTACAGCTTGTGGGGTCGAATAAAAGATGTTTTACACACGTCGAGTGCAAAATGCAAAGTCACAGAAACAACAGAGCGAACAGGCTGGAGCTACAAACCAAAAAAGTAAGCTGTCACACTCCTCAAGAGGAAATTCTTCGACCACAGAAACCTCAGGTTGCTCAGTTTGTCAGTGGGGAGCGCTTCCTCAGAAAAGTACGACCTCTTTCGCATCGTTGACAAAAACAACCCCTCATGATCTCTTTATCCACACACACACACACAGACACACACATGTATGATGATGATTTCATCTCATCTACATCTCCTCTTTTAACACAGTTGTATGTTTCACAAGGGCTTTACTGTGTTTCTGCATTTCCTACAAACATGAGACATGAATGGATGACGCAGGACGACACGTCTCTTCACCCCTCTGAGGAGAATCAGTCACACTGAAGCCTTTTACGGTTTTCATTTACTGTGCACACACACTCTGCATCAGGCTAAACACTTCAACAAACAGAAAGTCTTTAACTGACAATTCACAGAAATATTAACTGTAAAGTAGGGCTGGGCGATGTGGCCTCAAATCAACATCACGATAGATCGATCAGTTCACCTCGATAACGATAAATGGACGATAACTACTCCCACATTAACATGAACCGTCCTCCATCTCCTCACCTGTCTTTCTGTCTTTGTTACGGACTGGATGGGGTGGAGTCACGTCTCTGACGTAGGACAGCGTCTTAAAGGGACACGAGACCATAGCCTACCTACACACATCCAAAAACAACTTTGATTTGTTTTTTGACACCAAATATACCGACATGGGCAAAATGACGTCGGTTATTGAGGTCAGTTTCAGTATTGGTAAATTTTTTTGGTTTATCACCCAGCCCTACTGTAAAGTTTTGACACACTTTGAATCCCTTTTTTTTAGTGATGCACGATATGAAAAATTTCAACCGATACAGATAACCGATAATTTTCTTCTTCTCATGGCCGACACCGATACCGATAACCGATAAATTCATATTTTTACATTTATTATAATCTTCATATAATCTGCAGTTTGTGCAGGATGCAGCGATTGAAAACTGATATTTTTGTTGCTCTGGCCTATCTAGAACAACAAACAAAAGTTTTTGGCTCTTCAAATGTGGTCATTTGCTATAAATAACAATAACAGAGCAAAAAGCAGAACTTCATTTGATCCCCTGAACTGTTCAACAGAACTGTAAACTGTAAAGGAGCCATTATGAGCCGTTAGGCTTAGCATGCTGACCGGACTAACATCTGACGTCCATATGTCTGTGGTAAAACTCACGTGTAGTCCGTTCTTGTCGATCAGGTTGTGAATGTATGTGGCGACAATATCATAGAGTGCAGGAAGAGACACATCCGAGAAGAAGCGGCGGCTTGGGAGAGTGTAACGTGGCTCAAAGTGTGCTATTAACTTAAGAAAACCCGGGTTCTCAACGACGGAAAAAGGCTGTTCGTCGACCGCTATGAACTCCATCACTTTGTCGTTAATGGCTTTAGCCTTTTCGCTGTCTCTTGAGAAGCTTTTGCAGTTTTTAAACGCCTGCTGAATGGGGACATCGATCCTCCGTAGTGTTGTTGTCTTAGCTTTAGCACCGCTAGCAGCTTCGGCGGCCGTCTCATAGTCCTTTAATACTGCTCCGCCGCGATGGCGACTTTTCAGATGAGCTATCAGATTCGTTGTGTTAAAACTTGACGTCTTCTTTCCTCCTCTTGGAATCCTCGCTGAACAGGTTTTGCATATAGCAATGCTGTTGTCATCTTCTGCCACTGAGAGAAACGACCATGCTGGTGAAGACATTTTATTATCTGTCAGGCAGTGACGGGGTCAGGCTTGGGACCTGCGAGTAAGGCTTGATAGACGACGTGACCAGCGCGTCTCGGACGGGCGGCTACTCCGCCTGCAAACGTTACTCGTAATTTCATTAATATATCGGATCTTTCTATCGGAAAAATGCACCTATCGGACCGATAAAAAATGACGTAATTTCCCCCCAAATCGGCCGATATTTTATCGGTCCGATAAATATCGTGCATCCCTACTTTTTTTGTTATTCAAACTATGGGCCGAGTCCTAAACAATGTTGTGACCAGTGATACATCTAGAGGGAAATATTCTGTTGTGTTTCAGGCGTCACTAGAGGAACCAGAAGCCATGATGGACACGATGAGGCAGACCGAGGTAACGGCACCACATTTAGCAACATCTGTCTGCTTCAGCTCATAATACTAACAATTATAGAAATAAAACATGTGACCAGAACTGTTGACCACAACACAAGTTACCAATGCAAAAAAAAAAAAAAAAAAAAAAATGGAACCAAAGCTTGCTGCAAATAAAAAAAGAAGCGGTGCAGATTTAAAAAAAAAAGCCACAACAGAAGTTTATGACGCAAAAAAAAAGTGGCGATGCAAAAAAAAAAAAAAAAAAGGAGTTCTTGACCGCCGTACGACACAACTACCAATGCTACTGAGTTCAACTATTGGACTGGTGGACAGCCAGGAGCCACAAACGCAGGGGTGGGCAATCATGTGCCATGACGGGCTGAGAGGCTGCAGGTTTTCTTTCTAACCCAAAACTCCACCAGGTGATTTCACTGATTAGTCCCTGCTCTCCGCTCGGAGGTAAGGTAAACAGTGAAATCACCTGGTGGAATTTGGGTTGGAAAGAAACATGAGTAGAGGAGTTTACTTGACGATCTCAGTTTATCTACGTCTGTAATCAGCCTTTTATAAAACCTCAGTGACATATGTTACCTACTTGTCTATATCCTGCAGTATCGAAAACCAACTCCTGTGTAGATGCGCTCCCAAAATAACATGCTGCAGTGAAATCTGATCATGTCTGTCTGTGGATGTCTGGGTGTCACTGACTGTATGGTCACGCCATGAGCAGAGAGGACATACATTTGGGTTACAGAGTCATTCTGATGTGTCACCGTCCTCGATGAGGCCGACATGTGACCGAAGCCGGACTGAACACAGGCTTTAACGCAGAGCCGGAGGCAGCCGAGTCATCACTACCTCTGCCAGAGAGTCGCTGCCGCCATGCTGACAGAGAGGAAAACTCACTAATGCGGCGTTCAGTCAGCCTGAAAATGACGCCGGTTTCAAACAGAAGAACCGTCTCCTATCAATTTTAAAAACAGAATATCCGTGAAATTCAGAGCGTGGAAACAAAGTCCAGAGCGGGGTGGTTCAGACAGAAGCAATCACATGACAGAGCATCCCCACAGTGTGAGCTTTGATTTTACTAGACTGAACTTTTTTCAACACACCTGCGGCTGTTTAAAGTCACAAGAATCTGTTGGACTTTAATCTCCTTGGCTCATGGGATCAACAGAGTGGAAAAGTTACATAAAAATAGCTGCTGTGAACGTTTTCTCAGAGATGAGGAGTAACACAGTAAACAGCAGAGAAATAAAATAAAAAACCCATCATGAAATCGATTAGAGGCTGTTATGGATGAGTAATCTAGAATGATTGGCTCTGTTGAGTTATTCTGACTCTTACTCAATTTACAGCACTTTCCTGACTTACAATATGCCAATTTGGGTGGATTTGCTGTTTAATTACCGTCGCACCAAAGTGAAAACACTGCACAAGTGTAATTTGTTTGACTGTAAAGGACACTTTAACCAAAGTTGAACCGCTTTAAACCTTTTCATCCCACGATTTCCTGACTGTTGAGGAACTTTGTTTTTATATGGAACAGAGCTCAAAATCGATTACACGAGTATTCACCACCATCCCCACTTCCAACCACATGAAGTTGTGATGTTTTGGCCTGCGGTAATCAAAACTGCTCATGCTTGATTATTCGTTTAATCGACCAACAATTCTGGTGCAGACGAGGAATCATTTAGTGAACTACATCCCAAGTTAAGTATATGAGACGTCTGAGCTCCAGTAAACCAAAGTCCTTCAGAAACAGTCAGGAACACTTCAGCATATAGTGTTGGCGGTATAAAAGTATCTACCAGTAGAAGACCGGAAAGAGAGAGAGAGCAGATGTCTGCTGCATCCCTCTCAGTCAGTGTGTAGTTGTCTACGCTCGCTAACAGGAAAGCCGGAGCGTTTGGGCGCGTTTCCGTATATTCACCAGCGTGTCGTGAGGAGTTTGTAACGGTGAAGCACCATGTGTGTGCGGAAATGAGGAACCTGAGTTAAGACGCGGAGGGACCGATCAGTATCTACAGATACTGTAGATATCTACAGTATATATGTTTTTTTTTATAACGTCATAAAAAATGGAGTAATCGACATCAGCCCCAAAAAGTCCATATCAGTCGGACCCTAGTACTCATACCGTGATAGAAGATTTCGTTCATTCCCAATACGACTTCTACATCTTATTTTTTTCTGATTTTTTCCTTTTTCTTATACAATCCCAAAGATGTTTTTCACAAACAAAACATGCCTGATGATAAACGTTTGTTTCTGCTGAAACCATAACCGAGTTAGATCTCTCCCTCTGTCCTAAAGTTGTTCTCTACAGTATACAACAAAAGTCGACCTAACCGCGCTGCACTTCACTGCATTCCTCTCGTTGTTACACAGCAGATTAAAGTTCAACATGCAAAACATGTGATGGGCTTATAAAATTACTCAGGAATGCGCTGCCTTCAGAGGAACTCAGAATTTTCACTACTACAAACTTCATCAGCTGTTGGTCGATCTGAATCCAAACTAATGAACATATTTATGTTTCTCAGACTTTTTCTTGTTGTTTGATTCTCACTCAATCTCTAATATCTGAGGCCTCGACCCACGCTGAACTTCCTTCGCTGTAAAAGGAAAGGAAATGAAGACAATAGTCGTCTTTACTGGTGGTGATATAACTCAGTTTCCTCCTTTTGATCGGTTCAAAGATAGCAACAACCGTGTTTGTCTGACTGAAAAAATGAGCCGCTGCTACGAGCAAATTAGCACTAATTCACTTGATTCTTCTATCATTTATTTTCTCTACTCATTTGGTCTGAACAACATCCAAAATTCAGAGATTTATAAACCAATAAACCCTGAAAAAAAGTATGCCACAGAGCCAAAGAGACACAAAATTAAAAAGTCCTCATTAAACATCCCAAATGACAAGGAACTCATTTAGAAGTCACATTTAAAAAGAGAGCAGTTTGTTTTTTGGTCTGATTTTTGATTACTAATCTGTGTAGCTTCAATTTATTATTTGGAGGATTACAATTTACAATTTGTGCAACTGCGACCAGAAGTGGTCATGCTCATTGCTACGGTGGTGAAGGACATTAAGTCTTCCAAACCACTAAGATGCCTCCTGGCTCACTTGTCTCATTTTCAGGCCACAGCTTACTTACTAAGGATCTCAAGTGTGATCCCTAAAATCATCAAGTACACTGCATTTAGGCAATTTAATACAGTTTAATACGAGCCGAGCCACTCCCTCATGTGTCATAAGGAGAGGACAGATGGGGAACCCATCCCCCTCTGCAACTTAAATCCAAAATGCTAACGGGGGAAACAAAGACCCAAACTAATCATCTGCTCCCTTTGTGTACAGTAAGAGGGAGAACTAATTTGACTTTTTTTACTGTCATTAAAATACCACTGCTGTTGGACATTCAATATGACTAATAAACCAATCACAACATCTGCTTAGAGCTTTACAAAAGCAAGTCACAAGGTAGAGGTGCACGCCGTAGGGAAACAATTAGATAACACTGAACTTGTGATGTACTTTAAAATTCAAAGCAATGATTGTGGCTGTTTTCTGTTTGTTTTTTCGATTTTAATTGACTTGTTAATTTCTCTAAAATGACTGTGGAAATACACGTGATGTGACAATATTGTGTTGTATACTTTTCTGGATCTGGACAACAAGATTTGTAAGCACAGCCCACAGAAAGAAGGTTACACAGTCCTGTGAAAAATGGCTTTCTAAGGGCATGAAAACAAAAATAAATGAGGATTCTGTAGAAAAGCAGAGCTGACACAGTAATGGTGATGAGGATGGAAGATTTAAATCTGCTGAAAATGAGGGACAAAAATGAAGGAATTAAAGATTTTAGAGATATAAACCCTACAAAGTGTTTTTAGAATCAAAACTTGTGTGTTCTGTATTTATCGTAGGAGTAAACAGAGTAATCCTCCTACAACAGAAACAGGGATATCCCATGTAGCCTGCTGAGTTGGTAGTAATTAGATCTGGTGGTGTGTGTGTGTGTGTAGTAATAAAAAGGGAAGCAGTCTAGTGCACAGAAGCAGAGTCACTGTTGAGCATAAGAGAAGTAAAACCATGTGAAACTACACTGTGCTGTGATCTGCAGGGCATTTCAGGCTAGCTGGCAGCCAGTGAAGCTCTCTCTTTTTTAACTGCATACACAGTACTTAGAGTGAGTGGAGGCTACTTTCAGTTCCTCAGCCTCAGTGGAACCACACCCAAATGTGAGCTAAACCCAGACCTGCACACCAGAGTCAGAGTCCGAGCCTGCAGCATACCCTGTCTCTGTTGTCATTTAGCACAGTTTGAGCGATGTGTATGATCAACATTTCCACCTCTTAGGTCAAGAAGAGTCTGGGAACGAATGTGAATGTAGGACCTTGGAGTGAACAGGACGCTGCTGCTGCTGACATTGGCCTGAAACAAAGTCCTAAAGTCAGCACAGCACTTCCTCCTTGTGCTTCTGCCGTGTCGATTAGTTAACATGCGAGGAGGCCTGCTGTAGGGGGTTTAATCATGTCTACAGGGCTGCAGCACGTTTCACTGACAGGTAAATTAACCATACACAAACCTAAAAAGTCCATTAAACCTACGCTTCAAACAACTCCCAAAGCAAAAGAGATGAACAACAAGAAAAGTTATATTTTTCAGAAATGATACGACAAGAGTTCAACTTGAAACATAAACCGCTGTAGAGTGAGAACAGACCACCTTTTAGCCTCAAGTCTTCCTGCAAGAACTTGTTTGATATCCACACCTGGATAAAACTCACAAATCAGCTGCTGCTAAGACTTAAACTCTTTTCCTTTCAAGATCACATTTTCAGCTGCACTTCATGTGCTTCTTTTTCTAATTGTTATTGTCTAGTCTTTAAGCAGACTTAAATGATTTTCACTTTGATAAAGAAAAATAGATAGATTCAGATGAACTCAGTGTCTGGTCTGCTGATCCAGAGGAGTCAAAACAGAACACTAAAACTCCAGGGGTGTGTTTTTCCCGACAAATGGATTCAAACATCAAAATTTAAGCCACACAACAAAAGTGGCGATTGTTTTGTTAATTCAGTATTTGTTATGAAAGTGTGAAAGAGACATAAATGTCCATACAGGCAAAAAGAAGGAGAAAGGATTATTAAGTGTGACAGTTCACTTGTGAAACTCAATGTTACTTAAATTTGCACATCCCATTAACAACACAGGATAAAGTATATACTGATTTAATCCCAGCCCTTTAATAGATCACTAATTAAAAATATCACAGCCAACTTTCTTGTTTTGACCGACCTAAATGTCACCAAGGAAGCACAATAAACTGTTCATTTATCAATCTTCTAATACGAGCATTTGCAATGAACAAATTGCAAAATTCTCAATTTTTCACAATAAAGCAATATTCTATTCGTGCGTAAAAATCAATGTCTTCCTCGAGCAGCATGAAAATTTCCCCTGCTTAATGGATTTCTACATATTATCAGGGCTATGGCAACGCTTTTACACCATTATATGCCAACAAATGAAGCTTTAACCAGCTGTCAGTGAACCTCAGAGTAATAGGTGATAATCTGATAGTGAAACAGCTGCTTCTGTTTGTACCTCCCATGCTGCGGAATTATCAAACAATGCATCATTTATCATATTGTGCAGGTGGAGTGCCTGATGTGAAGATATTGTGGATAAATCAGACATAGGTGTCACTCTGTTTGAGGTAAATAGACTTTTGAGTCGCTAATGATGAGAGATGACCGTTAACTCGATTCTTTGTAAGAAATCCCACTAATGTTGGTGCGTTCGAGTTACCTCGGAAGTCAGATGTTAGAGCTGAAAATGCCGTTTACACGAGTTCCCAGCGTTTCTGTTACCAAGTCAGAAAAAAGCAAAATCGGAGGGCTGAAACAAGATGGCAACATCTACGAAAGTTATTTTAAGTTTATTTATTTTATTTAGCGCTTGCCTTGTCTGAATACAAAGCAAGCGCTTAAATAACTTTCCGTAACTGAATAACTGAAATAACTGAAACGCTGGTAACTTGGGTGTAACTTCATTTTCAGCTCGGAATTCCAACTTCCGATGTAACTCGAACGCAGGATCTGTAACTAAGTCGGAAAAAAGCTAAAATTGGAGGTGGAAACAAGATGGCTACATCTACAAAAGTTGTTTTAGTGCTTGCCTTGTCCAAATATAAGGCAAGCGCTGAAGTAACTATCACAGACGTAGCCATCTTGTTTAAAGCCTCCGATTTAGCTTTTTTCCGACTTGGTAACTGAGACACTGGGAATACGGCCGTGACATCATTTTCAGCTCGGACTTCTGACCTCTGGGGTAACTGGAACGCAGCATATGTCTTTTTTTGCTTGTATTTTTACATATCATAACAAATACTGAATTAAAGAAATATATTACGATGTCACATTACCTTTTGCACAGGAGGTATATGTTTATAAATATATGTTTTTTATTTTTATTTTGTTACTATTGCCTTTCACTGTATTCACTTTGAGATCTATTTTCTCAGATGTAAAGCACAGTATATATAAAATTTACTATTATTTACTATAATGTTTAAGTTCATTATGTATCGGTGAATCGTTGTATCGTGAAATCGAGATCGTGGGTCTTCCATCGGGTATTGAAGCGAGAGCTATTTACTATTCCCACCCATAGTATATGAACATGTACATCTAGATCACTATTTCTAACAATCTTCAACACCAAATATATCACCCTGCCTTTATATTTTCACATTTATCGTGTTAACTTTAATGAATATTTCCAAACATAGCCAATAAATCCCCTTAAATTAATCTATTTTGACCATATTAACCCACTTTTTTAGCTCCACAGCCTGTTGAGTCCACCGCTCGGTCAGGCGACGTTACAAACTTCAGATAGCTGTGGTGGAGCTGGTTAATGAGCAGCTTAATTTAACAGTTTTTAACGCTTTTATCGTGATAAGTCGCCACATTTGTTATAATTACACTTGCATACATTTAAAGACAACACCCGAGGTTAATCGTTGGCGCTGACACGTCGTTGTGAGCAGGCTAGTTAGCTCGATCCAGGTCGGCTAACGTTTGCCGACTAATCATCCGGGTTTAATCTTATCTTGACTTGTTTAAGCTGCTTCAATGAGCGCAAAACATTCAAACTAGATTATTACCTCGTTTCTGTACACTGACAGTCGATAGAAGATTTAGATAAGGTTGATATTTTTGACTTATCTAATGAGAGTGAACAGTTATCATTAATCTTTCCCGGCACTGATAGGAGTTGAGCGGCTAAGCTAGCTACTTAGCGCCCGGGCCCAGTTAGCTCCGAGCCGAGCTGTCAGTTACTAACTGCGTCGGTTAACAGGTTGTCAATCCTTCCTCTCAAACTAACGTTAGCTCCGTACTTTCGTTTTTTCTCACCGTGAGTCCGGTTCCCAGCACGATAACGTCGTAGTCTTCATTCATTTTTCCAAATCTTCACTCCTCCGCTCCTCAATATCGGGGAAAGAAAAAATGGAGATCCGCGGGGCCGAGAATGAGAAGAAAGGGGCGGGGCTGCAGCGGTTCAGCGTCAGGCGGCTCGGAGGGCGGGGCTTCCGAGCTGTCAATCAAAGGGTGAATTTTACTCATAGACTGTATATATAGAATATAGTTTATATATAGTAACTAGTATATACAGTCTATGATTATACTACTGGAAAAAAATACGGATTTATACTTAAACCCTTAAAAACTATCACTAAAATGTGTTTTTCACCTGAAATAATAAACCCAAGAAAAAGTACTCGACATCAAAATACATCAAAATGGGACAATACATGACAAATTAAAGTAGTTTTCTTTTATTTTCGACTGTGCAATGTCCAAAGGGAGGAAAAAAGTGCCATGAGGGGACCATATCTAATCTAATCTAATCTAAAAAAAAGTGGTCTCCTATATTCAATTTACCTAATGTAATCTATTTATTTGTTGTTGTTTTTCACTCGTTATAATTGCGTATGTTGTGTGTACTGCTGTTGTTAATGACTTAATTTCCCCACTGAGGGATGAATAAAGGAAAATCTAATATAATATAATATAAAAATTCAACAAAATAACTGAAATTAGACATTCATGAAGAAAAAAATCAGGAAAAAAATATAAATATATATATAGAGAGAGAGACTGTAAACTTAGTTTCTTTTCCAGCCATTCCTTGGGCATGTGAGTCTTCCTGGCACAATAACAGCTGAAGGAGAAAGAACCAAAATATGGTGAATTTGGAGTAAAAATGACCAGCTGACTCAAATATTTCTTATCACCATATGAATTCCCTTGAAAAGTTAGGTGTGTGTTGACAGACAGCAGGTGCATTATAGAATTTCCATATTGAGAATAAAGTCTTGAGATGGTCCTGCACTTTAAAGTAGGACGTTGAGTATTCTCCTTTTTGCTCATTCAATAATTTTCATTCTGGGTGTTCCCGTTTGCTTTAAACAAACCCTTTTTCATTCATTTTTTATTTATTTACATTTTACATCTTTTATACTCACACAAGGAAGAGCACACCCACATAGTAGAGATGTTTGAGTGATGATGGATGAATGCTGCATTGTGATACCTGAGCAGACTTGACACACCTGTTTAGTAAACTGAGAGACATTCACCCAGTTAGCTTCTGTATGACTGACTCAGAGTGAACAGCAGCAGGAGTCACAGACGCACAGCCGGACAACAAACTCAGGAATGAAGTTTTTCAGAGGGTCACTCGATTATAAGTTTTGACCTATTTACATAATTTGTTTTCTTCCTTTTATTTACAGTATTTTTCTCATAAACCAGTATAACCATTATAGGCACATTTAAGATGTTAATACCAGCAAGAATCTAAAACTAAAACACAGCAGGCAGCAGAATTAACGACGGGATGATCACAGCACATTTTTACATTTTTAAAGTTTAGGTTTGGTGTCTGACGTCCTGATAAACAGGAGGATAACACAGTCAGACAAACTTCCACACAGGCAGGAGAGTTCATCTTTAACGTGCCTGATCATGTTTGAACTTCACTGCATACTTTTCCCAAAACAAGAACTTTACAGTGGAATCCAATCGAGGTGAAATCTGAGGTCAGTTTGTGCCGTTTACTGTGAACTGCGAGACTTGGACCACCAGGTGGACTTGGGTTTCTCCTCTGAGTGAATCTGCACGCCTTCTTTTGACTCTCAGTCCTTGTCTCGTGTTGAAGTTTATTCTTGTTGGCCATTTCTTATTATTCCTGATTTAATGTTTGACTTATTCATGCATGCATTTGTTTTATTGCTTTTTATGCATTTTATTTGCAACTTCGAAATTCAGTCACACCGCACCACGACATGTGAGTTCATTCTGATTTACTCAACCCAAACTCTTCATCTTCCGTCCTTTAAACCTGTTTTTAGCAGCACTAACATCACATCTCTGCTCTGTAACACTGTAGGAGGATTTATGCGGTCTCCGTTAGGCCACATTCAAACGCTCGCACCACGTCTGGTTTCCTAGCGAGCTGCCGTGCGTTAGTGCCGGATGAGTCCTCTGAGTCCCTGAGCCTGAGCTGCAGGAGGGTCCTGACTGTGTCTGCATGCTGTCCAATGGAGGCCATGTGAAGAGCTGCGAGGACACAAGGAGAAAGAGAGGAACGCTCAGTCACTACACGGGTGCTTTTGCATGTTTTAGACCACAAAAGAAATCCAACTCAAAGTTAGACAGCAAATAATTTTCACTCCAGTGCCTTTTTTGTTTTGTTTTTGAAAAGCTTCTCTCGACCTCCTCCATGCAAAAAAAGCACATTAAGAAGAAACATGTTCCAGCCTGTTTTTAATCAGTCAGACTTATATTAACTTTCATGCAGTGATGCAGCTGAGAGCTTGTCTAAGGGCTGCAGGTCTACATCTGAAAAAAAATGACTTTTTAATGGCAGACGAACTGTTGAATGGAGGTCTGGACCTTCACTTTGTTGTGTTTTTAAGATTTATTATAAATCCAATGACAGCACTTCCTCAGGTTACTGAACAGCTGAATAATCACACTGTTGAACTGTTCTTTTTGACGTAACACGCTTCAGAATAAAAGCACAGGTCTAGGTTTTTACAGGAAGTTTAAAAAAAGTAAGATAGGAAAAATATCAAAATAAAAGCACAACAATGTGGCTTTTTTTTCAGTCACAGGTCTGGTGATGCAGATAAGTCCTAAATTTAAACATGGATGATGGTGTGTTAGTTAACTTTGCCGTTCCTCAGTTTGGCTGATAGGGTAGCTTCATTTTCAAGTTTTCTAAAAATTTGTTATTCTCATGATACTCTCTGTGATCAATAATCTATTCGCCCTGCAGTAGCTGAACGGTTATTCATAACTTCACTGAAGCCCTTCAGACTGTTGGTATTTATCACAGACTGTGTAATAACACTCTTCATCAGTCAGTGACAGTAAAATCTATTTTACTCGTTGATAAAACGACATTGACAAAACCTTTCATGGTTGACATTTTAGTAGTAGTTTTTATCGATATTCAGAAGATCATCCCTGCAGGAAAAGTCCAAAACATGGATTCACTGTGTCCTGCTGCTCACCTGTTCTTCCCTTGCTGTCACGGATGTAAAGATCTGCCCCCAAATCCAGCAGAGTTCTTAAAGTCGATGTGTGACCCTCCTGCGAGACACAGATAAATTTATCAAGTTTTCAACAACATTGTTGATTTTAAACCATCAACCAATAACTTCAGAATGACAATTTCATTCATCTGTTTATTACTTAAGGAAAAACCCACAGCTTATCTATTACCTCAACTCAACTCAACCTTATTTGTGAAGCACTTTAAAACAACCACAGCTGACCAAAGTGCTGTACATAAATAGACAAAACAGCACAGACATAAAAAACAATTAAAACAGTGGATAAAATAAAAGCAGATATTAAAAAGTAAAATATAGTTTCTATGTTTTTAAAAACTAATTTAAAAACATAGAAACAAATAAATAAAAACAAACCATAAAACACTAAAACAGGAGCCGAGTCTCATGCAGGGTTGAAAGCCAATGAATAAAAATGGGTTTTAAGATGAGTTTTTAAAAAAACTCTTTAATACTGAAGGTAAAGCTTCGTATAAACACCTTTTATTCTATATATTTAGCTAAATTTATAGGTAACTTATCCTCTTATCTGTTCTGTTTTTCTATCATAGTTAGATGCAGTGAGTCTTTAGTATGAGAGAGGTGAACAGCCCCTCCTGTCAGGTGTCACTGGTCTCACCTTCGCGGCGTAATGCAGAGCAGTGAGCTGGATGTTAGTCGCCCTCTGGTTCACATCTACATTCAGATCCCGCACCAGGAACCGCAGCGCCTCCTCCTGGCCGGTAACAGCAGCCTGATGCACCGGCTGAGCCCCGAGAGCGTCAGCTGCTGTTGGAGAAGCCTGCAGAACAAAACACGATATTACCAGAGCTTTAGTGCAACATCCTTCAGAGTGTCTTCATAACATCCTGAATCAAAACGCTGTTTTCTACCTGCTGCCTCTCCAGAAGAAGTCTGGCCACTGAGATGTGTCCGTTCCTGACAGCATCCATGAAAGGGGTGACCCCACAGCTGTCAGGACTGTCTGGGGCGTAATCACATCTGGAAGAATCACCGACAGTAGTGTTAACATTGGTGGTTATTTTAGTTATAATAACAACAAATGTTTACTAAGTGCTGTGTCGGCCAAAACAAAAAAAATAAATAACTGTCAGGTGAAGTTTGGACAGTTTTAACATAGTATGAACGCAAAAAATAAAAATGCAAATAAACAGAATTAAAGTCATGAGTAAAGTTATTTTCTTATGTAGATTTATGACTATGACGTTCATCAACAGTACATGTAGGGTCTGTAGAAGCTCTGAACCAAATTTCACCTACCTCTCTAGTAAGAGCTGAACTGTCTCCTCACAGCCGTGCATTGCTGAGTGAATAAAGAGAGTATCAGTTATTTTCTACAAACAAATAAAACTGTTTTTATCCCCACAAATAAAAATTAAACACATTTTTCCACCATCGGTAACCACTGTCATACCACCTGCAGTGTGAAGAGGTGTCCTGCGTGTCTTGCTCGCCGTCCTCCACACGTCAGGAGCAGTGAGCAGCAGGTGTTGCACCACTGAAAGATCCCCCTCCCTGCAGGCGATGTGAAAAGAGTTCCAGCCGTCTTTGTTCCTCAGTGACGGGTCAGCGCCATGACGCAGCAGCTCCTGGATCACGTCGAGGTTCCTCCGAGTGCACGCCATCATCAGGGGAGTCCTGAGAGACAAGTGACAACACGAACACCCGCTGCCTGAGTGAAACTGCTCCATTCAGTTTATTAACTAACACAGTATTTAAATTAATGATCAGACTATAAGATCTTTGAAATAAAAGTTGGACTTTTAGATAATGCAGTGACTAGTGATTGTTTTCATTGTAAAATTTACAGGTTTTCTCGATAAATATATTGGTTATGTGGCGATAATGTATCTAAACATCCAAATTAATGTTTGATTGACTGTTACAGGGAAGGGGGAAGCAAGAAAATTCACATTAAACTAATAAACAAATGTAAAAATAATCATATCATGTGAGATGAAGCGAATAACTTCAATAGAGGGATAGAAATTGAAAACTGAAATGTCTGCATTATGTGATTTTACGCTATTTTAGTCCTACAGTAGGTGTTTTGTGTTTTATTACCTCTTTTTTGATTAACTTTCTTTTATTGTTTGATTTTAAGACTGTTTTATTTAATTAACTTTTAACGCTTTATCACCTTTATTTTATTTTATCATGGTTTTATCATTTAGTCCTAGATCCAGTGTTTTCTTCATCTTTTTTACTTCAAGATAGCGTTTCCTCAGCTGAAGTGTCCTTACCTGGTCTTTTGTGTGTATGCATCTGTGTGTGAGCGTGTAAGTGCTGTATGTGTTGAATGAGGGTTGAGAGGGTGGGTTTTACTTCATTGTTTTTTAATATCCTGCATGATTCCTCCACGTATGAAAAGTGCTTTAAAAATAAAGTTTGATTGATTGATATCGTCCTATGATTCTAAAATAAAATTAGTCCATATATATAAAAGCTTAAGTGTTGGAGCCACCGATGTTACATTTTTAATCGATCAAAAATGTCTCTCCTTCGAGCCGGATTCGAACCAGCGACCTAAGGATTTCAGCATTACGCCACTACAGTCCTCCGCTCTACCAACTGAGCTATCGAAGGGAGCTGCTCGTTACACGGACACAGTACCGTTTTAAAGCCAACAGAGGGCGTGCTAACTAAGATTATTTCATCATAATGACATATTCGCAGGTTGCCGAGTTCACGCTCTCACCAGTCCGCTTTCTTCAGACTGTCCACCTTGGCTCCTCGTCTCAGCAGATAGCTCACACACTCATGGCGGCTCATGGACGCAGCTTCGTGCAGCGGCCTCTTGTAGTCGTTGTTGTAAACCTCCACGTCCATGCCCACCCGCTCTATAAAGAACTCCACGATGTCCATGTGTCCGTGTCTGGCAGCGTAGTGCAGCAAAGTGTCCCCTGACCGGCCGAAGTGTTTGCTACAGACAGTTTGGACCGCCGTGGAGTTTTCTAAAGACACCAGCTTCTCCACAGAGCTGAACTGTCCCTCCTGAGTGAGCTTCACAAGCTGTTTTAACGTGTTTTCATCCATGTTGGTGGAGAACGGAGGCTTCTACACGACTAGAAAGACAGAAACAGACGAAAAAAAGGCAAAGTGAAGGAATTTAGCTGCTTAAATCCACGCTGGAGGGATTGTTTACCTGTGTATTTCACAGAGTAGCAAAAATTAGATGGCCAACCAATAACTTACACTGTGACCGTTCTCGCTATTAAATAGCTATGGGATCTCTTTCGCTTGTAGAAAAATATGATTTAATAAAAATAAAAAAAATAGTTTGACTTTTAAATTGATCCTAGTGAAAGTAGGAGTAGTAGTAGTAAAATAATAATAATTTTAATAATAACAGTAGTAGCTGTAGAAGTAAAATAATAATAATAATAACAATAATATTATTATTAGTAGTAGTAGTAGTAGTAGTAGTGGTAGTAGTAGAATCATTAATATTATTTTCATAATAATAATAATTATAATTAGTATAATAATAATAGTGGTAGTAGCAGTCAATTATTATTATTATTATTTTATTTTTTAATTATTATTATTTACTACCTGTGTCAGTCACTATCGGACCTGAATAAGATTATCCGAGAAAGGTAATTGTCTCTTTTAACATAAAATTATAAAACGTGAATTTGTCCAACCCCTTTTTTTCTGTCCAGATCATTAAACTTGGTCCTGATTCAGTCAAACAAAGCTTCAGTTTTACACAGACACTGTGAGAATGTCCTCCTTCCCCATTTTCTCCTACAGACCTCACGGGATGAGTTCAGCGTCGTCTTGCAAAAGCAGGAATAGTTTTTGATTGTCCTTCCCATTAGGGCGACCTCGTAGGTATTGTGGTAAATGTAGTCTTTTTGTGAAACGTGCTCCTCAACCCTCCAAGAGGCTCTAAACTCCTTGTAATCGGTTGTTTCTCCGTGGACACCAAGTCGTCAGTGATATCCACGGCTCGACTGCCTCTTAGATTATATTTTGGTTTGTTAATAACCGCGTTAGAGCAGTTAGAACAGTTTGCCACCGTAATATTAAGAGCATACAATCTTTATTTTTTATTGGCTGTGAGTTTAGTTTATGGAGCGAAGTGGACATTTCTTACACAGCAGAGATGAAGTGATGAGTTTTTCTGCTTTAAATCCGTGAAATCAGCTGATTGGCTTCCTGACAGCGAGGCATCAGGGCTGGTGAACAAGATGTGTCACATCTGGAAGAAGAAGGAGGAGGAGAAAAAAGGTGGTGGGAGAGAGAAGACAGGGGAGTGGGATTATTAAAGAGGGTGAGTCTCAGTCCTTAGAGGATTTTCAACATGGACCATGAAGATGAGAAATGAGAGAGGACTACAATCAACACCTTCTCTGTCTTTGTGAGTACATTTTAATGAGGCCTACCTTTAATCTCAGCTGCAGTTTGAATGAGAGGCAGGGACACGCCCCTTTCTTTTGTGTTAAAAACATTATAAAGTTTACTTTACATCAGTATTACACATTTACCCTTGAATGTTAGTGATATGTTGAGAAACACACCCATAACTGTGTTACAGTTTTTATTCAGCCTGATTTTATTGTTGGGCTTGAGAACTTTTTGTCCTGCTACACTGAAAAAAATGTCTGTACTGTTCACAATTGTCCCTTTTTTACCCTAAAAACATGCAGAAACATCATGCACAATGCGTTTTTAATTTCCCCCTGTGAAATACAGAGCTAATCTGGAGTTATGGGTGGACATTTAAGAGGTTTTGTTTGATTTTTCACTTTTTCACACACAGTGAAAGTGATCAACATGTCCATTTTCAGCTTTTTTACAAACACTTCTGTCTTGAAATTTTCTAAAACAGTGTAAATTTAAGGCACATGAATTAAAAGTTTCATAATTGCCTTGTTTTGGTTCAACTTTAACCCAAAAAAAGATAACTTCATGTGCTGGCTAGGACTTTTTTTGCAGTGTGATGACTTAATGTGCTTCAGTTTGTACCCCCAACCCCCTTGTAACACACTCATGCACACACACACACAAACACACACACACACAGTTGCTTGCACACTTTTATGACTTTAAAAAAAAACAGTTGTTTGACTCATCCTGCAACATCATGCAAAATGTTTCAGTGGCTTAATCCTTCATTGATACTTAACAGAGAACTAATGAATTATAGTGCACTTGATAGAGACATGATGTGATGGTGCAAATCTGCAGAAAGTTGTGATACTATACGGTCATAAATGCTCTGACGCTGGAGAAGATGTGACACATGAAGACAGTAAATGGTGATTTAGAGAGTCTTCGGTGTATTACAGATTGTTCGAATGCCTGCCAGATACAGGCTGTTAGGCTGTCCTGCCTCCTAGAAAGGAGTGTATCTGTCTCTAATTTAGTCCAGATGTTTTCTAGCTGCTCTAAACAGTGACAAACAAACCAGAAACAAATGCACAACATAAACTGGATGTCCTGTTTTATTTCAGCTGAGGGTCTGCAGGTTTTTGAGGAAGCACTAAGACATAAAAAACAGACCCACTACTGAACGTTTTAAATAATGAGCGCACTAAAGCGAGGTCAGGTTGCATCTTTTTACACCCAACAACACACCGATCATAGGGTCAGTGAGAGAGAAACAGAAAAATCAGACTCTCTCCACTGTTAGTCGTTTGATCTTGTGAGCATTTATACCTCTGCTGTTAGATGTTAAATGGCTGGAAGGCAACTTGAATCCTTGCGGAGCCCTGGCTCAGGAAAAAAGGAAATGGCAAAATGCTTTTGGGCCCAAAAGAGCCACATGTGTCGTCCAGGATCTCCCGGCTCTGGTTCTGAGATTTTATAGCAGGTCAGATCACAACAAACGACTGTCACGAACATCAGAGTACGCTGCATGTACTGTCTGTGTCTCTCAGAGTGTGTTTATATCACAAGGCACTAATGGTTATATTGTGCGTACATATAGGGTCCCAGCCATAGTACCAGCCACCAAACATCTTTTTAATTTTGACTAATTTCTTTAACAAAGAGACTAAACACTACTCACCTACTCTTTTCCAGCAGCCGCTTGTTTTTAGCGAGACCTCAGGCCAGTCCATTACGGACTACAGTGGGGTGACGCAGCTCAAGGAAGAACATTTATGATCATTACTTTATCATTTTCTTGAAGTAATAATCATCATATTAATCATTTTCACTGCAGACACGGTAGTTCTTCTGCCTTAGCGTCTCGGTCTGATTGTATTTCCATGAAGAAATGATCATAAATGTTCTTCCTTGAGCTGCGGCACCCCGCTGTAGTCCGTAATAGACTGTTCGAAGTCTCTGGTTGCAAGTGGCGTTTTGGTTGAGCACGTTGCTTTCTGTATTGCTATCTTTTGCTATCATTTTGCTATTGCTATCCTTCGGTCGTTACTAAAGTTGGTATAACTAGAGAATCAAGCGGTCGGCAACATTCATGTCTCGACGGGGATGTCTAATCCCTTTAAGTAACTTTTGCGCACACGTTATTAACCTGTGGAAACAAATATCTTGTCTGAACCTCTCTCTCTCTCCCTCTCTCTCTCTCCCTCTCTGTCTCTCTCTGTGGGTGTGTTTGCAGATGTTTCTGGAAGCAAACATGAAACATGGCTCTCCTGAGAAAAAGTAAGTGGAGTTAAAGTCAAATACAAATGTGATGACTGACCTTTGCCCTCATTACAGGATGTTAAATTACACCACAGACAGAAGAAGAAGAGGCGTTCAGATCTGTCTCTCACTCTGAGCACAAACACAATCAGCTTTTGGTCTAACACTCATTCAGACTTTAAGTTTCAGGTTAGAAAAGTGAAGTTTAGCTGGAGCGTTAAAAGGAGCTCCATATGTCTCTGCTGGAAAGAGTGCATTCTCCATGCATGTGCACTCTAAGTGTGGGGAGGGGAGTGATGAGAAAGCCAGATGATGCGCTGTAAGAAGTGTGTGAACAACAGTGTGGAGTAAAGGCAGAAAGCTCAGTAAACAGTTTACAAAGGAGTCCTCATGAGTCAAACAGGTCAGAAAACAAATATCTCAAATCTGCTGTTTTTCAAATCAAAGTGGAGTTAAGAAACTCAAACAAGCCAACAAACCAGAAAAAAGACACCAAAATCTGAGTTTTGAATATTTCGATCAAACAGAAAGGACTTTTTTTTTAAGGAGGTTAATAAGGATTTTATGTGCATATGCAGGAAAACTTTGGTGTAAACTGCAGCTGGGGTGTTACTCTGTCCTAAATTAGTTACGGCACCTGAGAGAGCGGCCAGAAGTGCTTCAGGTGTCCTGTAACAGATAGCAGATGAGTCTTTGATCCTTGTTTTTGAACGTTTGTGCCTGAAACACAGCTGGTGGAGAGAACCTGAGAGGCCAAATATGACGTGCATTCAACATTGTTCATCATTTACCATTATCATCTGCCTTTAAAATGACTTTTCTCAGAGGGATGTAAATAAAACACCAGAAGTGTCCTTTAAATAATTAGAAAAAATAAATGTGCTTCAGTAAGAAGATTGTAGAGCTGCAGCGAGGAAGAAAAACAAGAGATTTGGATAATTAAGATATAAATTTATGAGACAGAATTTACATGAAGTCTATGGTTACCATCAATGTTACTGAGAAGAGAATTAGGAAATTAAGGTTTTAAGTTGTAGTGTCTGCTCCTCTAATATTTTCATTTCCAGCTCTTTTCTTGTAAATGTAAAACTTTTAATTCACAAGTTTATCTTCATAAATTAAAAGGCTTTTTTTTCCTCAAACAGCTTTCCTAAATAAGAAACTTAACCTCTGAAGTTATAGGGCTTATTTTAGGATGTTTTTTTGTTAAATGTTTTATGTTTATTCTGTGATAACCCACAAGATCCAGCAGGAGAACTTTTCAAAAACACAACAAAAAGGAAAAAAAAAACCTTATAAGGTTTATGTCGGTCCACATCTCATCGTGAGAAAACAGTCTGATTAGATTTAAACTCCCTCTCATGTGTGTTCAAACCCTGACGGCCCACTTCTCCCTCTGTGTTTCAGTAAACCGGGTCCTCCTGGTGCTGCTGGTCCTGATGGTGTGTTTGCTCCTGCACAGCACTTTCCTCAGAGCCTCCACCAGACCCAAACTCTCAGGTACACGGGTGCACACGTTTAATTCAAAACTTTCTGAACTCATCATGCAGAGCACTTTTATTTCTCACTCGTCTCTCTATCCAAAGTGACACCAGACAATCTTCAGCCTTTATCCACTCGTTTTTGATTCCCCCTCAGATCGATGGAAAAGTTTCGGGAAAGCGCCACAAGTCCCGGACGCGGATGCTGTCGTCCCGGTTATCATTTGTTCATCTGAGGAGCGAATGGGAGCCAGCATGGCGACCATCAACAGCGTGAAAAGTAACACAGACGCCAGCGTGTTCTTCTACATCGTTACTCTTCGAGATGCCGTGAAACCGACCAAGTTTGTGTCATTTATATAAGTGGATTTTCCTCTTGGTGTTCTTCTTAATGCTGTTTTTTTCTTGCAGATTTATCTTTATTTCCTCTCACTGGTTTCTTTGCATCTTCGCAGGCAGTACATCGAGAAGTCTAAACTCAAAGGTATCAGGTATAAGATAGTGGAGTTTAACCCCATGGTGCTAAAAGGAAAAGTGAAGCCGGATTCCTCTAGACCGGACCTCTTACACCCGGTGAGTCCTGATGTTCTTCCCTTTTTCTGTATCAGTATATTTATTTCACTTGCAGAGATACATGTGGAAATATTCTTGTGTTTGCAGCTCAACTTTGTGCGTTATTACTTACCTCTACTCGACATCAGCCACAAGAGGGTGATATACTTGGATGATGACGTCATTGTGCAGGGTGAGTACAGGATCAGGTTCACACTCTCTGTGGAGGAAGTGGAAACCTAAAAACTTCAATTTTTCTTGTATTTTTCAGCCAACATCAGGGATTTATTTAATATCAAACTCAAGCCAGGCCACGCTGCTGCTTTCGCCTCCGACTGCGACCTTCCCTCCACACACGAGATGGTGCGCAGCATCGGCATGCAGGTGGATTTTTATACCTGTTTAATTTCTCTTACAGTCACATTCAAAATGCATGTTTTACAAAGAAACAAAACCAGGAAGTAAAAATTGTGTGTAGTTTGAGCATAATTTGCACATCCACAAACTTTTTCTCAACTGCTGTTGTAGTGTTGACCTCCTTCACTTCCTCTAAAATTCTGCTCATTGTTGAAATATGGCGTCTTTTCCTCTGAGCTCTCCCTGTAGACGACGTACATGGGCTTCCTGGACTACAGGAAAAAGGCAGTTAGAGATCTGGGCATCCATCCCAGAGACTGCTCTTTCAACCCGGGAGTGTTTGTGGCGGATATCGATGAATGGAAGAAGCAGAAGATCACCAAACAGCTGGAGAAATGGATGGAGGAGAATTTCAGGTACGCTCCATAAAGACCTTCAGCCTTCTGGTTTGGTATGAGTATCAGCCTGATAAGAGAGTCTCCTCTTCTTCCTTATTTTAACCAGGCAGAACATCTACAGCAGCGCCATGGCTGGAGGCGTCGCCACTCCGCCCATGCTTATAGTGTTTCATGACAAATTCACAACCGTAGACCCAATGTGGCACGTCAGACACCTGGGTAAGACCAACCAGCTATCCTATTATTACAGTTAGGATAACCATTAGAGGAAGTTCTGCATCAGCTGAGACAAACTTTTGTCAAAATGACTTCCCGTTCTGTGCAGGTTGGAGTCCAGACGCCCGCTATTCAGAGAACTACCTGCAGGAGGCGCGGCTGCTGCACTGGAATGGCCCATTTAAACCGTGGAGTTACCCCGCAGTGCATTTAGATCTGTGGGAGAAATGGTACGTCCCCGACCCCTCCGGAAAGTTCTCCTTGGAACGACCCGAGAGTGACAGCTGAGGTGTGGGATGTACCACATGTGGGCGACGGGGAGGGGAGAAGAAAATAAAGCTCAAAGCTGAGCTGGACATTGTTGGAAGGGGAAAGTTCAAATGTAAAGTAAAAGTTAGACTTATAAATGTTCTGAAAATTAAAGATGAAGTGACAGAAAGTGTTTGTTGCATCTGTTTGAATATCATGTCCATTTCTGCTCTCAGTACTCGGTCTGGGCTCCTTTTACACAACTTCCTCCATCAGTCTGTGTCTCTGCTGAGGTCTTAATGGAGACCTGGTCTTTCTGATAGCTCCTTCAGCTTGTCTGTTTTGTTGCTTTAGTGTCTCATCTTTCTCTTACTGATACCTAAGAGATCCCCTTTGGGGTTGAGGACAATAAAGCACGGTGATACCAAGGTCTGCAAACCAGTTTCTGGTTGTTTTGGCGCTGCAGGCAGGTGCCAGGTTGAAAAAGGATAAAGCCTCTCAGCAGATGGAAGCATGAAGGTCTCTAAGATGTCCTGGTAGACTTTAGGCTACCAGACACAGCACCCCAAATCATCACAGACTGTGGAAACTTCACACTGAACTTCAAGCACCTTAGTTTCTGTGCCTCTCTGATCTTCCTCCAGACTTTAGGACCTGTGGGAGAATATGTTTTAAGTCTCCTCCCTCGGTTCCAACCATGCTTGTTAGGATTAACAGATAACCAGCATGAACTGGCCAGTCCAAAGAGTGCAGATAAGGGAGTGTCTCATGGTCATGCTTCCAGTGATATGAAACTTAACTCCTAGTGACAGCCCTGCAGCAATAGAGAGAAGTCTATTTCTGGAAACACCTCTTCAAGACTTCAGCTGACATAACAACAAAACCTCTACATACTATAAATCACCTGTAATTCTCTTTATAAGGTATAAGAGAACCGTGCCTCTACATCCGTGTCATCCATGCTGCAATGTTGCGCCTTCTTCCCAAACAACACGGTGTGACAGCGCTTCGTCCAATGAGGTGAGCGTCACAGAAACCTGCAAGTGTTCGGCCAGCTCATTGGTCACAGAGCGGGAGAAGGAAATGGTATTGGGATTACCGTAAATTCTGATATAAATCACCCTGTTGTTCATGGACACCATAGACACATAGCAGTTTTTTTAATTCCTCAGAGAAACACGGTATAAAGTGTGTTCCTTGTCGTTTCAACACGGGACGCGTATGTTTGCGTCCAAATCCGTTTTTTAGCGGACGGTTGTAAACCCGAAGAGTTCGCAGAGGAAGGAGAGAGAGATGGAAAAAGGCTGAAGATACTGAAAATATAACAACCATTCAGACATCTGCCTTTGGTGTAACCAGCTGAGCTGTTCAGTTCTACTTTTCGTGTCAAAAGTCGATGATAGTAAACATCAATTTCCTGAACAGGTGAGTTTTCTGCTTTTCTTTCCTTCAAACTGAACACTTTCTGACTCAATAACGCTCATTAGCAGAGAGTAAACTTGTAATTGTCTTTTATTCTAGGTTTGAACCATGTTTGTAATGTTTAACGAAACCCCCAAAACAGGCCAGCCCAGAGTGCAGAGAGGGGAGTGTCTTACTGTCTCAATTCCAGTGAAACGAAACTTAACTCTATTTCTAAAGAAACCACTTCAGGACTTAAACTGACAGAACAACAAAAACTTAACATACTATAAATCAGTGATGGCCAAATGAAGCTTTCTGAAATAATAAGTCTTTCCAGCCCATCGCTTTGCCCCAAGGTTCATTCAGAGCTCACTAGCCCCATCTATTGCCAGAGTTAAACTGTGACAGCCAAGTCATTCAGATAGATTTCAAATGTTTTCACAGTGCAGATTAAGCGGTGATAGAAAATGAATATTATTGAAATATAGAATAGTGTTTAATCCGTGTACAATAACAACAAAGTCTTTAGTGTTTGATATAACTTTGCTCTTTCTTTTTATTCCTAATAAATATTTTCTATCTGTTTGATTGTTATTTTGGTTTGTGTTTTTCATGGCTATCAGTATTCATTATTTAATTAGTGCTTGGGTGACAGTACAGTTTGTTGGGAGGGAGCAGGGAGTGGAGGGGGTAATCATTTTTTTTCTCTGTATTGATTGCCCCATTAAACTACTCATACTACTTCTACTAGTAATTCTACTAGTACTTTTACTGCAACTAACTAACCCTATGCTTTCAACAACTACCACTGCTGATTATAATCCAGACTCTGCTACGAACGCGCAAACCAAACTACCACCTTATACAACCCACAGAGCACTGTGTTTTTGTCATGCTTTTATTTTGATAAACAAGACGCAAAATGAACTAGTCACGTAACCTGTGTAATACAAGGCCTCATTTGTAATTGGTCACGTGGTTTTCAGCAAACCGATGCAAGCCTCGATGTGGGGCTTTGACAGACACGCCCCCTTCATATTCGGTACACGCCTTGAAGCCACGGCTTCAAACATTCCATCACTACTATAAATCACCTGTAATCAGAGGGAATCAACAGGTAAGAAGAAAACTAAAGAGTATCTCGTTCAGTGTCATATCACAAACTTGTTCTTCTATCTGGGTTTGTGAGGTAAGATTTTATCTTCTCAACTGTTGGTCTCTAACAGTTTAAAACTTTCTTAGTAAAACACGATAATTCAACATATTTTGGTCTCTGAATGAATTACAGTCACACAAAGTTTGGATGGGCGACAGTAAACTGCTGACGCCAACAGCTGTTCAACGGTCATGTGTCTGAGTCATACTGTGTTTATATTTGTGTCTCTTACAAGCTCAGGTTTGTTCAAACACTCACCTTTATCATCTAATGATGAGAAAACTTCCAGGACTGTGCTGCATTGTTTTTTTCAGTGTAGTTTTGTTGATTTCTTCTTCATGCCTTCTTTAATGCTTCGTTCCTAGATATGGCGTCAGCAATCAGTCTCCTCTCTGAAGACCAGTTCCTGTGCTCCATCTGTCTGGATGTCTTCACTGATCCCGTCACCATACCATGTGGACACAACTTCTGTAAGTCCTGCATCACTGAGCACTGGGACACCAATGACCAGCATCAGTGTCCCCTGTGCAAAGAGCAGTATGAGAAACTACCACACCTGCGGGTCAACACCTTCATATCTGAGATGGCTGCTCAGTTCAAGCAGTCAGTTTCAAGAGAAACCATCACCTCCACCATCAGGAGTAGCTCAGAAGAACAACACACCGACCCAGGAGAAGTTCTCTGTGATTTCTGCACTGACACTAAACTGAGGGCCCTGAAGTCCTGCCTGGATTGTCTGGTCTCCTACTGTGAGGCTCACCTGGAGCCTCATCAGAGAATCTCAGCCCTGAAAAGACACAAGCTGATCAACCCTGTGAAGAACCTGGAGAGCAGGGTGTGTAAGAAGCACAATAGACCTCTGGAACAGTTCTGTAAAACAGACAAAATCTGCTTGTGTCGGTTCTGTTCAGAGTCAAAACACAAGCTCCATCAAATCGTTTCCCTCAAAGAAGGATATGAAGAGAGAAAAGCAGAGCTTGGAAAGACAGAGGCTGAAGTTCAGAGGATGATCCAGGATAGGGAACTGAAGATTAAGCAGATCAAACAGTCTGTGACACTTAGCAGAGAAGATGCAGACAGAGAGACAGCAAAAAGTGTGGAGGTCCTCACAGCTCTGCTCCGTTCTATTGAGAGAAGAATGGCTCAGGTCATCGACATGATCCGTAAGAAGCACAAACAAACAGAGGAACTGGCTGAAGGTCTCATCAAAGAGCTGGAGGAGGAAATCTCTGAGCTGATGAAGAGAAGCGCTGAGCTGGAGCAGCTCTCATGCAATGAGGACCACCTCCACTTCCTCCAAAACAACTTGTCTCTGAAAGCTCCTTCACTCTCTAAAGACTGGACGAAGGTCAAAATTCACTCTTCATATGATGGGATCTTGAAGACCAATCTGGTTGAGCTGAGAGAGACACTTGGCAAAGATACAAAGACTCCTTGTGCTGATGGCCAGTTAAAGAAGTATAGGCAGTACTCGGTGGATGTGACTCTTGATCCTGAAACAGCTCATCCTAAACTCATCCTGTCTGCTGATGGGAAGCAAGTTTATCACGGGAATACGAGTCAAAAAATCAAAGACAGCCCAAAGAGAATATCCTCGTATTTTGGTGTGTTGGGAAATGAGGGTTTCTCCTCAGGGAAGTTTTACTATGAGGTTCAAGTTGAGGGGAAGACCAGCTGGGTTTTAGGAGTAGCTAGAGAGTCTATCCACAGGAAGGATGTTCGTCTCTTTCACCCTGAGAACGGTTTCTGGACTGTATGCTTGAAGGATGACGAGTACAATGCTCTTGTTGACACTAAACCACTTCAGCTGAGTCTGAAGTCAAAGCCTCAAAAGGTGGGGGTGTTCGTGGATTATGAGAGGGGTCTGGTCTATTTTTATGACGCAGATGCTTCAACTCTAATCTATGCTTTTACTGGCTGTAACTTCACTGAGAAACTTTACCCGATTTTCAATCCCAGACACAGAAGTGGTGCAAACTCCAGCCCTCTGATCATCTGTCCAGTTGATAACTCTGATTAGACAATGTGTACCTCAGAACCAGTGGCGAGTGGTGACCTTTGACTGTGGTCATGCTTAGGTGTCAATCCCATGCAGGCGCCCACAAGGGTACAAGCGAGAACATTTTGGGGTATTTATTAATTAATTGAAACACATATGTTTTTTAACAACTACATCAACTAAATTTTGATAGACACTCTCACACTCACACTTACCCCAAGTTACCAACAACAATGTGTTGGAATTTACAGTGTATAGAAAGGCTAAATGAAAGCAGAAACACTCAGGACTGACACAGGTTGATACACACAGTAATGTAACCAGCTCTGTGGTTAGTCAAATGACACAACCACATGCCTACAGAGCTATAATTCAAACAAGTCAGTTATTCACGTGCACGTTGGCAGATTAGCTGCTTTACTGACAGCTTTTTTTGCCGTTCAAAATGCTCATCTACAGTAAATACAGCCTCTAAGCACTAACTGTACTACTTGGTATCACAGTGCACATGCGCAAAACTAGCTATCAGCTTTCCAGTTTTTCACGAGCCAAACAAGACAGATTAGGCAGGGATCTAAGACGAAAACAGTACTAAGGTGGTATTGTATAATTGAACACACTGACAGATAAGTATTTTCAATGGTTTTTATTGAAGGGCGTAGGCATGCGCTGCATCTATAGTTTATTATGACCGCTCGCCCATGCTCAGAACCCATCAGCTCCTGGGCAAAGCCTCTGGTAGTGGTGGTATCAATTAACATAGTTATTTTGTGGTTTTTGTTGTATTTTATTTTTTATTTTGTTTCATAGGGATGGTAGTAATCTACTATTAATGTTAAGAAGTAAAAGGAGTGCTACAGGGCGCATTCTTGGGATCACGCTAATTGATAATCTAGATCAACAGTAACGGTCAGACTATTCCTAAAGCAAATTTACATTTATATTCAGATGATACTGTTGTTTACTGCTCTGCTCCAACACTGCATCAGGTTTGAGATTATAGACAAAATGCTTTTGATGCAGCTCAGCAAACTTTTCATGAGTTGAAATTGATCTAAAATCCTGATCAAACTAAACTCATGATGTTTTCAAACTCAAAAAAAAGCAGCTGATTTTGCTGTCTATCACTATGATTTAAGAAGACGTGAGAAGAACTTAGAGAACTTGAGGAAGCTAGGTCCCCCAGACTGTGTTTAGAAGCAGATTGACGGTGTTAAAGGGAGACACATCAGGCTGTAAATGTTTTGAATAATGACTTTCAGCTGTATCATTGAGGAAATGTTGACGTTTTGTATTATGTGATTGAATGTAACTTTGTTGTAAAAAAAAAAGATTTTTAATCTCAGTGCGGCTCTCCTGGTTAAATAAAATTAAATAAATGAATAAAATAATTAGAGCTTCCTAACCTTGTTTTAAAGCACCTTTTGAGAGCTCCCTGCTCTTCCATATTTATATAAGTTGGAGAGAGAGCACCTCCCTTTCATTTCATTTCATGTGGAGACCAGGCCTGGAGATCAGCAGCAAAGACCTCTTAGGTACATAACAACACAGGCAACAGGGACACTCCATATGACAGTGGTCGAATCAGACTCAGTATAGAAAGGGGAGCTGGGGTGGAGGCAGTTTACAGAGGAAGAAGGAAGAGATAGAAGAAGGCTGATGATGTTTGAAATATAAAGACCATTCAGACGTCTGCCTTTTATGTAACCAGCTGAGCTGTTCAGTTCTACTTTCATTGTCATAAGCCGATGATGGTAAACATCAATTTCCTCAACAGCTGAGTTTTCTGCTTTTCTTTCCTTCAAATTGAACACTTTCTGACTCAATAACACAAATTAGGAGAGAGAAAATTAAATTGTTTTTTATTCTAGGACTCTAGGACCTCTGGGGAGATTAGTTTCCGCTCTTGGTTGCAACCATGTTTGTGATGATAATCAAAACCAGCAGGAACAGGTGAGTCCAGAGTGCAGAAAAGGGAGTGGCTTACTGTCCCACTTCCAGTGAAACAAAACTTAACTCCTAGTGACAGCCCTGCAGCAGTAGGGAGAAGTCTATTAGAAACACCTCTTCAGCTTCAGACAGAACAACAAAACCTCTATATACTATAAATCACCTGTAATCAGAGGAAATCAACAGGTAAGAAGAAAAACTAAAGAGTATCTAGTTCAGTGTCGTCTCAAAAACTTGTTTTTCTATCTGGGTATGTGAGGTAAGATTTTATCTTCTCAACTGTTGGTCTCTAACAGTTTAAAACATTCTTAGTAAAACGCGATAATTCAACATATTTTGGTCTGAATGAATTACAATCACAAAGTTTGGATGGGCGACCGTAAACTGCTGACGCCATCAACTGTTCAACGGTCATGTGTCTGAGTCATACTGTGTTTATATTTGTGTCTCTTACAAGCTCAGGTTTGTTCAAACACTCACCTTTATCATCTAACGATGAGAAACTTCCAGAACTGTGCTGCACATTTGTTTCAGTGTAGTTTTGTTGATTTCTTCTTCATGCCTTCTTTAATGCTTCGTTCCTAGATATGGCGTCAGCGATCAGTCTCCTCTCTGAAGAGCAGTTCCTGTGCTCCATCTGTCTGGATGTCTTCACTGATCCCGTCACCATACCATGTGGACACAACTTCTGTAAGTCCTGCATCACTGAGCACTGGGACACCAATGACCAGCATCAGTGTCCCCTGTGCAAAGAGAAGTATAAGAAAAAACCCGATCTGCATGTTAATACGGTCTTATCTGAGATGGCTGCTCAGTTCAAGCAGTCAGTTTTAAGAGAAACCAACACCGGCAGCTCAGAGGAACAACACACCAACCCAGGAGAAGTTCTCTGTGATTTCTGCACTGACACTAAACTGAGGGCCCTGAAGTCCTGCCTGGATTGTCTGGTCTCCTACTGTGAGGCTCACCTGGAGCCTCATCAGAGAATCCCCGCCCTGAAAAGACACAAGCTGATCAACCCTGTGGAGAACCTGGAGAGCAGGGTGTGTAAGAAGCACAAGAGACCTCTGGAGCAGTTCTGTAGGACTGACCAGATCTGTGTGTGTTTCTTCTGTTCAGAGTCAGAACACAAGCTCCATCACATCGTTTCCCTCAAAGAAGAATATGAAGAGAAGAAAGCTGAGCTTGGAAAGACAGAGGCTGAAGTTCAGAGGATGATCCAGGAGAGGGAACTGAAGATTGAGCAGATCAAACAGTCTATGAGGCCTAGTGATGAAGATGCAGACAGAGAGACGGCATCAAGCGTGGAGGTCTTCACCGCTCTGGTCAAAGATGTTGAAAGAAGTCTAGCGCAGCTTCTTGACCTTTAGGAAGAAAAGCACAAAACAACAAAGAAAGAGGCTGAAAGTTGTGTTAAAGAGCTGGAGGAAGAAATCTTTAAGCTGAAGGGGAGAAGCTCTAAGATGGAGCAGCTCTCACGCAATGAAGACCCCCTCCTTTTCCTCCGAAGCTTCGCATCCCTAAATCCTGCTCCACCTATTAAAGACTGGACAAAGGTCAAAGTTTACTCATCCCTCGAGAGCCGTAGAGTTTTAAGGGCAGCTCTGGCTCAGCTGGAGGAGACACTCGCCAAAGAGGTGAAAAAGATGTGTCCTTATGTGGAGCTGAAGATGGCTCAGCATTTTGCCGTAGATGTGACTCTCAATCCTGAAACAGCACATCCTGCTCTCGTCCTGTCCGAAGATGGGAAACAAGTTAGTCATGAGGATGATGAACAAAATGTTTTAGACCGCCAACAAAAATCTTTAAAGAATTTCTTTGTGTTAGGAAATGAAAGTTTCTCTTCAGGAAGATTTTACTTTGAGGTTCAAGTTGAAGGGAAGACCGACTGGATTTTGGGTGTGACCGGAGAGTCTGTCCACAGAAAGGGACGTTTCACCTCGTCCCATGAGAATGGCCTCTGGGCTTTAGTGCTGAAGAATGGAAAAGTGCTGGAAGCTTATGCTGACTCTTCAACCCCTCTGTATTTAAAGTCAAAGCCTCAGACGGTGGGGGTGTTCGTGGATTATGAAGAGGGCCTGGTCTCCTTTTATGACATACACTCACCGGCCACTTTATTAGGTACACCATGCTAGTAACGGGTTGGACCCCCTTTTGCCTTCAGAACTGCCTCAATTCTTCGTGGCATAGATTCAACAAGGTGCTGGAAGCATTCCTCAGAGAGCTTGGTCCATATTGACATGATGGCATCACACAGTTGCCGCAGATTTGTCGGCTGCACATCCATGATGCGAATCTCCCGTTCCACCACATCCCAAAGATGCTCTTTTGGATTGAGATCTGGTGACTGTGGAGGCCATTTGAGTACAGTGAACTCATTGTCATGTTCAAGAAACCAGTCTGAGATGATTCCAGCTTTATGACATGGCGCATTATCCTGCTGAAAGTAGCCATCAGAAGTTGGGTACATTGTGGTCATAAAGGGATGGACATGGTCAGCAACAATACTCAGGTAGGCTGTGGCGTTGCAACGATGCTCAATTGGTACCAAGGGGCCCAAAGAGTGCCAAGAAAATATTCCCCACACCATGACACCACCACCACCAGCCTGAACCGTTGATACAAGGCAGGATGGATCCATGCTTTCATGTTGTTGACGCCAAATTCTGACCCTACCATCCGAATGTCGCAGCAGAAATCGAGACTCATCAGACCAGGCAACGTTTTTCCAATCTTCTATTGTCCAATTTCTATGAGCTTGTGCAAATTGTAGCCTCAGTTTCCTGTTCTTAGCTGAAAGGAGTGGCACCCGGTGTGGTCTTCTGCTGCTGTAGCCCATCTGCCTCAAAGTTCGACGTACTGTGCGTTCAGAGATGCTCTTCTGCCTACCTTGGTTGTAACGGGTGGTTATTTGAGTCACTGTTGCCTTTCTATCAGCTCGAACCAGTCTGGCCATTCTCCTCTGACCTCTGGCATCAACAAGGCATTTCCGCCCACAGAACTGCCGCTCACTGGATATTTTTTCTTTTTTGGACCATTCTCTGTAAACCCTAGAGATGGTTGTGCGTGAAAATCCCAGTAGATCAGCAGTTTCTGAAATACTCAGACCAGCCCTTCTGGCACCAACAACCATGCCACGTTCAAAGTCACTCAAATCACCTTTCTTCCCCATACTGATGCTCGGTTTGAACTGCAGGAGATTGTCTTGACCATGTCTACATGCCTAAATGCACTAAGTTGCCGCCATGTGATTGGCTGATTAGAAATTAAGTGTTAACGAGCAGTTGGACAGGTGTACCTAATAAAGTGGCCGGTGAGTGTATATGCTCCAGCTCACATCCACTCTTTTACTGGCTGCAACTTCACGAAGAAGCTGTTCCCAATCTTCAATCCAATGCATACCAGTGGGGGTAAAAACTCCACCCCGCTGGTCATCTGTCCTGTCAATAGCATGGATTAAAGCTTAAATGGTCCTGTGGTCTGACAAGTCAAATCAAAATCTGACAGTCTATTTTGGAAATCATGGACACTAAATCCTGAAAATGAGATGGTTTCACCCAGCTCAAATCCAGCATCCCTGATGGTATGGGGATCATCAGGGTCCATGTCATGGGTATCTTCCACGTCTGTGAAGGCTCTATTAATGCTGAACAATATCTCCAGGTTTAGGAGCAACAGGACTCTGTAGTTGGTATTACTGCATGAGCCTAATATCACTTGTCTGTGAACTGTTCTGAGGTCTGATGGATCAAAATCTAACACTCTTTTGGAAAGGGACAAAAGGCGAAATGTCCCAAGTAAATCAAGTTGCACTTTCAACAAAGAAATGGAAATCATAGATGCTGCATCCTCACTTTGAAACATAATGCTCTACAATATCTACAGATTTAGGAGCATCAGGACTCTGTAGTTGGAGTCACTGCATGGGTTTCATATCACTTATCCATGAACTTTCCTGAATTTTGATGGATCAAAATCTAACACTCTTCAGGAAAGGGCAACTGGACTTGCGAGACATCCTCAGTAAGTCCAGTTGCCCTTTCAATGAAGAACTGGAAATCATAGATGCTGCATCCTCAGTTTTAAACAATATCTCTAGGTTTAGGAGAAACAGGATTCTGTAGTTGGAGCCACCGCATGGACTCAATATCACATGTCCCTGAACTGTCCTGAAGTCTAATGAATCAAAATCAAACACTCTTTAAGGTGAAACATCTCAAGTCCAGTAACCCTTTCAACGTAGAACTGGAAATCATAGATGCTGCATCCTCAGTTTTAAACAATATCTCCATGTTTAGGAGCAACATCTACCACCAACCAGACAATGACTTTTTCAGGAAGGACCGTCATATGCTCCCAAACCCTATTCTGACAACAGGGATTACAACAGGATGGCTCTGTAGGAGAAGAGTCCTGCTGAGAAACTGGACCGATACAGTCCGGACTTTCCCCCCATTGGAAACATTCAGAGCATTATGACCTCAAAAACAGAACCAAGGAGACCCTGAACTTCTTGTTTAATATATTGTTTTATGCTGTTTCTTTTTCTGATTATGCTAATCTACTCTAGAGGCCATAAAGTTGTGAACTATCATCGTGTACATTAAGATTTATTTTCTGATCCACAAGCTCTGTGTATTTAAAAAACTAGTCATTAAAAAATGTATTTAATTTCTTTGTCGATGAAAGTTTAAACAAATCTATGACTGTAAACTTCAACTGGTTAAACAATTTCCTACTTTTTTTGCTGTAAATTAAACACTGTTTGACCCAAATATCAACCACTTGGAGTGAATTTATAATTCAACTGTGATTTATTTTACTTTTGTATAATTTATTTTCATAGGTTAAAAAAAGGCAACTCCATGGATTGTTTAAGCAAATAAAAAGATGCCACTTTATGAACAGTACCAATGCAGAGCTGGGTTGACAAATAAAGCGGGTCAAGGCAAGCAAACTGTAAGGTAATGGTTGACCAAGAGCTCAAGCTGAGGTAAGCTGACAGCTAAATATTCAACAAAGCATTTTTTAGAGTATAAATCTCTCTCCTGGAGGTGTCCTGTATTAAAAATAGAACACAGATCCGCAGAAGAACTAACTGGGTAATGCTGTAGACTTGTGTCTCTCATTGTTTAATGATTATCCTGTCAAATTAAATGCCTTTAAGATTATGCATACCAAAATATTTGGCATGTTTTACCGGTTGAACTAGTTTAAGAGGTGAGTCGACTGCAGAAAAAACAGTGATTCAGAGCTCCAGAACAGCAGCAGCTTCTGTTCAGAGTCAGAACACAAGCTCCATCACATCGTTTCCCTCAAAGAAGAATATGCAGAGAAGAAAGCTGAGCTTGGAAAGACAGAGGCTGAAGTTCAGAGGATGATCCAGGAGAGGGAACTAAAGATTGAGCAGATCAAACAGTCTATGAGACCTAGTGATAAAGATGCAGACAGAGAGACAGCAACAAGTGTGGAGGTCTTCACCACTCTGGTCAAAGATGTTGAGATAAGTCTAGCCCAGCTCCTTGACTTTCTAAAAGAAAAGCACAAAACAACAAAGAAAGAGGCTGAAAGTTTTGTTAAAGAGCTGGAAAAGGATATCTCTGAGCTGAGGGGGATAAGCTCTGAGATGGAGGAGCTCTCACGCAATGAAGACCCCCTCCTGTTCCTCCGAAGCTTTGCATCCCTAAATCCTGCTCCACCTATTAAAAGACTGGACAAAGGTCAAAGTTTACTCATCCCTCGATAACTAAACACTTGTAAACAAAACCATAAAACAGCTTGCACTGATGAACACAACACTCAGAAAAGAATATGAATGGCCCCTTTATATTCTTTTTCTTAGTTGACTTTGTATTTTTACAGCCTTTTCTGCTTTTCGGGTGGGGGGTGCTGCTCTTGGAATTACATTTATCGGTATTAGAGAACCGTGCCTCTATTTCCGTGCCCTCCATGCTGCAATGTTGCGCCTTCTTCCCAAACAACACTGAGTGACAGCGCTTCGCCCAATGAGGTGAGCGCATTCTGCGGCGTCACAGAAACCTGCAAGTGTTCGGTCAGCTCATTGGTCACAGAGCGGGAGAAGGAAATGGTATTGGGATTACCGTAAATTCTAATATAAATCTCCATGTTGTTCATGGACACCATAGACATATAGCAGTTTTTTAAGTTCCTCAGAGAAACACGGTATAAAATGTTTACTTGTCGTTTCAACACGGGACGCGTATGTTTGCGTCCAAATCCGTTTTTTAGCGGACGGTTGTAAACCCGGAGAGTTCGCAGAGGAAGGAGGAAGAGATGGAAAAAGGCTGAAGATATTGAAAATATAACAACCATTCAGACGTCTCCCTTTGGTGTAACCAGCTGAGCTGTGCAGTTCTACTTTTCGTGTCAAAAGTCAATGATAGTAAACATCAATTTCCTGAACAGGTGAATTTTCTGCTTTTCTTTCCTTCAAACTGAACACTTTCTGACTCAATAACGCTCATTAGCAGAGAGTAAACTTGTAATTGTCTTTTATTCTAGGTTTGAACCATGTTTGTAATGTTTAACGAAACCCGTAAAAACAGGCCAGCCCAGAGTGCAGAGAGGGGAGTGTCTTACTGTCTCAATTCCAGTGAAACGAAACTTAACTCTATTTCTAAAGAAACCACTTCAGGACTTAAACTGACAGAACAACAAAAACTTTACATACTATAAATTTATGATGGCAAAATGAAGCTTTCTGAAATAATAAGTCTTTCCAGCCCATCGCTTTGCCCCAAGGTTCATTCAGAGCTCACTAGCCCCATCTATTGCCAGAGTTAAACTGTGACAGCCAAGTCATTCGGATAGATTTCAAATGTTTTCACAGTGCAGATTAAGCGGTGATAGAAAATGATTATTATTGCAATATAGAATAGTGTTTAATCCCTGTACAATAACAACAAATTCTTAAGTGTTTGATATAACTTTGCTCTTTCTTTTTATTCCTTATAAATATTTTATATCTGTTTGATTATTTTGGTTTGTGCTTTTCATGGCTATCAGTGTTCATTATTTAATTAGTGTTTGGGTGACAGTACAGTTTGTTGGGAGGGAGCAGGGAGTGGAGGGGGTAATCATTTTTTTCTTTTTATTGCTTGCCCCCATTAAACTACTCCTACTACTTCTAATACTAAGTACTACTGCTACCACTACTACTACTACTACGAATTCTATCACTACTACTACTGAAACTAACTAAACCTATGCTTTCAACAACTACAACTGCTGATTATAATCCAGACTCTGCTACGAACGTGCGAACCAAACTACCACCTAATACAACCCTCAAAGCGCTGTGTCATGCTTTTATTTTGATAAACGACACGCAAAATGAACTAGTCACGTTACCTGTGTAATACAAAGCCTCATTTGTAATTGGTCACGTGGTTTTCAGCAAACCAATGCAAGTCTCGATACCGGGCTTTTACAGACACGCCCCCTTCATACTCGGTACATGCCTCGACGCCTCGGTCCCATCACTACTATGAATAACCTATAATCAAGGGGAATCAACAGGTAAGAAGGAAAACTAGAGTATCTAGTTCAGTGTCGTATCACAAACTTGTTCTTCTATCTGGGTTTGTGAGTTAAGGTTTTATCTTCACAACTGTTGGTCTGTAACAGTTTAAAACATTCTTAGTAATACATGATAATTCAACATATTTTGGTGTCTGAAGAAATTACAGTCATTACAAAGTTTGGATGGGCGACAGTAAACTGCTGAAGCCAACAGCTGTTCAACGGTCATGTGTCTGAGTCATACTGTGTTTATATTTGTGTCTCTTACAAGCTCAGGTTTGTTCAAACACTCACCTTTATCATCTAATGATGAGAAAACTTCCAGGACTGTGCTGCATTGTTTTTTCAGTGTAATTTTGTTGATTTCTTCTTCATGCCTTCTTTAATGCTTCGTTCCTAGATATGGCGTCAGCAATCAGTCTCCTGTCTGAAGAGCAGTTCCTGTGCTCCATCTGTCTGGATGTCTTCACTGATCCCGTCACCATACCATGTGGACACAATTTCTGCAAGTCCTGCATCACTGAGCACTGGGACACCAATGACCAGCATCAGTGTCCCCTGTGCAAAGAGCAGTATGAGAAAATACCACACCTGCGGGTCAACACCTTCATATCTGAGATGGCTGCTCAGTTCAAGCAGTCAGTTTCAAGAGAAACCATCACCTCCACCATCGGGAGTAGCTCAGAGGAACAACATACCGACCCAGGAGAAGTTCTCTGTGATTTCTGCACTGACACTAAACTGAGGGCCCTAAAGTCCTGCCTGGATTGTCTGATCTCCTACTGTGAGGCTCACCTGGAGCCTCATCAAAGAATCCCGGCCCTGAAAAGACACATGCTGATCAACCCTGTGAAGAACCTGGAGAGCAGGGTGTGTAAGAAGCACAATAGACCTCTGGAGCAGTTTTGTAGGACTGATAAAATCTGCATGTGCTTCTTCTGTTCAGAGTTAGAACACAAGCTCCATCACATCGTTTCTCTCAAAGAAGAATATGAAGAGAGGAAAGCTGAGCTTGGAAAGACAGAGGCTGAAGTTCAGAGGATGATCCAGGAGAGGGAACTGAAGATTGAGCAGATCAAACAGTCTGTGACACTCAGCAGAGAAGATGCAGACAGAGAGACAGCAACAAGTGTGGAGGTCTTCACAGCTCTGATGCAGTCTGTTGAGAGAAGTCTGGCTCAGGTCATCGACATGATCGATGAGAAGCACAAACAAACAGAGGAACTGGCTGAAGGTCTCATCAAAGAGCTGGAGGAGGAAATCTTTGAGCTGATCAAGAGAAACACGGAGCTGGAGCAGCTCTCATGCAATGAGGACCACCTCCACTTCCTCCAAAACAACTTGTCTTTGAAAGCTCCTCCTCCCACCAAAGACTGGACGAAGGTAAAAGTTCACTCTTTATATGATGGGATCTTGAAGACCAATCTGGCTGAGCTGAGAGAGACACTCAGCAAAGATACAAAGACTCCTTGTGCTGATGGTCAGTTAAAGAAGTATAGGCAGCACTCAGTGGATGTGACTCTTGATCCTGAAACAGCTCATCCTAAACTCATCCTGTCTGCTGATGGGAAGCAAGTTCACCACCAGGATACGAGTCGAGGTATGGAAGACAGCCCACAGAGAATATCCTCATTTTTTGGTGTGTTGGGAAATGAGGGTTTCTCCTCAGGGAAGTTTTACTATGAGGTTCAAGTTAAGGGGAAGACCGACTGGATTTTAGGGGTAGCAGAAGAGACTATCAACAGGACAGGGGTTTCTCACTTTTGCCCTCAGAACGGTTTCTGGACTATAAGCTTAAAGGATGGACGAGAGTATAAGGCTCTTGCTGAGGCTGAACCAATCCAGCTGAGTCTGAAGTCAAAGCCTGAGAAAGTGGGTGTGTTCGTGGATTATAAGAGGGGTCTAGTCTATTTTTACGATGCAGATAATTCAGCTCTCATCTTTGCTTTCACTGGCTATGACTTCACTGAGAAACTTTACCCAATTTTCAATCCCAGAAAAAATAACGATGGTAAAAACGCCACCCCTCTGATCATCTGTCCAGTCGATAACTCTGATTAGACTATTAGTGTTTGGGCGAAGCCTCTGGGAGTGGTGGTATAGCCATCATTTAGTAAAAAACGAATTTAAAGACGTAATACAAAGGCCTCATTTCACTATTCAAACTTTTCATGAGTTGAAATTGATCTTTAATCCTGATCAAACCAAACTCATGTTTTCAAACTCAAAGACAAAGCCACTGATCCTGCCGTCTACCTATGATTCAAGGAGATGATTATGTTTAAAAGCAGATTGAAGGTGTTAAAGGGAGACACATCAGGCTGTAAATGTTTTGAATAATGACTTTCGGCTGTATCATTGGGGAAATGTTGATATGTTTTGTATTATATGATTGAATGTAACTTTGTTGTACAAAAAAGATTTTTAATCTCAGTGAGGCTCTCCTGGTTAAATAAAATTAAATAAATAAATAAAATAATTAGAGCTTTCTTACCTTGTTTTAAAGCACCTTTGAGAGCTCCCTGCTCTTCCATATAAGTTGGAGAGAGAGCACCTCCCTTTCATTTCATTTCATGTGGAGGCCAGGCCTGGAGATCAGCAGCAAAGACCTCCCAGGTACAGAACAGCACAGGCAACAGGGACACTCTATATGACAGTGGTCGAATCAGACTCAGTATAGAAAGGGGGAGCTGGGGTGGAGGCAGTTTACAGAAGAAGAAGGAAGAGATGGAAGAAGGCTGATGATGTTTAAAATATAAAGACCATTCAGACGTCTGCTTTTGGTGTAAGAGCAGGAAACCCACCTGTCTAGGAAATTGAATTTCCTGATCAGGTGGGTTTTTTGCTCTCCTTTCCCTCAAACTGAATACTTTCTGAATCAAAAACACATTAGCAGAGAGTGAATTTTCATTATTTTATTTTATTAAAAAAAAATTCTGAGTCAAAAAAAGCATCTTTTCTAACTCATCCAGTCACATAAATTAACAGCTGCTACATCATGAGCAGAATATATTCAGAGCAAAGATGATTGAAGACAAACATGATCCGTCAAAGTTAACAGATCCTGGGTAAGTTTGAGGAAAGAAGATGGTTCAATAGATATTCGAGATGATACAGAGTAAAATATTTGGCGCATTTCACCAGCTGAACTGGTTTAAGAGTGAGTCAGCAGAGTAAACAGTCACATTTAGCAGGAAATGAAACTTAAAGTGACTCAGAGCTCCTGCAGCGGCAGCAGAGATAAGTTTTCTTTCTCCTGAAAACCACGTCAAGTCTTCTGTGGACAGATAACGGGACCTCTGCACACTACCAGTGAGTACAGTTTTTAATGATTTATGACCAGGAATTAAACCAGCGTCAGATATGGAGGATACTACCATAGGAAGAAAAATACAAAAAGAGAAAAGCATGTCAGGATTTTTCAGAGTAGGATACTATAAACTCTCCCCTGAAAACTGTTGGTGTTTGAAACATGAATGTCTTATCAGCTGAGGAGGATTTCTGTGTTTTTGAGCCTTGTCCACATATTTGGTGTTAAAGTTAACAGATCGGTACGGAACAGTCTGGAAAAACTCCAGGAAATTGCTTCAGCCAACAGTTGGGTAACAGTAATGTCTGTAACATCTGCAGGCTTCGACAGTTTGATCCAAAGAACAGCTCCAAACAGAGGAAGACTTTCATGTTAGAGAGGAAGATGCTTTCGTGAAACTATACAAAGCTCTCTTAAAAGCTCCTGGAGGAGTTTTGCTGAGGTTTATGAAACAGGCTAAAATCAGGATGAACTGTTGTAACACCCTCATCATTACTGCAATATGGTTTTATTTCCTGAGAGAATGAGTGGCTTCCTTCTGAGCTGTTTGAATCAGCAACATTTATTATTTAGATTCAGTTTGCTTCACTCCAGGGTAGGGTTGTCACGATACTAAAATTTCAATACCGATACCCAGGAAAATACTCTATACCATATTCGATACCGAGGGGATAAACCATGACAAATACTTTCAAAGGTATCAAAAAAAAAACAAAAAACAAGACCATCACTTTTTCACTCAGAACCCAGGTTTCTCCACTGTGTAAATTGGTTCTTGGTCCTCACAGATATACCCTGCTACAACTTGGTTTATTTTGACAGCTTCAGGAGACTTTGGGTCATACTTTTTCTGTTTTTCAAATAGTAGTGAAGGAGTAGGCTGTGGTTTCTATGGTTTAGTTGCAGGTGGACTTCTCTCTGCTTCAGTCTGCATCTCTAAGAGAAGAAACCACGTTTGAGTCATGTTAGCCAGCTCAAGGCTGCTAGCCGTAGGCCCACAGCTAATGGCAAATAACAAAACAAACAACATTGACCGAGCATAAAGCTAACCGTGGCTACCACAGATTAATGCTAGCCACCAGCCAGACTAACGTCATTAATTATTTTAATACAGTAGGGTAACGAAGCTTTACTAACCAGCTGGAATTCTTCATGAAGGCCAGGGTGCTGGTCTTTGAGGTGTTTTGCCAAATTCGTCATGCTACTCAACTTTGTTGCCACCACTTTGAACACTGGCCATACTAAGCAGCAGTAAAATGTAAGACAGCAAGCGGGGGCTCTCCCGACTGCCGGGCGCTGTCTGCCAGGTAGGCTGTGCTGCTTGCAGAGTGCGCATGACAGGCGCTGCAGGCTCGCACACCATAGTATCAGTACCATGGCAAATTAGTATCGCATCCAGATACAGCGTAAGTGTCTACTTATCAAAATATCGTTACATTTGAAAACCGTACTTCAGAGCTAAACTAGTTGGTGTTCATTTCAACAAGGTTATTCCAGTTTTAGTCAAATACCATGTGCTGCTGGAAGCAGTCGTTCCCTCTGTACAGATCAGGGGTGAAGGTCTCACTGGCTCTGCATGAACCATGTCAATGCACTGGAGTAGCTCAGACCAATCAAACACAAGGATTAAGTTTTGATGTCTCTTTGTTTCTAGACAACATGGCATCAGCGATCAGTCTCCTCTCTGAAGACCAGTTCCTGTGCTCCATCTGTCTGGATGTCTTCACTGATCCTGTCACCATACCATGTGGACACAACTTCTGCAAGTCCTGCATCACTGAGCACTGGGACACCAATGACCAGCATCAGTGTCCCCTGTGCAAAGAGCAGTATGAGAAAATACCACACCTGAGGGTGAACACATTCATATCTGAGATGGCTGCTCAGTTCAAACAGTCAGTTTCAAGAGAAACCATCACCTCCACCATCAGGAGTAGCTCAGAGGAACAACACACCGACCCAGGAGAAGTTCTCTGTGATTTCTGCACTGACACTAAACTGAGGGCCCTGAAGTCCTGCCTGGATTGTCTGGTCTCCTACTGCGAGGCTCACCTGGAGCCTCATCATAGAATCCCAGGCCTGAAAAGACACATGCTGATCAACCCTGTGAAGAACCTAGAGAGCAGGGTGTGTAAGAAGCACAATAGACCTCTGGAGCAGTTTTGTAGGACTGACCAGATCTGTGTGTGTCAGTTCTGTTCAGAGTCAGAACACAAGCTCCATCACATTGTTTCCCTTAAAGAAGAATATGAAGAGAAGAAAGCAGAGCTTGGAAAGACAGAGGCTGAAGTTCAGAGGATGATCCAGGAGAGGGAACTGAAGATTAAGCAGATTAAACAGTCTGTGACACTCAGCAGAGAAGATGCAGACAGAGAGACAGCAAAAAGTGTGGAGGTCTTCACTGCTCTGATGCAGTCTGTGGAGAGAAGAATGGCTCAGGTCATCGACATGATCGATGAGAAGCACAAACAAACAGAGGAACTGGCTGAAGGTCTCATCAAAGAGCTGGAGGAGGAAATCTCTGAGCTGATGAAGAGAAGCACTGAGCTGGAGCAGCTCTCACGCAGTGAGGACCACTTCCAGTTCCTCCAAAACAACTTTACTCTGAAAGTTCCTCCTCCTACCAAACACTGGACAAAGGTCAAAATTCCTTTCTCCTATGATGGGATCCTGGGTACACCTCTGGCTGAGCTGGAGGAGACACTCAGCAGAGAGATGAAGGTCCTTTGTGCTGAGGCTGAGTTAAAGAAGTATAGGCAGTACTCAGTGGATGTGACTCTTGATCCTGAAACAGCTCATCCTAAACTCATCCTGTCTGCTGATGGGAAGCAAGTTTATCACGGGAATACGAGTCAGTACATCCGAGACAGCCCAAAGAGAATATCCTCGTATTTTGGGGTGTTGGGGAAGCAGAGTTTCTCCTCCGGCAGGTTTTACTTCGAGGTTCAAGTTAAAGACAAAACCGACTGGGTTTTGGGAGTGGCCAGTGAGTCTATTCACAGGACAGGCAGCTTTCTCGAATTTTGGCCTCAGAACGGTTTCTGGACTATAAGTTTGAAGGATGGATACGAGTACAAAGCTCTTGTTAACTTTGGTCCGATCTATCTGAGTCTGAAGTCAAAGCCTCAGAAGGTGGGGGTGTTCGTGGATTATGAGGCAGGTTTGGTCTCATTTTATGATGTAGATGCTCCAGCTCTCATCTACGCTTTTACTGACTGTTACTTCGCAAAGAAAATCTACCCGATTCTCAATCCCAGAAATAACAACGCTGGTACCAACTCCACCCCTCTGATCATCAGTCCAGTCACTCGCACTGATTAGACCAGAGGTTCCCTAAACATGCCAAGACCTTTCCTGATATAACCAGGCCATGTAATTCCCTTTGACTAACATTCAACACTTAAGTTGAGCTATGGTTTTAATGTCTTAATGTTTTTAACTGCACTTGCTCTCTATTTATTTATAGAATTAAATAAACTGTGATCATTAGTGCTGCTAATGGAGGTACACTGCCTGCTTTTTCTCTCCACATGGAGCAAAGCATGCTGATAATAATGGAAACCAAAACATTCTATATGCAAAAATCTAATCCCCTGAATTTCTATCTGATACCGACCTGTACCAGCTCAGTATTAGTCTTACTTTGGCAGTATAAATACAAAGAGCTGCATTTATGTCAGTGTGTCTCTGTAGAAATTTTAATATCTTGATTTTTGAGGCTGTCAGACTGTTAAAGGAAAAAGGTCAAGATGTCTTAAACGCTGCAGGTGCACAGTTAATTCAGCTCCACTGGAGGGCACCAGAGATATACAAGAGAGCCTGTCTGTGTTCATTCCAACAGTCTGTTGCAGGTTTTTTCCCCCTTTCTCTTGTCTATTTTCATTTTTTTTAACTTTTTTTTTTCAATCTAATTTTACATGAATTTTTTTAAAGTACAAACAGAGAATGACTTATTATAACTGATTGCAGACAAGGCCCGCTACGACATTTCACACTGAATTTACTGGCCTTTTTGCAGAGCACTTTTAGGTTTACAATCAAACAGGGGCCACATAAGTTCTTACCAATCTTTGTTCTATTATTTTGCCACCTTTACTTACCTTTATTTCAACTTTTTGTGCATATTTCTAATATTTTATAAGTTCTTTAATGAAGAGTTTTACTCAATCTGTCCTTTGTTTGGGAATTTCTTTTTTATGTATTTATGAATTTCTCATTTTATGTATGTGGATTTCAATTTTACTAGTGATTTAGGATTCTGTACCTGCGCTTGTACAGAAAACAGCTTTTATAAGGTTTCAACACTTTCAGGGGAAAAATGCAAACCTTGATGTAAATGGAAGACACGTTTTTAACCTCAGAGGATAATAAATTAGACTAATATCAGTGTTGTGCTAGTTGCTGAAAAATAGTAACTAGTTACAGTTATTACAGTTACTTTGAAATAAAAAGTAACTCAGTTAGTAACTCAGATACTTAAACCAAAAAGTAATGCATTACTGAGAAAGTAACTATTTACAGGGCTCTCAAGTCTCACGCATTTGGCATGTGACACACGCATTCCCACCCGTTCACATGCTCACATGCCACACATTGTATTTCTCATGCATTTTAATTACCACAGTGAAATCCACCAAGTTGCACCTCTTTTACAATGGAACAGGTAGGAATCAAGTCAGTTCCCTCTGAGAGCTAAAAAGCTGCGTGCCACGCACAAGCTAATCAAAAAAAGTATTTGAACCGAACAGCCAATCAAAAAGTAGCATTGCTGTATCCAGGTAGACTTTGAAGACAGACACTTGCTGAAATGAAGCAGGTTTCATGTACACGAAAAATACCCAATGATTACAATAAGTCAGTGACCTACACTTTCAGAGGCCTCAACACCTTATGGCATATAAACTCATATGATAAACTAAAGCCCTATGCTGTTGCTATTATCTGCTGTATTGACGGATTTAGCCTCTGTACAGCCATGTCCAGCCCTTTCCCTCAAAGTCCACCTGTTTTTTTCTGTGGAAAAGACGCAATTCTCATATATTCTTTTTACAGTTATGATACTCATGACAATGTAATGCTGATGTACCAAAGGATGAAGTATCTCCATGTTTGTGAAACCTACACTTAAGTACAATTCATCTAAATGCTCCACAGCCCCCATTTCAACAACTCTCCTCCACAACAGGTAACTTTACTACTTTGTTCTCATAAATTAATGACTTTATTCTCATAAATAATGACTTTTATCTCAAAGTCATATATTTTTTTTCTTAATGTGGCCCTTATACTTACAAAATAAAATCTCACTTCAACATTAGTTCAAAACTTGAGAGCCCTGTATTGAGTTCCTGTAAAATGTTCTTCCATTGCTCCCGTTACATAAAGGTGGATTGTTTAAGTTCCCCTCTAGCCGTCATTTCAGTTCTGTACTGATGCTGAATAAAACAAACTGTTGATTAAAACAACCGTTTCAATTCATTGACATGATCCACATCAGTGAATCTAATCATCTAAGCGATATGATCAGTTGCGCACCAACACAAACCTCGACATTAACACTTAAATTTGACCATTGGAAACTGGGAATAATAGCCTGATGGCGCTAAAAAGGATTCAAATAAACAATCATACCGTGTCCGTCTTTCAAACTCCAACCGTTACTGCAGTTTCGGTGGAGTAGATAGGTGGGTGGGTGTGTACTCCTGCTGTGACTCTCGGTCTCGGATGCTGCGTTAGCGTTAGCTAGCTTAGCTGCTAACTTCGTCGAAGCCTCCCGCTCCTCTCGGTGCTTCAATAGATTACTCTTGTTCGCCGTAGCGAGGATTTTTGACCCGGAACACCGTTTTACATGTCACCGAATTGTTGTTTTCCCCCTTTCTCTCGAGTTGAAGATAGTGTGAGTGTCTCCATGAGGAGAAACTTCTCTTCCCTTCTCACCGCGCCCTGACCGACTTGTCCTCTTCATGGGTGAGTGTTTGATTAAGTGTCTGACGCTGGAAGGCGACAAGTGGGTTTTTTTATTGAATTAAACTTTATTGATGGCTTACATGTTATAGGAACCATAGATAACTATATATAAACGCTAGATGACTCACCTGCGCTGTTAGCGAATGGAGACCAACGGTCGCGCATGGCGGTCATTTTGCTACGGAAAGCTCGCCCATTCATAACACTCCAGTCTACAGTGCATGTAACATTTAAATAACTATAGATTACTTAATTTTAAAACGATTTTCTAACAGTTTGGTTTGTAATAAACCTCAGAGTTTAAGTTATGTCCCTGCATACTCAAGAATAATTTTAACCATGGATTTTCATCAATAAACATCAAGCAGATAGGTAGAGTAATATAGGCCTAAATACACAAGGCAGTTATATTAACTCATGTAAAACATTTAATCATTCCATGTATGTTATATTAGTAATATTTCAATTATAGCAACAACTGTAATAATATATAGCAATAACATATATAAATATTTATTTTCAATATAAATTTATGCCTCATGTTGCCATTTAGGATGTTTTTTATAAATCAAACAGTTCGGAAATCATGTGAAACTTTAGTTATGTTGAATCGAAAGGGCATTTCGGCCTCTTTAACTGATGTAAAATTGCTGGATCATCTTTGTAATATGTACTTGGTCTCACTCACAGCGAGTGTTAGCCAAGTTAGACAGCTGATAAAAACATGCACATCCACAAAGACTGTCACCTAGACAAAAATCGAAGAAAGAAAGAAATAGGCTGTCATACAAGAAATTAATATCTCGATTGTAGTCTCAGCCTTGACAACTTGCGCAAAGCGACTCAAAAGTTAGCCCCTGCGTGCAAATAGCTGTGAAACAACTGTGCTTCATGATTAAGTCTTTTATGGACTGCTGCAGGGTGACGCAGCTCAAGGAAGAACATTTATGATAATTTCTTTATCATTTCCTTGAAGTAATAATCATCAAATTAATCATTTTGCTCTGCAGACACTCTTCTGCCTTAGCATCTCAGTCTGATTGTATTTCCATAAAGAAGTGATCATCAATGTTCTACCTTGAGCTGCGCCACCCCGCTGTAGTCCCTAATGGACTGGCCTGAGGTCTCGCTACAAACAAGCGGCTGCTGAAAGAGAGTAGGTGAGTTGTGTTTAGTCTCTTTGTGTAAGCAATTATGCAAAGCTCAAAGGATGTTTGGTATGAGAGTGTCTAGAAATGATTTCTGTAGAGATTTTTTATTTTTTTTTAACTTGAACTTTCAAACCAAACCAGAACATTTAGGATGTCACAGCTGTAAATAATGTCTTAACCTTTGTTTATTATGTCAGGACTGATGTTAAAACGTCAGAGTCAGACTCCAAACTGTGGTGGGTTAAGGGTCACAGGTGCAGCGTGTGCGTGGGTGTGTGTGTGTGTTTATCGTGTGTGTTTGAGTGTTCGTTTGTTTGTGTGGCTGCAGCCGTCACAGAGGAGGAGCTATAAATCCCTGAATGTGATGATGGGTTTCTGACGTCGGGAGGTGTCAGTGAATGTATCAGAGATGTTCATGTTTGCGCTCCCACCTCACCGCAGGGTCAAGGTTCAAGTTCAGAGTGTTGTCAAGTTTTTAGATCCTCACGTTTAAGGACTTTTTAAACATGTGCACTATCAGAGGATTGTACTTTCAAGTTTTTTTCTTATATTTTTACCGTTTCCGCTCAGAAATGCTCCTTTTTCTGTTGGCTAAGACTGATTCACATTTTCATTACTTTATTTAATTGGTTTGTTGTCATTATTGTGTGTTTGAGCATGTTTTAAACCAAACTCTTGAGTTTTATTTCCTTGTTTTTTGTTTTCTAATATTTTATTTTAATCTTTTTATAATTCCATTTATCCTCAATTATTCTAATTTTATCATTCTATTACTCTTCTCATTAAGTTCTTTTGTACATCTTAAATTTTTTAACCTCATTAAAAACTAAGAGAACTTCAATCTCTAGTATTCAAATAAAGCAGTAGAAACAAATTGTGGTTTTCATTATCTTTTTTCATTTTCCAAAAATATGATTTTATACTAATAACTTGATGCATACATTTTAACAGTTTTTTTATAGAAAAAAAACTGCATTTGATCAAAACAACTACACGTTTTTAGCTCTTCAAATACAATTTGAAGTGTTTTTGTAACTTTTTCAGTATCCGTTAGCGGAAAAAGTTCAATAAAAAGCCATTTAAGTTGGTGTGTCTTTCACTAACTTACATGTTAGATGAACAGAAATATTCACAACATTGTATTTAGTTTAACACCATATTTTTTTTACCATGTTTGTCCTTCTAAGAGATGCTGGAGAAACTGAGAAGAGGAGGAACTTTTGTTTTCAAATCTGTCTTTACGTCTTTTGACCATGAGATGGCGCCTATAACACACAAGCTGCACTTAGTAGTCCACATAGGCATCCAGTAGTGGTGGATAAGTTACACATCATCACCTGGATCAAAGTGTCGATACTGTTTTTATAACTCAAAAACTAATAAAGGTTGCTCAGTCACTGGAAGACTTTCTTTAAAAACACACAGTGAGTATGTTGTATAAAAAGAGAGTGCACATCAGAGTGAGTGTGCATGATGGAGAGCGTGACGTCACTCTCAGGGCTTTACAGATGAAGCAGGTGTGTGAGGACACTGAGGTGTGGGGTGTCCACTTCTTTTTGTCCATGAACTGAAAACAGATTACAAAGACGATCGAGAAAAAGCTCTGTCCATGTAGATTCTCATTGATCCAAGTCATAGTTATCTTTAAGACTCCAAAAACAACAAAGCTCTGACTATGAATTATAAATGCTGTTGCAAAGACTTAAAATACATCAAAGTGTTTCTTTTGGGGTTTTTGCCAAACATTTTCATCTGCTGCACGTCTTAGACTCTCATATCAGTTTTAGCCATCGCACTGTTCTCCTAAAGCTGCTATCTGTTTCCTGATGATGAAAACTCGTGGCTGTTGGATCACATTTGCCACTGCAGGCCCATGTGTAACAGTCAGTCCACAATGAGTAAACAGAACAGTTTAGTTAGTCAGACCGTGGACGGTTTAGTCTCCTTTTTTCTGCCGAGTGCTGCAGGTTTGCACAAGAAAAGAGCCAAAAGCAAACTGACAGAGGAGAGAATATGAAGAAGGCTGAGTGCATTTACAGTAAATGAGTATGGTTTCATTCTGTTTGGGGTGAATAGAAAGGTCTTTGTGTTTTGAGGGTCACCATAGAGACAAAGCAGAGAAGCCAGTAATCCTGGTCTTAGTAGCTAGTGTGAAAAGGGGCCGTGGCCTGCGAGGAGAGGATGTGTGAGCCGGCACGTATGCTGCTCACAGCTGGCAGAGGAGGGTGTGTGTGTGTGTGTGGAAGCACGTTTATCTCTGCTTTATGGAGTCTGCAGACGCTGTGAGGTCACTGCCGTCTGACTGGTTTTCCACGGATTAGTTTGCTCAGCCAAAATGTCCACTCTGAAGTTTAAACACACAGACACAGACACTTTAATAAGGTGAGGATGAGGAGTCTTTTCTATTTTCTCCTCCTCATGACAGCCAAAAACCACCAATGAATGAATTTCCTGACTGTTGTGTGTGTAAAGGCAGGGGAGACCAGTGTGGGCGGAGCTAGTTGGTTTTAAAATTGGACCCAAAAGGCCTTAAACTTTTATTCTTCATACAGCTCTCAATAACACATGCACAAAATCCAAATTTACTGAAGTCAGTGAGAGAGTAAGCAAACTCTCAAAGTGACTTTATGCTTCTACAAAAAGTTTGTGGTCTTAGTGACTAGTTTGGATACAACACAATGTTTATGATCAAGTTTAAGAAAAACAGAGAAATGACCTTTTTTAATCATGTTTGAATAAAAGGATCGTTTTGGTTTCTGTTTGAGTAAGACCGAGCAGTTGCGTTCATAGTCGTCATCGTCGTTTTCTTCTGCTTATCCGGGTCCAGGTTGTGGGGGCAGCAGCTTCAGGAAGGAAGCCCAGACGGCCCTCACCCCAGCCTCTTCCACCAGCTCCCTGGGGATTCCCAGGCGCTCCCAGGCCAAGCGAGAGATATAATCCCTCCACCTGGTCCTGGGCTGGCCACAAGGTCTCCTCCCGGTGGGAGATGCCCAGAACACCTCTAACAGGAGGCGAGCCACCTCAGCTGACTCCTCTTAACGTGGAGGAGCAGCGGTTCTACTCTGAGCGCCTCCCAAGTGTCCGAGCTCCTTACCCTATCTCTAAGGCTGAGCCCGGACACCCTCCGAAGGAAACCCATTTTGGCTGCTTGTATCCGCCATCTTGTTCTTTCGCTCAATACCCAAAGTTCTTGACCATAGGTGAGGGTCGGCATGTAGATCGACCGGTAAATCAAGAGTCTCGCCTTACGGCTCAGCTCTTTCTTCACCACGACAGATCGGTTAAGCGTTTTCATCACTGCTGACGCCGCTCCGATCCACCTGTCAGTCTCCTGCTCCATCCTACCCTCACTTGTGAACAAGGTCCCGAGAGACTTGAACTCCTCCACTTGAGGCAGGACCTCCCCTCCGATCCGGAGAAGACAATCTACCTTTTTCCGACAGAGGATATAGGATTTTGATATTTGTTCAGTTTATTCATATATATTTCATATATTCAAGAAGGAAAGGCCAGTATGTTAATTTTATGTTTAATAATTAGTAGCTGATTTTGAGTTAGGTCATTATTTATGGTGAGATGCACAGAGGTGATCTTTGTGCGACTGTGATTCGAGCCTGTTTAAGTTTTCCAAGATAATGGGTTCAAATATTCACATGGAGACTGTGGAAAATGTCTGTTAACGTAAAAGAAACTGATCTGTGGGTAACTTCATGTACAAACCCCAACTCCTGTGAAGTTGGGACTTTGTGTAAAATCTGAATAAAAACAGAATTCAGGATACAGCCTTTTCGGAGCCGCTACGGTGGAAATTGGGGGTGAGCCCATAAAATCCTTGTGATGTGGGTTTGTATGCAGTACTGCCTGAGGGGTCAAAGGTCAAGGTCATTCAGTGTTGGTTTTGGGACTTTGGTGTTGGAGTTGTTGACAAAGTGGCAGCATCCATGCTTGTGAAAGACGCTCCTATTCACCCAATCATGACCCTCACCTGTTTCCAATGAACCTGCTCACCTGTGGGTGATCCAAACAGGTGTTTTTGGAGCAGTCCTCAATTTTCAGACTTTTATTGACCCTGGACCAACTTTTTAGGAACATGCTTCAGTCTTAAATTAATTCAAACAAAAAGGTTCATCAGTTTGAATATTAGATATCTTGTCTTTGTGGTTGAAGTGACGATGCTGACCTGAATTTTAGTCCCTGTGGGAATGAGGTGTTTTTGACGCGCTTCTAGTACAATCTAATGTCCAGTCCGAGGTTGTTGTTGAATTATATTTTTGACATTTATTGATTAAATGGAAAAAAAAAAAAAAAAAGGAAAATATGTCCAAATTACGACGATGGTGATGTATGTGATGAGGGTGAGAGTGGTGTTGGAGATTGGCGGTTAAAGCCGCATGCTCTTCCTGTTCCCCAGATCATGATGTAGATAAAATGTCTCATACAGTTGTGAATCCAGCTAAATAAAGGTGGAGAGGGGTTTGAAGATTTGAAGCAAAGGTGGAGTAAAACAAAGCTTTTCTGACGGCTGTGTCAGGACTAGTGCTGACTGTAAGACATGTTCATTTCACACACAGGTCTACTCCTTCAAAGTTCATTCTTTCGTACGTCTTGACTGCACAATCAGCGAAAAAGAGCGCTGCAATCAAACCTCTGCATACCAATTTTAATGTTCCTCCATATATTCCCCCCTCTGCCTCCACACTATACATCCTCTTATGGCCTCCTTATTACATGTTATGTAATACAGCTATTTTGGCAGCCTGTAATAAACGACCCAGAATGCTGTGATCCCTCTGACCCTGAAAACCTGCGAACATAAAGAGCGTCTAAATTTACACCGCACAATTACAGTAAATCATTGTACCGCTGCAGAGGTGCGGAGCGGGCGTTTACCCCCCTACCTCTCAGAAAATGCAGACTATCTTTGACAGAACATGCGATTGTAGTGTCACGACTGGTTTTTCACCAACATGAGCTGTTTCAGATTTTCCACCAGTGGGTCCGTGAGGCCTTCATCCCCTGTTTGTTTCTGATATGCAAGGTTAAAACAGCGATCACTGGAGTTAAATGGTGTTTTTCAGCAAATGCTTGTGGCAACAAAACTGCATCTGCCTCCTGTGGCGGTGTATTATACCAACCACAGTCTCCTCTGGGTTCAATCAAAGTGAATTCAACTTGACAAGCATGCGTGTGTGTGTTCCTATCTGCTTGTTTTGTCCACGCTGAAGCTCAGCGGGCCACCTTCCTCTCAGTTTGAGATCTGACGTTGGCTGTAGGTGTGCAAAGCTCTGCCTGGATCGGGATAATTGCTGTGTGGTTTAGCAAGGACACTCACCTCTGTCTCTGTTCAAATCACCGCCCTGGCTCTGAGCTGAGGTACTGTGACACGTTCCTGCTCAACCTGCTGACTCACTGCAGTGGTCACGTTTCCTGAAAGCTGAATCAGAGATGAATTGGGACACTGGGCCAAAGGGCGCCAAGGCTGCCAAAAGTTAACAAAATCAAAGGTTGTAAACAGAGATAAGCGGACGTGCTCGCCACGCTTTGATTTACTGATGCGTCGAGTATGAGCGTGTATCGTGGCCCACGAGGACGCAAGGCCAAGAGATCATCAGGAGGAGGAGCAGGCTGCAAATTCAGGCGTGACGCAATCAAAAACACACATAACCACGAAAACGTAG